GACTATGGGATGAACGACGTCATTCCTCTGTTGCACGTCCTGGAACAAATGCTGTTAACAATGGCTGGTCAGGGTGCGGTAGACGTGGCGCACAGATCTCAACGCCACATGACCCCTGTGTGGGGCAGCAGGACAGGAAGAAGAGGAGGAGGTAGAGGAGGACATTGGTGCTCAGGAATTATTGAGTGAAATGGGTGGTTTTTCCACTCAGCGGACAGGAGTGGAGGAGCAGGAGCATCTGGTAGAGGAGGAGGAGGAGGAGGAGACAGAGGACCCAGACGCACCGTGGCAGTATGCTGTGGAGATGGAGGCAGGGAGTCCCTCGCATTCCTTGGCACAAATGGCCCATAGCATGCTCGCTTGCTTGCGTAGCGACAGCCGCCGAATAATAACCATCAGACAGAGGGATGACTTTTGGCTGTCCACCTTGTTGGACCCTCGCTACCGTTCAAAAATGGTGGCCTTTTTCACACCTGCTGAGAGGAGGGAGGCCAAAATAACGTACTATAAAAACCACCTATGTAGTCAGCTGGTCTCTGCCTGTCTGCGCCAACGTCCATCCTCAGACACTGTGGGCCCTGTGCGCTCGCGTTCCGCTGCCATGGCAGCAGGGGAGGGGTGGGGTGGTAGGAGCAGTGGCAGCTCCACCAGCAGCGGCTGCCTCAGTCTGCAGTCGATGATGAGTAGCTTTCTTCACCAGCGCAGTGAGGAAACTACTAACCAGCCACAGCAGCAGCAGCAGCATCAGGTGGACCTGGAGCAGGACCTCAAACAACAGGCTTAGGCCTACTTGGACAGCACCCTGCCAACCGAGGTAGACAATCCCCTTGACTACTGGGCAACGAAACTTGACCTTTGGCCCCAACTAGCTGAATTTGCCCTTGAAAGGCTGTCATGCCCGGCCAGTAGCGTGGCATCGGAGCGCGTGTTTAGTGCGGCAGGAGGTATTGCAACTCCGCGGAGGACACGACTGTCCACCCAAAGTGTGGAGAGACTGACGTTTGTGAAAATGAATCAGGCGTGGATTAGTCTGGATTTCAAACCACCAGTTCCTGACACAACTGACTAAATCCGCCATGAATCATGCCCCAAACATGTGCCACTTTCAGGTCTCCTCACACTGCTGGTGTGTTCCATTTTTTGTCATAGGGTGCTGGCAGATTACGGGCCTCCCATAGCTGCTGCCAGGCCCCTAATCTGCCATGGGCCCCTATACCGCCTCCTCATGCTGCTGCCAAGTCCAGAGTCTCTCATGGGTCCCTGTACGGCCTCCCATTGCTGCTGTCTCCATCGCCACACTCTGCCATGTGCCACTTTCAGGTCTCACACACTGCTGGTGTGTAGAATTTTTTGACATAGGGTGCTGGCAGATTACGGGCCTCCCATAGCTGCTGCCAGGCCCCTAATCTGCCATAGGCCCCTATATACCGCCTCCTCATGCTGCTGCCAGGTCCAGAGTGTGTCATGGGTCCCTGTACGGCCTCCCATTGCTGCTGTCTCCATCGCCACACTCTGCCATGTGCCACTTTCAGGTCTCCTCACACTGCTGGTGGGTTCCATTTTTTGTCATAGGGTGCTGGCAGATTACGGGCCTCCCATAGCTGCTGCCAGGCCCCTAATCTGCCATGGGCCCCTGTTGTCGCTTGTTGGCATATTCCGCTCGTTCAGATGCTCCTTCTCCTGCTACTCCTCTTCACGGATTCCGTCAGCAGTCTTTCTTGGAATCCGTTTCCAAGAGACAACAGTTTGCGAGCACGCACCAGACGGTGCAGAAACTGAACGTCCTCCTGTCCAAGTTGCTGCTGCCAGGCTCGTAATCTGTCATGCGCCCCTGTACCGCCTCCTCATGCTGCTGCCAGGTCCAGAGTGTGTCATGGGCCCCCGTACCGACTCCAAATGCTGCTGCCAGGCCCGTAATCTGTCATGGGCCCCTGTACCACCTCCCCATGCTGCTGCCACGTCCAGATTGTGTCATGGGTCCCTGTACGGGCCTCCCATTGCTGCTGCCAGGCCTGTAATCTGCCATGGGCCCCCGTACCGACTCCTCATGCTGCCAGGCCCGTAATCTGCCATGGGCCCCTGTACCGCCTCCTCATGCTGCTGCCAGGTCCAGAGTGTGTCATGGGTCCCTGTACGGCCTCCCATTGCTGCTGTCTCTATCGCCACACTCTGCCATGTGCCACTTTCAGGTCTCCTCACACTGCTGGTGGTTTCCATTTTTGTCATAGTGTGCTGTATGGCCTCCCATTGCTGCTGCCTCCACCGCCACACTGTGGCTCCACACTCTGGTTTTGGCCCCGTGACTGCCCAAATGAGTGAAGTGTGCGGTGATTCTAAGATCGACCCAGCAGACTCCAAGGGCATTTAAATTAAAGGTACAGTGTTCAGCACTAATATTAAGTCTCTCTGAAGCCTAGAAACACCCTTTTTTAAGTTAAATTCACAGCGAATATATTCGACTCGAATCGAAATTTTTCTACGAATTCGCCGAATCAGTCGAATCGAATTTTTGAATACTTCGCTCATCTCTAACCGTGGTCTGTGGACTCTATAACTTTAATACAGACTAAATAATACAAACTGATTTGGGTTATTTCTACCAAACAAAGGTAGCACAATGGATTTTGGCCTAAATTAATGAAGAAAGTATATTTATTTGCAAAATCTAGTAACAAAAACGAAGAAAAAAATGTTTATTTTCAAAATTTTCAGTCTTTTTCCACTTTTCTATAAAAAAATAAAACCCCCAGTGGTGATTAAATACCACCAAATGAAAGCTCTGTTTGTGTGAAAAAAATGATAAAAATTTCATTTGGATACAGTGTCGTATGCCTGAGTAACTGGCATTCACAATGTGAGAGCACTGAAAGCTGAAAATTAGCCTGGTCAGGAAGGGGGTAAAAGTGTCCGGTCTGGAAGTGGTTAAGGTTGCCTACCCCTGGTCTAAAGGGTGGGTCAGTAAATCACATTGGAGTATGAAGGCAGCACTACAAGAGTTAACATGTGTAGTAAACACATGGTTGCCAAGGGTAATGAAGGTTTCACCTGCATCCTGTCGTAAGTGTGTGCCTGTGATAGGTGGGATAGTCTCTTGCAGGAGAAATGTTGTAGGCACCCCTCTCCATGTGCAGTCTGTCTCCCATAGCAACAGATCTTCGACCTGTGCATAGGTACAGAAGAGAAAAAGTTAGGTGAGTGTACCTATGGGCTCTGCACTAGGTGCATGATGGGATTCCATTCCGTTCCTTGGAGTGAGGTATCGGAGGAGATATACTAGACAGGTGGAGAGGGCATAGGCTCTGCGTGTCCTTCCTAAATGCAGCTGTGACAGTGAAGAGAGTTAACTGGAGTTCAGTTTATTGTTCAAGTGTACACAATGTACAGCACAAGTAAAGGTACCCCATGTGTAAGGCAGTGACCCTATTCAAGGTGCATAGCAAAACCCAGAAGAACTGACCATGGGGTAAACCTCTTTAAATTTAATCCCTCCTGTACAGTACCCCTTTATGTTTAATCCCTCCTGTTGATATATCATAGATGAGCTTAGTAGCCTAATTAGTTAGTTGGGGTATGGGAGAAGGACACCTCAAAGCTGCCAGGATGTAGACCTACACTTAGCTGATCTGCAGGGCTGAATTCCCAGGCAAGGTGGAAGAACAAGCTGGAGTCGTCCTGTCTACCCCTGACCTTCTTCTGCAGGTCCTGTAATGGGGTGCGTATGGCCTTGGGGGCTCTTACATGAGTAGTCCCACGTTACATATGTGAGTAGTCCCATGTTACCTCTTATGTGTGTAGTTTAGGGGGCGCTTTTGACTGCTGGCAATCAAAAGAATGACTTTAAAGCGGTAGTAAAAAAAAAATCCCCTGCAAGGCAATGGCATAATGTGCTAGTATGCATCATATACTAGCACTGTCACCACTGAAAGGGCTACCATCTTCCCTGATCTTCCTTCTGGGTTTGCTGGCTCAGGTCCTTTGAATGGCTGAGCCATGATGACGTCACCCCCGCGCATGTACACGTGAGTCACGATTTACGGCACAGAGCTCTGAAAGGACGGTACGGTGATGTCACCAGCTGCATCCAGTGTGAATATCTCCTAAACACCGCAAGTTTAGGAGATATTCCACACCTACTGGTAGGCCATATTATAGTCTTACATGTAGGTACAAGTTCTAAACCGGACTTTAGTACCGCTTTAAAGCCTCACTGAGGCACTGCTGCTTTTCCTTTCACTGATCTGAGGATCCGAGGCACGTTGGTCATGAAAGGACATTTTGCCACTCTGTAAAGATAGCCAAGAGGTTCTTCCACAGCACCTCTTAAATAGAGCATGGTTTGCTCCCTCTGCGATCACAGTATGAGGCATTTTCCCTTGTATCAGGGATCCAAAAGGGTGACCTACCAGTTAATAGCAATATAATAAAAACACATTAATAAACATCTTTTTATTGTTATTTTTATTTTTTAATAAATATTTATACCTGAAATTGTATGTTTTATTATTCATGTTTTCACATTTCTTGGACGTTCTTGTATATTGGTTATCTATTCAGTGTTTCCAAAAGTAAATTTTTATACATCCAATACAATTGGATGCTGGGTATTTGGTTTTAACTATGACCCTGAGGAGGGGATATTGTATTGATATCATATTGATATCGGGATATCCTTATATTCTTTGTAGCCCTGATAAAAGGGACATTTTTGGACATCAAAACATGTTTGAACCTATTGTTCCCCCGACTTAATGGTTGGTTCTGGACCACTCAGCAATGGTGTGGTGCTTTAACTTTCATTTTTGGGGGTTTGGGAAGGATGACACATACCCCTGAAAGTCTGCCCTATGTTCTTCTTACTGCTGACACTCCAATCCCCCTACTTGTACTCCTCATCACAGGCATGCAGTCAGTCCTAAAAAGATCCTGCGGGCCCTGAGATAACAGGAACTCCTCCTTATCCCTCTGCTGCTGTGCTTCCAGTGCCCAGTCTACTACACCAAGGGCGTGCTCCAATCAGGGGCTGACTGACCATTTGGAAACTCGGGCACTGCCCAAGGGCCTGGGGTCAGTAGGGGGCCCCATGAGATGCCCCTGATACCTTTTTCATAGGCTTTTTTAAGTTTGGGCAAGGACACCGGGGCCCCATGATCCCTATTGCCCGGGGGCCCCATGAGTTGTCAGTTCACCCCTGGCTCCAATATTAACACCAGAGGGATTGTGTTGTTTATCCCTAACACATTAAAGCTCAGGATTCTGGTCGCCTCTTCAAATGGTGACAAGATGTAGCTGAGCATGTGTTCTAAGCAAAGTACGTGTGAACTTTCCCAGCTGAAGAGCAGACCTTTCCTGGAACAAGATAGTGTTGGGTCAGAAACCTCTTGGCCTGTCCCTAAAGAGCTGACAGAACCTCTCTGCAAAGCAGCACCACTAGCTCCAGAGAAAACGTTGTGGTTGGGTACCTTTCACTGTGGTGCAGCACAGGCCCCAAAGTCACAAAAAAAGGGCAGACTCCACCTACTGTAAAGGGAGCAGTGGTAAAACCAGAAATGTTGCTGCGCTGGCATTGAGACGCTAAGCATGGGAGAAATTGGATAATTTCTTTTTTTTTTTTTGCTCCAGCAGCTGAGGAAGAAACATCTGCCAAGTCACGGATGCTGTTGGAGATGGCAGAGTGGAGTTATGAGACCTATGAAGAGGTTGAATCCTAAGCTTGACCCCACTCTGCTTGACCAGATGTTGATTCTTTTCCCCACCTGATGCAACGTAAGGTAGGGTTAGTGGTTTTTATCACAATGCAAGAACACTTATTCAGCTTAGCCTAGAATCCTGTCATTCATTTCTATTTTGGACAGCCTGGCCAGGTGGCCCCCCCATACCCTTTAAAAGCAACACTGTGGAATTTAGTTTAAATGCTGGGACAGTTATGTGGGATCCAGTACAGTTAAGGTGAGGGTGGTTTATGTGCACATATTACCAAATCAAATATAACAAAGATCCTGTATGTCAATGTTCTCAATGCTGTAGTCAATGTTCTCAAATTCCTCCCCTGAATCCACTCATCATTCTCATGAATAATTCATATTTACATATAGTATGATTCAAACACTCATTTGAAGATTCCTCACCCATCCTCATTAAAACTCAGAATGTTTGGTTAGGATTTTCCATAACATACTGTCTCTGATACAGTGCTCTCCAGGGCAGATAAAGTGGGTTAATCTTCCAAGTGAGGACACAGACTGCAATATAAACCTGACAGGTGTTCTAACCCTTCCATATGCTATCTGAAATCATGCTGAAATTGCACACAAATCGAGAGATTTTTAAATCACAGCGGTGTGCCAGTGACTAAACCTCTGTTGAAGGACTGCATTTTGATCACCATTTATTTACATATTTATTTATAATTTTTATTCATCATTTAATTTTGTCAGCGCTGCACTGTTATATTTATTGATATTACCAAATCACGTTATTGTTGTAAGTAAGTAGTACCCTTCTCTTGCTGTGAATGTAATGGCGTTAACTCTTTCACACTGGCCATGTCTGGTCTGCCAGCAGGAGATCCATAAACAGAATAAGACAGGCATCACTTTTGTGATATCTGTGCCCATTTATGTTTATCTGCATTTTTACAGCAGGCTATTTATGACCTGCGTTGGATCCATGGGTGGCTGGATAAAAACGGACTTGCTCCTGTTTATATCAGGTCACCCCTCGTCATCCAATTTAGGTCTGGAACTGGGGCGGACTGATAACTCATGGGGCCCCTGGGCAATAGGAGATCATGGGGCCTCTGTGTCCTTGTCCAAACTCAAAAAAGCCTATGAAAAATGTACCAGGGGCATCTCATGGGGCACTGCCCGAGTTTCGAAATGGTCAGTCCGCCCCTGGTCTGAAACAAAAGAAAAGCAGTCTTATTTCCATTTTTTACAGACCTGGACACACATCCATTTACATTTTCTTGTCCGTATATTTACAGAGAGCTTCCAGGAAGGTCCACCTGAAATACTGACAGGAGGACTTGATTGGAATGCCCATGTGAAAGGACCCTCAGCTTTTTCGGAAAGAACTTCTGCTGACCCTGTGCTCTTCTCAGCTCTCTAAAGTGGGCTGGTACTGCATTTATTCCAAACTTTTAAAACCAAATGCCTGCTATTACATTTACTAGCAAGAAAGCCTCTTCTCTGACTCTCTGATTTAGTTTTATTTTGTAACTGGAGTCTGACTTTCTCCAACTTTCTGTCCTTTAAAATGTTACTAAACCCACATCAGTAAAATCAGTCTGTATATGCAGTAAAACATGCCTGTTATACTCCCTGTGGAACCTAAGGGGTTAATCCTCTGCATTGAATAAAAAGGATGCTTGCGCCTGTCTTCTCTGATCCTCCCCTTTTTCAAGTGTCCCCTAAATATCTCCTGATAGAACAGAGACTGGAGGGCAAGCTTCACATGCTCAGTTTGGTATGTATAGCTAGAGAGGTTTTTTTTTTCTTGGGAGAGTGCATGTGATCAGCACGGGGCCAATCCGCACTGTCCAGACAGAGGTCAGGGGTCATGCAGTCTCATAGGACAGTCAGAGGAGAATGAAAACTCCTCCTACAAGCTTTAACCAATGCTCAGCTGGCTACTGATAGAAGTCACAAGACTGCTATATACTGCTGATGAGAAAAGGTATTTAGCAGTTTATATATACTAGAATATTTGCATTTCCATGTTCTTTGTACTGTGGAAGACCGGATATAGTGAATGCAGAGTCTTGGGTTTAGTAACACTTTGAGCTTTGACAGAAAAAAAATGGAAACTGATTGGTTTCTTTGCAGAGCTGCACCAGATTTTGCACTCTCCAGTTTTAGTAAATCAACCCCAATGACATACACAATTTTTAGTAATACTTCCTAACTATGTATATATATATTTTGTAATAAGGTTATATGAAGTGAATTTCTGTTTTGTTTTGTGAAGGTGGGATGTGTCTGTGGAGTCCTGAGAACAATCACTGGCCAGTCACTGATAGATGAAGAGTTTGCTGCATGCATTTGACTTTTCTTGGCAAACTATCCAAGGTGGATAAAGGAGTTGCTCACAGGTGTCGGTTAGTTTGAGTTGATGGAAACACCAACATGGGCTCCTTAAAGCCTAAGGCCCCTTTTACACAGGGCGGACCCGTCAACGGATCCGCTTGCTCAGTGGGGGATTTCTCCGCTGTTCCCCGTTGAGCAAGCGCATGACAGGTCCGTGTCCGCACCGCTGTTGCAGAGTGGACAATGGGTGATGGGACTATGGGTGATCGGATGGAAATGGAGCGCGTGCCATCCGATCTGACGGACGGAAGGGGAATGGATCCCCATCTGTCTCTTTTTGGCAGATCGGATTGGATGTCGGCGGGTGTAAACAGACACATGTCTGTTTACACCCTCCACTCCATAGAGGAGAATAGAGGTCCGATCTGGTGTGTCTGAAAAACAGGCAGGTGGACCCGATCGGAAAGTCCATGTGAAAGGGGTCTAAGATTAATCAAAAAAAATTTGTAAAAAACAAGCACATTCTGGTGGTCACTAGGGTCCTTTTGTTGCTCTAAGGATGCAAGCTCTAAAATGGATTTGAGCAACCCTTCCCACGGTGGAGAAGTGGGTATCAGAATTAAATAGATGTATCTTATTTGAAAACCATACTTACTTTTTACAAATTGCACAATGTAAATTTGATTCCATTGGTCTTGTTGGGTATAGCCGAGGTCTATATCCAACTCCAGAAGCACTGGAGTTGCCTGATTTCTAGTTTTATAGTCACTGCACTACTTTTAATGTATGCTACTGTACTCTATTTAAAAAACAGTCCTTTAAAAAAGGCACAAAATACTATACTTACAATCAATGTGAAGTGTCCATTGTTCTTGTGGCTATAGTTTAAGGTCGCTTGTACTGCTGGCTGTGGTTTAGTGTCCCTTTTGCTGCTGGCTGTGGATTTAGTTGAAATCTTCTGCTCTCTGATCTCAGCTACCCCAGCAGCCATAATCTTCCAGGTGCCGCAGAGGTTAATACAAACTGTGGAACTAGTAATATGCACTCATCAAGAGTACCAACTATGCCTGCCCTTTCCACCCACCTGTACTATCATTTCCATCGATGAAAAATGCCCTATAAATGGATCATGGGTGGATGAATGAAAGGTCTACCTCCTCCATTCATAGATCATTTAGTGCAGCTTCTATGTATGGAGGAGTTTGGTGGAAAGCACAACTAACAATACGATGGAGCTCCTTGAGGAAATAATGGCTGTCGTCATGAGGGGTGCCAAGGGAAGGCATTTCAAGTGAATCAGTCAGATACCCAGAAAACCCCAAAACCTCTATATGTGCTGGGACCCACAACATCATTCTGACCTAGGCTGGGATTTAAAAAGCAAATGAAAAAAGTCTTTACTTTTTAAAATATTTTTTTTCAGCAAAAATGTGTTAAAGGGAAAGGGGGGGGGGTATTCACGAAAGAGGGCCTTTCTAAATTGAGTAAAGTTCTAATTTACAGTTCTGCAGTCATAAATACAGTAGTTACCTTCAAAGATATGTGTGACATTTTTGCAAACAATCCCGTATTTTTTTCAAATGCCTAATAATAATGCAACCCAAAAATGTATTCTTCAAAACTTTATTTGTGATTAACATTTTAGTAAACAAACTTTAAAAAAAAATGTGGAACCTCCATTGATTTCGCCAATAGATTTCATAATAGCCCTTATAATGTTCACACTATTACAGATATTGCTGATAGCACCTTTCAGATCAGTAGTAAAAGGACGGTAACAATACTGCAAAACAATTTAAAGCTTCAACTTTTATTTTTGCAAGAAATATAGAGACATGCTTCATAAACAGTGCTGATTATTGTAGTGCACATGTAGCCTAGCTGTGGCCTTTAAGTACCCTTGAGTTGTCAGGATTTCTTTCTGCAAAACCACCAGCTGAAATAATGTGGGCAATGAAGATCAGAATTGGGCACCACAGCTGCCATAGAGAAGAATGACCATCATGATTCACTTAGCGGGGGAAGACTCTTATTTACTAAAATGATGCAAACAGCAATGGCAGCATGCGGTGTAACCTGTTTTCTTGACAACTCCTCTGGCACATTATGCTGAGAGTATCTGCAGGAAAAGTGATGTTTAGAAGTGTGCCTGTGTGTATTTCGGGACTAGCACAAGCTGAGATTTAGGTGTTGCCTGGCAAAGTCACCTGGACAGACATACTGTACCAGCTTAAAGTATACCAAAACTTACTTTTTAAATTGGGATAGACTGGTGAGGGGTTAGAACCCCTGTCTGGTTTTTACTGCTGGCTGCATCATCGTTGGGTGGATCCACTCTCTCTAGTTGTCCTGATCAACAATACCAGTAGACATGAAAGCAAGGGGTAAATTAAAAATTTTCAGTTTTCAACAGAATAGTAATAGAGGAGAAAACCTCTTTTGGGCACACTTATTCCCATGACAACTGTCAAAGGTGCGATTTCCCTCACATTGAAAAGTTATAATCTCCCTTTCTGTTGAGTCTTGACAGAAAGTAAAGGGAAGTCTCCCTAATGAGACATAAATAGCAAAAATGACAATGGTTTTAACCATCCCCTACTCCAAACAAGGTAAAAAAAAGTTGGCTTTAATTGTACTTTTAGGAAATCGTGAATAAATTACATTCTAGGATTGCGTACAGTCTGCCAATGTTAAATTGTGATTTAAGTTCTATACACGTAGGCATTCTCCTTAATCTCCTCTTATATATGTACACTAGTCTTTTGGGCACTTCATGAGCACTGGATGGAAAGACATAAACATGTACCTCTTGTATTAGAAGTACTTAAAGTGGGATTCCTGGCTTAATCCTAACTATTCCTAAAACTGTCCCCTAACCCTAGAGAGGAGAGGGCACTATGACCAGAGCTGGTAAAGCCTGAAGTGGTGATGTCACCCCTAGGCTTAAATGGTCCATCCATTGTCGGTGCTCCTTCCTCTTCCCTGCAGCTGCGCTGGCTGACACAGGGGAACAGGATCACAATTGGACCAGGGCTGACTGAAAATAGGTAAATATATAGCTCTTTTTTTTAATAAGTTAGTAAGCGTAGGTGTTAGGAGGGGGGAGGGGACAGTTTCAAGAGTAGTTAGGTTTAAGCCCAGAATTCCACTTTATATGGATTTATGATGCACTGTGCTGTTTGAGATCTGTTCTTAACAGAGTGAATGAAGCTCAGTGAAGATGTTCCAGGGGGCCAGGTTAGATGTCTATGTATTTACATTGTACAAAGCCTTATAAAATTAAACCAAACTGCTGCCCTATTGCTAATATTGACCACACTAATGACCAAGATATGCAAGTCAATTTTGTTTGGATTTTCTTTGTTTCCTTTTTTTTTTCTTCTTTTTTTTTATCTAAAGCATATGTAAAGCAAATTTTTTTTGGTTTTATATAGAGTAGGGATCAGTTAAAACCCCTTATCAGTTATCTTTTGCTGCCTGTGTTCTGCTGGGGAAATTTCCCTTTACTTTCTGTCCCTTAAATGCAACAGTAAATGCGAAGAAAATGCTCCAAACAGACTGGAATGCCCATCTTATTGGGTTATCACAAGAACAGGTGTCCCTGTTGGAGGATTCTCCCTCACCTTTGTGACATTTCTGGATTTCCACCTTCTGTCTCTCTTGGTCACCAGTACAAATAGAGAGGTGAGTCTTCCCAGCAGAGACAATAAACAAGTATATGAACTTGAGAAAGGGTCAAACCTTTCCCTACTCTATTCAAAACTTTAAAAAAAAATGTTGATTTCACATACACATTTTCTTTACCAAAGTTTAGAGTCTGACATTCAAGCTGTAGCTCTACATCAAAGCTGGGACCTAATCCTTCCTAGTCTTTAACTTTGTAAAACCTGTTACCGTGGAGGAGGCGCCTCTCAGAGTAGATGATTAATGCCGGTAAGCATGACAGCCAGAAAACTAGCATTTGTGGAAAGTAGCAATTGCATTCTCCATGTCTCTTCCTTAGGAAAGTATTGTGTCAGCAAGGGTTGATATTTTAATCAAAACTATGTAAAACTGTAATTAGATCCCATTTCAAGGCTGGCCACAGCCTTCCCTTATGAGGCTCATATCCTATTAGCCTTACTGCAAGTAAATGAGACACTGTAATGCATTCCATACTGAGAAATAGAAGTAGACTGATGAAATATAATACGGTCTATGGGGAGAATGGATTCAGGCAGAGAGCAGTCAATAAAATGTGAACCAGAGTGGCATAACATGTAGCCTGTGCATTTTGCACTTACAGTTACATAGCTGAAATGCATGCATAGGTGATGTTTTACAAACCAAATTGTTTTACATTTTGTCCAACCAGTCCCGAAAATTCACACAGCCCTACTACTACTGAAGTTAAGCATTGCAGCTTTGTCACCTCCCTGTCTCTTGCAGGTGATTGGACAATGAAGCAAGAACAGCAGACTGATTGGGTCATCTTGCTCTTCTCTTGCCCTCTCAGCAGTAACACACATACAGAAAAGCCTCGTTGGTTTAAAGTGTTGACAGTTCCTCTCCCAGTCTGAGAGCTGCTGCACAGAGGAATACAGGGGGCTGATATCAAGACAGATTCAGGTACTTTCTTTTTCGGCATTTAAAATATATTTACTTATTTCTAGTGAACACATAACTGCATTTAAAGTTGTTTTACAGGTGTTTGGAGTTCAGCTTCAAGGATGAACATGTAATGTTGTAGCAAATGTTCTTTAAAGCAAACCTTGCCTGAGAGACAAATGGGGTCTACAATTGTCAATCTTCATCTGAAGAAGCTAGTTGTCTGCCTGACCAACTGGGATCAATATGGTTTGCGTCACTGACCTGAAACAAGTGTGCATATCTGTAAAGTCAGAGATCCTTTGCACACTTGTTCCGAGAAATGAACATAAAATATTAAAGCAAGAGAGTAAAAATGAGAAGTAGGGAGAATTAGAAGTAGCAATGGCAGCCTCAATGTCTCTATCAGGAAATGTTTCATTTTTTAATTTTAATAGAGCAATGCAGGGCGGTTATCAATTATGTTAAACAGTACATTGCTTAATATCACCATAGAAAGGTTTTGATGTCTACAAATGTCTTTCCAACATAAAAGGGTGGATTCATAAAAGAGGAAAGGAAAGGGGAAATGTTACCAAAATAACCAATCAGATGTTAGTTTTTAACTTCTCTAAATACTAAAAAAAAAAGTAGGTGAAAATTGATTGGCAACATCTCCACTTTTCAATTCTCCATCCCAGCCACATACAACTAGCACTACACTGGCATCAAATATCATTATATAGAAGACATATTTAACAAATACAAATTGCCATTAAATTCTGTGCTTATGGAACATTGGATATACTTTGCTCTGTTTTAGCATGCCTCATTATTATCTGATCCAGAGATATGTCTTCTTTAAGTAAGGTCCTTTACTAATAAGTTGAATCTTCATTGCTCAACAGAGTTCCCAGCTGTATGTGCTAGAACGGCAGTGCTGGTGTGGTTTAATTACAGACAGTGCATTTTTTCATCACTTTCCTTTGTTTAGGTGCTTTTTTTTGATGGGAATAGGCTGAATCTTTTTTCCTTCTTCTCTGGTTTGCCCTCTGTGGAAGTGGATGGGAGAGGTAGGCTTTTAGACTTTGGCTTTTGATCGGATGTCTCCGCAATGGAAATTCTGATGTTGTCAACCCAAGCTTGTCGTTCAGCCTATGGCACGAAAGTAAAAGTAGTAAAAGTGAGATGTGGCAATGGGATCTGGACTTAAAGTATGCTTTAAATCTTTTATTATTAATGTGACTTAAAATGATTCCAAAGGTTATTTTTTTTTAAATAACAAACATGTCTATACCTACCTGCTGTGTGCAATGGTTTTGCAAGGAGAAGCCTGGATCCTACTCTTCTTTGGTTCCCCGCAGGCTCTCCTTGCTTGCTATGGGTACACCCGCCACTCCGTGTGTCCATTCACACATGAAGCTGTGGCTTGGCCCTGCCCCCTCTCTCTCTTCATTGGCTGACTTGCTGGGATTGACAGCAGGGGGAGCCAATGGCTCCCGCTTGCTGTCTCAGCCAATAAGGAGGCATTGACCTGGGACAGCCGAGGTGGTCATTCACATTGCTGGATCGCGATGAGGTTCAGGAAAGTATTGGGGGGATGGGGGACCTGCTGCACACAGAAGGATTTTTACCTTCATGTATAGAAGCTTTACAACCACTTTAAACAAAGATCTCATGCTGAAATTACAGCTGTAGGTAACTGCCTAACATCATGGTGGGCAGTAGTTGCTCCCTAAATATGCAATACATTAGTCATATTGTATCTGGTGAAGGTTTTCATCAGGCAAACCCCCATGGTTATTTTTTGGTTGTCTATTTTGTACCTACCTCATCCTTTGCCTGGAAAAGCCATTCATTGCCATCACTTAATCTGGAAAACAGAAGCATTTGTACTATTATTTGTGTCCTTTCTGATTTACAGAAAACTTTGTATAAATACTGGATGCAACACAGCTGCTTTGGTTTTATGCTGTCCAAGCTTGATAAAATCCCTTCAGAAGATTTGATGAAGAAGCAGGAAAAAAAAAATCTATTAGAATGATCATGTGTGAACAACTATACATTTTTGTTATTGTTTTATATGATTTAAAAAACAACTAAACTCTCCTTTTCTTTTCAACCAAGGAACTGCCATCTTCGCCTCTATGATCTGCAACTGTCACGATGCTGCTCATGTGATCAGTTATGACACCAGACATTTAATGCTTTGACAGTTTGGTTGAGTCACAAACTAATGTGACAGTTATCATTCCCGGCATGCCGGGAATGTAACTGTTTTTGAAACCATTAAATTGATGGGTTTAGTTCCACTTTTATATAAATTATTGTTTCCAACAACCTTTCAACGATAGCAGCTATTTTTTACACTGTTTTATGACACTATTTTTTGAAAATGAATAGCTGCAGAGATTGATTTTCCAAACTACCCTTTCTGAAATCTCCCATACCCTAGGTTCACACCTAAGCATTTTCCTCAGTGTTTTGCATTTTGCAGAAATGCACTACAGTCCATTTAACATGATTTCCTATTGGACACATTCACATTTCCATGTTTTCACCTGGTGCATTTTTTGGAAAGTGTCAGGGACTTTTTGAAATGCAAAAAAGTTACGCTTTGGTTCTATAGACTTCAATGGAAACGCTGCTGAAAAGCATGTAGTGTGTAGGGCGGACTGACCATTTGGATACTCGGGCACTGCCCGAGGGCCCGGGGTCAGTAGGGGGCCCCATGAGATGCCCCTGGTACCTTTTTCATAGGCTTTTTTGAGTTTGAGCAAGACACAGGGGCCCCATGATCCCCTCTTGCCCGAGGGCCCCATGAGTTGTCAGTCCGCCCCTGGTAGTGTGTTTTTGCTGTGTTTACCGTTTTAATCTGCCTAGCTACAAGAAAAAAAACCCTGCAAAATGCATAAAAAACGCATGTGCAAATGCAAAACGGACCACAAAAAGCACTGCAGAAATGGATCAAACACAAACTGCATAGGTGTGAACCTAGCCTCAGTTATCAGTGAGTGTTATTGTTAGTTCTAGAATATTGTCATCATCCTTCACTTTAGCCAACTGTTGTTGAACATTCCTTGGGTTTTTTCAAATCATCTAAAATATTGGACTTGTTTCATAATCTCAACAAATGCATTTTTTATGCAGTCGCTATTGTATTTAAAGCCCAACTGTACTTTCGTAAAAATAACTAAATTCAGGGTTCTAAAAAATACTTATTACCTCAGGGTCATGGGTTCTTCTTTTGTCTGGTACACCCCCTTTGGAGTCAGAGTTAGAGCTGGGCAGTCAAAATAGGAGCATGGGTTTAATGAGTGCCTAGCTCTAACTCAGCAAAGGCCTGTCAGACAGCTGCAAAGAGACTGCTAGTTTTACGCAGAAGGCCGCTGTCTTCCCCGCAGCCTCCCGACATGCCAGTTGTATACAAGTGGTACAACAAGCAACTTGGGTATAATCAGCCTGCCCATAGATGCTGGTGAACTGGACAAGATTCTAACCATCTATGGCCAGCTTTAGAACTTCTGTAAATATTTTAATGATGTCTTTGTCCCAGTTGGTGAGAGTTTCTGCATTTCATGACATGGTGACAAACATCACATTCCCCCTGATGAAGCCACGTGACCCGGTGGCATAACACGTAGGGAAAGGGCTCTGACGTCATGATGCTTAAAGCAACATACAGCAAGTATTTAACAAGATTGGAAAACTTTACTGTGGATTCAAAATTTAACATTACAATGCAGATTTAACTTGTAATACATGTGAGTGCACTACTATATTTAAAAAATTATGTTGTAAAAAGGATAAGGCACTATATTTTTTGTTATATTTCATGGCCATTATACCTATGGAGAAAAATTCCTAAGGAAGCAAGGAGACCCCCTAGTGGTAAGAGGGATACTCCCGTCCACTTATCCGGCTCCAAGAAAACCTATAAGGAAGCAAGGAGACCCCCTGCTGGAATGAGGGAACACTCCGTTCATCCATCCATCCATCCATCCATCCCAGGGAAAGAGGAATCATTCCATCCATTTACCATTTAGACCCAATAAAGGGACACAAGTCTTTTATGACCTCACTTTTTGGTCATATACACCAGGTGAGAGCACAACCGATCAAGGTGTACAAATTTTTCTTATGATTGGTAAACTGCACAGCTTATAATTTTGTATCATAGCACTGGAAGAAGTGTCAAAGACAAGGATTTACTAAGGACATGTTTTGTAGCAATAATATAATTACAGAGATATCGTTATGCACAGTTGTGAAGCTGGATTGTTATTTATTTACACATTTGTTTTTCAATTGTTAGTGGAGCGCGACATTATTTCTTATTTTAAACATGACAGATTTACTTCAGGAACCTAAACTTCCCTAACCTGCATTATAATTCATAAAGGATACACTTTTGCACATAATATTGCTATTGAATGCCAATACAGCCTGTAGGATGCTACGTTTTCCGTCCCTCTTCCTAGAAACAAAATATTTTGACATTGAAGCCAGCCATAGATTAATCGAATCTCGGCCAGTTCAACAGGAACCAGCCAAGATTTGATCCATCTATGGGCAGGCTGGTTGTACTGAAGTTGATCCAACAATCGACTTCAGTCAGGGGTGGACTGACAACTCATGGGGGGCCCCCGGGCAATAGGGGATCATGGGGCCCCTGTGTCCTTGCCCACACTCAAAGCACACCCAGAAAAGCCTATAAAGAAGGTGCCAGGGGCATTTCATGGGGCCCCCTACTGACCCTGGGCCCTCGGGCAGTGCCCAAGTGCTCAAATGGTCAGTCCGCCCCTGACTTCAGTACAACCAGCCTGTCTAATTTTTCTTATGAGATCACTGTCAGAGGCTATAGCCACTAGCAGTGATCATTGTGTTCTGCTGGCAGGGAAGGTTCCCCTTCAGCAGAACACAATAGTACAATATGAGGAAAGAAAATTATTTGATTGTGTTGATGGGGGAATCAAGCACTTTTCTTTCCTTCCACCCATGATGGAAGGAAAGAAAACTGCACAATCTATGGACTTTAGGAAGGTAATTAACAAAATGCTATAAAATGGTTTGGGAATTCCATTTCTTAGTTAGGCTTTGTCTTGCATTGGAGCCTGATGTGTGTATTAGTGTATTATAAAAGTCACATTACCTGAGCCTAAAGACATGCTTTTTCTTCTTATAATCTGCTACAGCCTCACAGGATGCGCTGCCTAGGAATAGTCCCTCTTCACCTTGTAGAGGCTCATTCATAGCAAAGTTCTTAGCGTCTTTGTAGAAAAAGACATCATTGTTCTTCAACACGCAGTAGACATTACTCCATGTTCTGGATTTAAAAAAAGATGAACAAATACACATTTCAGTCTGCAGTGCTCAAATAAAAGTTTGTACCCTGCTATTACTAATTGCGTAGCCTGGCATAAAGGAGTCCTGAGGTAGGAGAACTTGAGGAAGGCATATGAGTGAAATACACCAAGAAGTGGAAAACACTATTCATCTTTTCATACTTCTTAGACTACATATACCAAATACTTTTTGTAGCTGGAATGTCACACATCTGAAACCCTGTCCTGTAACTGCATGCTTAGAAAATAAACAAAAGTCAGTGATTACAGAACAAAGATCAGTTATATAATGGAACAACTTGTTTGTAGTAAGGCTACATACACACAGGCATATATTACTGATCATACAGGTGTGGTTTTCCTGGCCAAAAGTTCCTGTATAAATGATCAGTCAAATGCTTGTGTTTAGATGCATTTAAATGCGTAAACTTCTGGTTCTATATGTTCCTGCTCTGTCTTCAATCCCAGAATACACTTTTTGTATCTATATATATATATATACGTATACATGCATTTACATGCGCCTGAAATGCATGTTCTCAGATAGAAATGTTTTCGATTTGTTTGTTCAATACAGACCCGTAAACAAAAAATGCTTTGAATTGCGTTTTTTACTGCCTTTGTGCTACAGTGAGTCTGTTACATATTGTGTTGGCAAAAATGAACAAAATTCCAGTCTGAGACCCTCCATGGGGCCAGATCCTCAATGCTACTGTTTTTGAAGTCACAGGAGTGAAAGATTTCTTTGGATTGGTTGAAGTGGTTTACCAGATTTTGTACTCTTGCTTTACTTAAAGCTGAACTTTACACATAACAACTTGATAAAAATAATGTTCTTTAGCAAGGAACAAACATTCCACTGAGAGCTGAAGAAGAAGCAAGGGTGCTTTGAAAAGTATTCCTGTTCCAGCGCTAGCATCCTCCAACAACTAAAGGTGGCTCCATATCCTGGGCCCTGTGTTCCATCCACGGCTTTGGCTCTCCAGTGAGAGCAGTTCCCTGCTACCACTCCATTCCATCTCCACTCCCTTGCTAGTGGCCAATGCAAAGCATCCTGGTTGCCTGTCCAATCTCAGTCCCAGAGGCTACCTGACTGTCATGCTGAGCTCCCTTTTAACTTTGTGAGTGCTATTCTACATTTTCTATTACACTTAACATGCTACAATATATTTGTTGTGCTTCTCTCCTCCACCACTCTTTTTGTCTTCCACATTAATATTTATTCAACCAAAATGAGTGTGGGCTGTAAATTGCCTCCAGCATTGCGCCTGTTTCTTCTTGCTGGAGGCTGCCATTATGCTGAAGCCCAGAGCCCCTGAGCAGAAGTAAATCTTTAGGCTGTCAGCAGATTGGCCTCTACATTTCCAGCACAGTGCTGAAAAATAGAGAACACCTGAGCATGTGCAGAACATGGTGGGACACTGGGGGAGAATTACTAAAACTGGTGCACTCAGAATCTAGTGCAGCTGTGCATAGTATCCAATCAGCATCTAACGTCAGCTTGTTCAGTTAAGCTCTGACAATAAAACCTGGAAGCTGATTGGTTTCTAAGCAGAGCTGCACCAGATTTTGCATCTGTTTTAGTAAATCTCCCACAGTGTATTACTGGATTTAAAACACTATAGGCACTTATTTTTAGTGTTTTACATAGCTATACCTGCAAATGGGCCAGCCTGAAGTGGTCTAGCAGGACCTCATTTTCTGACTAACGTTCCACTTTAATAAAAGGGATTATGCTGCTGTGGAGTCCCACTTTGCTGCTTCAGCTATCATTTACCTGTTCTGGGCCTTTTTGAGTGTTCCATCTAGATCATGCTTTCTCAATAAATATCCTTGAATTTGGATAGTGGAAGAACTAGGCAAACTTGCTGGTAGAGTTGAAATTTCTTCTGTTACAATAACTGTGGGATGCAATGCACTGTGCTCAGCTTGTTCCATAGGATCTGTCTCGTGTTCCTCTGTTGTGATCTTCCACTCCTCCATGATATGGGTCTCTTGAATGACTCCCTGTGTGCCTGGTGCATCAATGCCATCAGCGCCTTCTGCTTCTGCTACCTGGAACAACACACAAGAAAACAAAGCTTTCAGTAATGTTAAAAGTTGATGACAAACTTTGGGAATTTTTCTTTTATTAAGAACTGAAAATATCAAGTAACAAATTATTATGCAAAGACACTGGTTACACCATGATCCTATAGACCAGTAGACTAGGGGTCTCCAAACTATGGCCTGCAGACTGAGGATTCAGATAAGTTGGTCTATGCTTCTCCAACCCCCCCCCCCTCCCAAACTCCTTAATGACCCTGATAAGGGGGGTCTCTAATGTGGACTCTGACACGAGGGGGAACCCTTTATCAATTAAGTTTTTCTCTTTTGTCCTGAATCATATCATGCTGATTCTGAAAAAGAACAAAGTAATACTTTTTAATTTAATATTTATTATTCACTGATTTATAAAATTTACTATTTTTCAACCTGCAAATATTTGTAAAATATTCGATGTGGCCCTTGTACTAAAAGCTTTGAAAATCCCTGCTCTAGACAAACATATTTATATCGTATAATATATGAGTCTGGATTTTGTTTTTATGCAACAAAAATCCACTGCACTCCAAGTGGTATATTACAACCTCATAACTAAGGGACCAAAGACTACCAATTGTTATTTATACACTTAGCATACTGGGTGGTTATCGCATGTTACTGATGCTTTTGTGTCTTTTTTATTCTTTTGTTTCCATTTACAGGTGGGAATATGACATCACAATGATGTCATGGGTACATTGTACTTGGCGATTAATAATGTGTCTATAAGTATGTTACATAGATAGGGAGGTGTTACTGTTTGCCTTCATGAAGAGTCCCTAAGTGGTCCTTAATTGTTGGCTTTGGAAGCATTTGATGTGACAAGCTTCATGGTACAATAAGTCATTGAATATCAGAGAATAGAGTGCTAGTGACCTAGTATATGTGTTTTGTTTGTATCTGGTACAGTCAATCACAGGAATTCAAATATCAAACCAAGATCCTACTGGTGTTATACTATATGATCTGTGTTTGAAATACATACAAGTCTCTTGAAAAAAAACTTTCAATATGATCTTCAAGACTTTGTTTTTATTAAATCCCCAACAGGAATTACATTTCCCCTCACTATTTTTTTAAATTATGTGGCATTTGTAAGGAATTAATGGATTTGTATGTTCACATGTACTTTACAGTACACTAGTCTTTCTTGTTTAAAGTGGAATTTTACTGCTGAAAGATACTTGCAAGCAGGAAAGAGTTTATTGCAGAAGAGATTCTGTTTGTCTCTTCTATAATAGCACCAGTAGAGTCCTGTACCGTGTTAGCCATGATTAATGCCTACATCCACATTCTCAGTCTGCTCTCTCTTGCAGCTCAAAGTTAAGGAAACTGTAAAGCGTAAGTATTTTGTTTCCGAAAATAAGTAAAGGGATACTAACTCTTTAATTAAAATCAACATAGAACAAAACAGTTCAGTGTGGTGATGTACACTGTTCAGTAGGCAAAAAGTAAGGCAATGACATGGGTTATAAAAAACTACAGCTCTGAAAAGTCTGATGACTCTCCTTCATCTACGTGCAGGAGTAGGTGGATCACAAGAGCATGTACTGTACATTACTTACAAATCATATACACATATATAGTTGTAGTGCCCTCTAGGTTTAGCTAGATAGGATTTGTTGTTTTTGTGAGTCAGAGGCTTGCTAGAAACCTGGGATGAGTCAGCCTGGAAGTGAGGTAGAGAGATCACCTCAGGAAATGCTAGGAGGCTCTACAGGTGAAGGCTTCTGGAGCCCTCCCATCCTTCCAGAACTTGCTGAAATTTTCTGGAAGAGGGGAGGAGGCCCACATTTACATTTTTAAGGGAACTTGGCCAATCCCCAGGCAGGAGGCCAGGCATGGTGGCTAAGAGCAGCCCTTAAATTTGGCAGAGCCTGTGCAGCAGGGGAGTTGAGTGGAAGATGGGCTGAGAGAAGGTGCTGGAGTGTGGAGCCTGGGAGGGGGCCCCAGGGAGGAAGCCTACACTGCAGGCTGGTGCTGGATGAAAGAATCTCTACTGTACCACAAGTCTCCTAAGGAGGACATCCCGTCAGCAGGGAAGGAGCCAGCCCAGCGTAAGGCCTGAAACAGCTGCAATTCATCAAGCTAACAGGCAGGACAGTGGGAGTACTTCTACACCCCCTGGGCCAGAGAAGGGAGAGGGCGGTTAGGTGCAATACCCAACTAGTTCTCATCTGGGACTACTTAATTTCAGACCTTGGAATCCCTTCCCAAGGATAACCTCAGGACAACCGGGTGAAAGAGGAAGGTTTCATCTAGGGTCTGAGGAGGTACACCAGAAGGGATATCAGTGCTCCTTAAAAAGACAGTTGCTACTTTTTTGGTCCACATTTTTGTACAGTGTTTGCTGAGAAGTTGTCCTCAAGTTTTACAGTTCTGTGAAAATGTGGAAAATGTGCGTTGTCTGGCCTTGCAGAACTTGAGAGACCCATCAAATTTAGCAGCCCTTAGGGGGGGTGAGCGCTACATAATAATATTAATACATTTTTTCTTTACTTGCTCCAGTCCATTTTTTATTTTTTGCTTTTTTTTTTTCCACTGTAAGTACACTGTTATATAGAACACAGTATATATAATTTTATAAACAAAGCATATCTGCACTGTATGCAAAAAACAGTCAATTGTTAAGCCTGGATTATCTGAAAAACATGATGGAATTTCCAAAAATAAATGCAAACAATCGTTTTATCTGCAAAAGATGCACAAAAGAGGAAAGTCCTGCCCATTGTTTTACCTCCATAGGCTGCTCATCTACTTGTCTAGCATGAGGTTCTAAGTATTCTCTTTCATCTTTTGGTTCAGCACTAGGGGAAAAAAAAGTTCAGAAAAATATATATTCATTTGCTTACTTTGACCTGATTTCAGCATGAATGTGTTAACACTATAGACTTCAGTTAAGAGTATACAAATACAGCAACAAATCACAAATCATCTTTCTTAAGAGTTGAACTATATTCAATTGTATTCTGATCTAGTTTACGAGAGTTCGGATGGCCAAAGACAAGCAACTGCCTCATTGAAAATTATTATTATTATACAGGATTTATATGGCGCCAACAGTTTGCACAGCGCTTTACAATATAAGGGAGACACTACAATTACAATACATTTCAGTACAGAAGAAATAGGAGGGCCCTGCTCGTGGAGCTTACAATCTAAAGGAGCAGACAGAGAGATGTGGCCCATCCTCTAACAGGGGTGGCCAACCTGCGGCTCTCCAGCTGCTGCAGGACTACAAGTTCCATCATGCCTCTGCAAGTCAGTAACTTCCCATCTTTGCAATGCCTCATGGGAAATGTAGTTCCACAACAGCTGGAGAGCCACAGGTTAGCCACCCCTGCAACAACAGGACCTGCTATGCAATGTAGCCAACAGCTCTCACATGTGCTGAACATGTACTGTATATAGGGTGGAAAGGTTTTATAACATGGAAGGAGATATTTGATCTTCAAAAATAAGGATGAAACACTAACATTTAAAAAACGAGCTGGGTCAATAGGGTTAGTGAAAATATATACAAGAGATGTGATGGGTGTTACTGGGTGGCCTTCAATGAAGTCACATAGACTAAACTTTTATGTAATGTTATATTTATGTTTTTATTAAACAATTGCCTGCTCTTAGCCAGTTTTCTGGCACGTTTCTGTCCCTTGTTAGTACTGGAGAACCATGCTTGTCAAATTCATTGGATGAGCCCGGAAGTGGATGGAAATCTAGGAGCAGCTAAGAGTAGCTCTATGGCCCACATATTTGTTTATGTGGTCATTGAAATTCATGAAATGCGTAGTCTATTGGCTGCATTGGCAGAAGATGGGCTCTGAAAGTGCGGCTGTCTAAAAGGAAGAGACTTGCTAAGAATGAAACATAGTAGCATGGTGCAAATATATCATACAGTTTTGGCGCTCTGCCATAACTGTCCCTCATATTTGACAAAGTTGGGCCACCATCATTTAAGCTTGTTTCTCTTACTGTATTTCCACTTGAACCTCTCTTGTTTCAGCTTCAGCTGCATGAGCCATTTGTTGCATTGCAGCTTCTTGATATTTTCGTATCTCCAGTAATTCCAGCTGCAAAAATGCAAAAGGCATTATAAAAAAAAAAAAAAAAACTAAAGTTACCTAAGTTTTCTCAAATCCACTATCTTAGATAATAGGATAATTGCCATAATATATTTTTTCTTTCACAAAGCGTTTTATTGTGTATTGAGTCAAAAATGAACATAGCAATATCAAAATGAGCAAATCAGGCAAATCCATTAATTATGGTTGTAGAATCGTAACAGTTACATAGTGACAATAATAAAAGGAGATAATAAAATACCATGGTATAGATGTTCTATTGGGAACCAGCATTGTACCTTTCTGACATAATAGGTAAGTTTGGGGTAATCATCCATTACTTATCAAGTAGAGGAAGTAGATTAAGGAACATAAAATACTAAATAGTTGCAAGAGTGGAAAAAAAGTGAAAAGTAAAAAAAAGAAAGGGCTTAAAATAGAGGACATATATAAGAAAGAAGAGAGGAAGAAATCCCAGGGGTCTGCTCTGCGTCTGATTAAACAAAACACATTTCTTAGAGGAAAATATATATAGATCACAAAATGATAATTCAGCTTCAGTGACCTCTGAGGCCCCCCTCACAGCATAAGGCTCCATGCAAACTAACGCTGAAAAAAAAAAGCTGAATAAAAAATGCTGGTAATAACTGTTTTTAGTAGCATTTAGAAGCGTTTAGCATTTTAATAGTGTTTTTTACAGTACATGTAGGAAAAACAAAAAAAGCTAGCAAAAAAAAAGCATTTTAGAAGTGTTTAGGAGCGTTCAGTGTTTTTTTCTATCAGAAAAATGCTCCCAAAATCTTGACAAAAACTATTTTTTTTCTGCTCCTAAATGCTGAAGCTTGAAAAGCGCTACATGCTGCCTAAAATATTATGCATGGACACATAGGATAACACTAATTAGCTTCTAGGAGCAGAAAAAAAAAATGCTGATAACAGCTTCTAGGAGCTTAAAAAAATGCTAGTGTGCATGGAGCCATGTTTAGATTAGCATCTGCCACCTCAAATCCAACTGACAATTGCTCTACATAGTAATATGCAGAGGGAATGACAGGTTTTGGTTTGTTGTAACATAAAATATATACTTTAAATGAATTGTATGTAAACCTGCAGAGACTATGAAACTTGCTGAATTCATAAGAGGGGCGGACTGACCATTTGGAAACTCGGGCACTGCCCGAGGGCCCGGGGTCAGTAGGGGGCCCCATGAGATGCCCCTGGGACCTTCTTCATAGGCTTTTTTGAGTTTGGGCTAGGACACAGGGGCCCCATGATCCCCTATTGTCCGGGGGCCCCATGAGTTGTCAGTCCGCCCCTGATTCATAATGAATGATGATAATAAATACTTTACTAGACAACCTCTGCTTGAAGGAACAGCTGTTATATCCAAAAGAACCAGAAGGTGGGTTCCTGTCCAACCAAATGCATATGTTCTATGAGTAACATCCTTTTATTTAAAAAATACAAGAACTCCTCACCCCACCTCTGTAAACAGGGGAAAGGGGGATATATACGTGTGCAGAGTGGGACTTCAATTGTACCACACAGACGAAAACACCATGCATAGAAAAAAACTAATATTTATTAAAAAAATTTAAAATATGATTCTCATAAAAAGCATATATTTCATCAGCAATCAAACATGAAGGGAAAAAATGTTTTTTTCTAGATTGCACTAGAAGAGAAGTATGCACCTGCAGGGATCTAATGAGGAAATTGGTAGGGTCTGCATCCCTTTAGATGTGATTTGCTATAAGAAGTATCTCACCAAAAATGACATTTGTGTTGCAAGGGATGCCTGAAATCTGACTTGTATCTTAGTGCAGACTTCTGGGAAAATCAGTAAGCCAAGCACGAAATTATGTTTCTGGGGTGGGGGGTGGTGGTTTGTACATATTCTGTGTACAGAACACCTCCAGGTAGACATATTGCATTGTATTTTACAGAAACTTACAGCACTGCATATTAAGAAGGGAAGACAATTTTTAATAATGTTCAATTACAATATGACTTGTATCGCAGTTGTACATGCCATATGATTTTTTTTTAATTTGCTATTTTTTTCCCATGAAAGTGGAGTACCCTTGGCCCCTGGATGACTGGACTCTTCTAGATTGGATCACACTTTATTTACATGTCTTGATGAAAGACCCTGAAGAAACGATATGTTGCAAAATGTGTTGATATAGGAAAGTGTGACAATTAGTACAATCTAGAAAAATAGTCTTTTCCCTTTGTGATTGATTGTGATTGATTGTTGATGGAATACTGTTCTATATGTTTTTTATTTATAATTTTTGTAATAAATATTTGTTCTTATCTATATATGGTGTTTTCTTTTATGTGGTACATGTAAAGTCCCTCTCTGCAAATATATACCCCCACCCCCTTCCTACCATTTAATGGGTGTGGGGAGTGGGGGGGGGCGAGGGGTACTTGTTTGGAGGAACAGCTGTTAGCAAAGCTTATAATAGCACTCAGACCACACATCTTATTCTAAATATATTTGTATGTATCTATATATTGGAAGACATTGTTAGAAGCTGAGCAGCTGGGCACTACAACCATCTGTGTTGATCCTATTCAGCTCTCTCATATATACCACTTTCTCTCACTTAGAAGGATTTAAAAACCTGCCTCAGCTAATGTGAAGTTGCAGCCTATCGTGTTGCAGACATACCGTGGTAAGCCTTTCCAGGGCTGCAAATCTCTCTTCCCATGTTACTGTGGATTTCTCAAAGGCTTCATGTTTTTTTTAATAACTTTTCCACATCGTCCATACTATTTCCCACGTGTGTGGTGTACAAGTAAGGTTCCTTTGCTATTAGCCAGGCTTCTGCCATGGAGGCATCTCTTGCAAACTGACAAACTTCCAACACTGAATAAAAAAAAACACAAAAAACAAAAACGACTATATCAGTAAGGCTGATTTTAGGTATTATATATAAATATATACTCCTGCACCACAGAACAAACCCCTCCTACCAAAAAAAAATATATAATATATATAGGATGCTGCTGTGCACTAGTGTAAACACTAAATCATCAAATTAATCAAATAAACAGCGCAATACCCAACAAATGATACATAAAAAGAAAAATACTAGTATAAATTTTTTTTTTAAATTTAGAAGTGTCCAAAATAAATATGTCCAACAAACAAAAAAAATATATAATAAATTTCACATAATATCCAAATAAAATGAAAAACTCATAATGTGATTTAAAGTGTCCAAAATTAATGTGTCCATCAAAATATCAAAAATCATCAAAAATATATATATAACATTATGAAACTTTAGCCTTATTCTTCAACTTCAAAGTGCTTCACCAAAAACGAATACATTTATAATGTGATTATCCTTCTGTCATAAGTGCTTCTACCATCCACCAGTGAGAAACCAACATTAATCGCACTCACCAGATATTGGCGAATAGTAAGCCTTTTAGGACTTTTAGGGATCCTACACCCCCTCTTAACGCCTCCAGACCTCCATTCCACCACACTAGACTAAAAAGATTCTTCAACTTCCTTTCTCCAAACAAAACGCTCCACCGTTGTGCCAAAGAAGAAAGTATAGCATATAGTGTAATATTGCTACTAACCTCTTCTTAAATATATAATAATGATGCCAAGTCATTCATGGTATGCAGCAATATAAAAGGCTCTTTATTATGTAGCCTACAACGGCCAAACATCCTCAGAACACCATCCATGATATACTGCAGAAATCCCACAGCTATCTGTGCAGAGGATGACAATAAATTGACAGACACACAGTTCCCAAAATGGCCGCTGGAACGCCCCTCTCGGCGCGCGTTCCACTCACTGGAAGTGACGCATGACATTAGTAAAGCGGACCGGAAGTGCGTCGACGCATCTCGCCCCTCCCACTGGGCGTTCTCAAGACCTTTTAGGTATTTTAGGTATTAGATGGAGGAAAAACCAGCTGTTAGATTGATATTCAAAATCCTGCATCTTTCTCCTTGCAATATTTGGTATTTACAGTGCCTCCACAGTGCAATGTACAATGTATACTCTGAATAGAGTTGGGTGCTGGGATGTTAAAATTACAGTGCAGAAATTCGATCATCAATAACCAAAAAAGAAAAGCTGTTGGATGTAGAAGCGCCTGACAAAGTGGCAGTGGAAACAAAGATGGCAGGGGCAGTGAGGGAGAGCATGGACCTGCCAGCACTGATGGAGGGTTAATCCAAGTATGCTGAAAAACTGCTGCCTCCCCCACCACACTAAAATTAATGAATGAGCTACTCAAAGGGTCAATGCACACACAAATGATATTTCAATTTTAGTCAAATAATGAAGAGTTAAACCACCCCATAATTTATATCACCTAGGAATTCCAATGGTCAGACATCCATGTTGCCATTGTAAGAGATTTTCACTCTTCCTGTTGGATATTTCATCATATGTTAAGGAGAATGTAACAGGAGGCATTGAAACATGAAAAGATGGGTGAGCTCTGTCTTTTTCTAAACAGGTGAACAGAGCATTTGGTCAGTTTTTATGGGCAAATAAGTCCCCTAGATTTTCACAGTTGATTTGTAGACTACCGAAAATGCAACGGGGGATAGCCTTTCTAGATGTTCATTGTTACCAGGAGGCCATGACATCATTAGCCTAGACAATAAACCAAGAAGTAACTGTAGACATGTAAAAAAATAATTTTAAAGGCAAATTTGTGTTTATTAGATTTTGTAACAAATTAAACAATATATAGCAAGAAAATAATAAGAACATTGACAATGGAATGGGCAAAAAACAACAACATAGGTATGAGACAGGCGGTATTCAACAATAATGAGATAATTCCATAAAACCAAGAGAATACACCCAGACAGAGAGGAAAGAGAGAGAAGGAGAGAAGAAAGAGAAAAAAAGGGGGGGGGGAAAGAAAAGGGGGGAGGGGGGACACCAGAGGTAAAGATATTGAAGGAAGAGAGGTAAGAAAAGGAAGAGGGTCGGCAGAAGACGGCCACGGCAACAAGTGGAAACAAGGTGATCATCCATCAGTATCCCATCAGAATGATCCCTTCGGCCGCATCCCAATACGGACCGCAGGGCCACACCAATGAACATGCTAGATTGAAAAAGACTCGGAGGAGTAGGGCTCAACTCCGTTAAGGCACGACAGGGGAACACAAATCTCGAAGAGATGAAGAGGAGGAGAAATGGAGCCAGACCGACACAGCAACTTATGTTTATCGTAGGTATCATTGGCAAATGCCAGCATTTCCTCCATATGCATGTATCATTAAGTACAGAGAGCCAAAGTGGAAGAGGCGGTGGAGTAGTCGACTTCCAAAAGAGAGGTATCAATTGGCAGGCCGCGGGTAGAAAGAAGCGCAGCAAATGTTTCTTCTGTGCAGCCAGTGAGCCCGGTAATATAGAGAGGAGAGTAATTTCCGGTGAGGGGGCCAAGGACTCACCATAGATTTTGTCATATATAGCAAAGACCTGTCGCCAGAACGGTTGTATTAGGTCGCAATCCCACCAGATATAGAGCTGTGTACCAACAGCTTTAGTACAGCGCCAGCATAGATTAGATGTAGAAGGAAATATTTTGTGTAGGGGGAGGGGGTCCCTGTACCATCGAGAAAGGAGCTTAAAGTTCTTTTCTTGTGAATAACAAGAAATAGACGATTTATGAGTGAAGTGGAACGACGTGGACCAGTCTGCAGCTGAGATGTCTTTACCTAGATCTCGAGCCCACGCCTTGGTGTAGGGAGGGAGATCAGAATGAAGAGCATTGTGCATTACTTTATATAGGGAGACTAGGACATGTCTAGGCAGATTAGAGAGGGAGCACAGCCGCTCAAACTCAGTAAGTGGACGATGAGTGTCGGAGGAAGAGTGTAGGTGTTTGCAAAATGCGGATAAATGTAAAGTGGTCAACCAATCCCCAGGCCTGCCCAGAAGGAGCAGAAGAGCCGATTGAGGGCAAATAAAGTCTCGAGCTACGAGCCATAAGGTGCGCGTAAAGGGACCGATGACAGAAGAGCCCAACTCCTAAGGAAGCGCAGGGTTATCAAATAGGGGTGATAAGGGAGAGGGATCAGATGATAAGAGAGCAACAATGCCCTATTGACACCACAATCGCAGTACAGCCACAGTCAACAGGGACAGGCCGAGAAAACGCCGGTGGTCCCGACTATAATCCCACGGCAAAGCCCGAAGGTCAACCGGAGACAAATCTTGTTCAATCATACAAGAGGCTTTATGGAAGGGCCTGGGAAACCAGTCAAGCATCTGTGCTAGCATTGTGGCTCTATAATATAGTTCAAAGTCTGGTAAACCTACTCTGCCTCCGGATTTCAGGTATGTATGTACCCTGTATTTTAATCATGAGAAACTTTGGTGCCAAATAAATCTAATTGAAAGGGAACATAGGGAAAGGAAGAAACTCTTAGGGACAGTAATCGGCACAGTCTGGAAAACGTATAGTAACTTCGGTAAGGTATCCATTTTGAGGGTGTTGATGCGGCCGAACCAGGGCAGAGCTGAAGCACCCCAGGGCACCAGATCTTTTCGGATATGAGAAAGCAAAGGTAAGTAATTAAGGGAATACAGAGCAGTAACGTCAGCAGGAATCATAATCCCTAGATACTTAATAGCCTTTGAGCGCCATTGAAAAGAGAAATTGGAGTGTAAGTTCACCGACACATGGACAGGTAACGATACATTCAAGGCCTCCGTTTTAGAGATATTAAGTTTGAAGTTATAGAAGAGACCGAATCTGCGGAATTCATGAAAAAGACTGGGGAGTGAAATAAGTGGTTGTTGGACGTATACTAAAAGGTCATCTGCGTATAAGGACAGTTTGTGATGCGAGTGTGGATGCCCAAAATTGAGTCATTCGCTCGTATGGCTCTCGCAAGATGTTCTATTACCAAAACAAAAAGAAGAGGCGAGAGTGGGCAACCCTGTCTAGTCCCATTCGAAATGGGGAAGGGTGAAGAGACCGTACCATTCACCAGGACAGACACCGAAGGGCGAGAATAGAGGGACATAATCTGAATGAGGAACCGCAAGCCCAAACCTATCTGTTCTAAGGTAAGACATAGATAATGCCAATCAACATGATCGAATGCCTTCTCAGCGTCAAATGAAAGGAGACAAGCCATTTAGCCATGTTGTTTAATATAAGAGATACGTTTTAGAAGTATTATCCCTAGCTTCCTGACCTGGGACAAAACCAACCTGATCACAATGGACCAAGGTTGGTAAAAAAGGGGAGAGGCGGTTCACCAAAAGCTTAGCAAAAAGCTTAACATCTAGATTAAGTAGAGAGATTGGGCGGTAGCTACCGCAAAGAGAAGGGTCTTTATCCAGCTTTGGGATAACCGAAATGTTGGCGGACAAAAAGGCTGAAGAAGGCACATTCAGATCATCAATGATATTAAAAGCATGGGCCAAAAGCGGGGCCAGTGGGGCAGCAAAATTTTGTAAAAGCGAGGGGTAAACCCATCCGGGCCCGGGCACTTACCAGTTTTCATGGCCTTGATCGCCCCAAGAACTTCCATAGTCGAGAGCGGCTCCTCCAGATCCAATGTATCCTGAGCATCTAGAGCATCTAAGACAGGCAGTGCCGTCTCCGTAATGTATGGAGACATAGCCGTAAGAGAAGAAGAGGGAGGAGCATCAGGATGCACCGAGGATAGATTATAGAGTCGAGAATAGTATTGCTCGAACGCGGATGAAATTCCCCAATTATGTTAGAGTTTAGTATTGTCAGGCGCCTTGATGTGCTGGATCGGACGAGAGGATGGGCGAGGGTGCAGTACACGTGCCAGTTGTTGACCACATTTATTTGCTAGGGAGCAGTGAGTGTTACGTGCTTTGTCTCATGCAACAAGAGAGGAAGAATCTAAAAGTTGGAGTAAATCTCTGCGAACATTAGCTAAGTCCACCGCAATCCTTGGGTCCAACGTGCTTTTTTGAGAAGATTCCAGGCGCGCAATGAGTGAGAACAAGCGACGCATCTCCATCGTTCGAGCCTTTTTTAAACTAGAGCCATGTTTAACAAGAACCCCTCTAAGAACACATTTAAGAGTCTCCCATTGATTGAGAGGGCCGGTAGTGTCCAATGAGTGATCAAGAATAAAATGTTGAATAGTCTGCACGACCTCCACGACACACAAAGAATCCTTGAGCAGAGTATCATTCAAGCGCCAAGAAAAGTGGTGCAGAGATGATGGTCAGTCCTGAATCGTAAGATGTATTGGGGCATGGTCAGACCATAGGAAATGACCAATAGAGGAAGAAGTCGTGCAATTTAGGAAAGACTGTGACACAAAGAAATAGTCAATACGGCTGTATGATGCGTGAGCTGCAGAATAATAACTATAGTCTCGCTCCGAAGGGTGTTGGATTCGCTAAATGTCCACTAAATGTAATTCATGCAGGTACGACTTAATAAGGGATAAGACCGATGAAGGGAGAGAAGATTTACCAATGGAAGTGACCAGGTCTGGAGACAGAGCTATGTTAAAGTCCTCTCCATCAATGAAACAGGGACCCCCAAATTTGGACAGCTTAGAGAGGTCCGTTGCAAGAAATGGAGCCTGATCTTGATTGGGAGCATATACGTTTGCCACCGTGAAAACAAAATCTTGGAACTTCAATTTGAGGAAGAGGTAGCACCCAGCTGGGTCTATTAGTGAGTCCAAGACCTCCGAGCCAAAGGTATGATGAAAAACCACCGACACCCCCCTAGACCTGGCCAGCGAATTAGTACTATGATACCACTGAGTATAATAACGATTGTGGAGGACTCGGATACCATCAGAGCGAAAATTAGTCTCCTGAAGGAGCAATATCTGCGATCCATGTTTATGGAAATGATAGAACATCTGGCCCCGCTTCTCCGGAGTGTTAGAGCCCCTGCAATTAATAGAGGAAAATTCATATTCATTTGTAGTGGATCAAATAGGAAACAAATGCGTCACTGACAGCGCTTCACAAAACCTCCCCCGACCCCTGATAAAAAGAGAGAAATAAAAAAAACACCTTCAGTGAGAAAAGGATAAAAAAGGAAGAGCAGAAAAAGAATGAAAAGAAGAAGAAAAAACTAATAGACAGACAAGCTGTCCAAAAAACATACAGTGTGATACAACACAGTACACTGAAGACCTAGGTGGGGAACGTCAAAGGCGCATGTATCTGATCCTGACCTAGGCCTCCCACAGGCAAATAATAACTTCGAGGAAGGTCCCCCTCATACAAGGACGACCCCCCCTCGTAAGACATATTCAATGAACACTCAAACAGGCATGAGAAAACGAGACTCCTCCCCCGACAAATAAATATAAACATATAAACATAACCCAGCACTAACCAGGTGTAGATGAGGTAAGTGGTGGGAGGGCTCAAGGCCCCTGAGACCATGGCCAGAGGCACCGCATCCCACCATAGCAAGCGGCGGCGATGTCACCTAAGAACTAACCCCGAGCCACAGCCCCAGGGCCCGAAAGGCAACAAGCACAAATATAAGTTACAAAACCAACAGGAGTAACCAAGAGGAGGCAAATAACCTGTAAAAAATAGGAAAAAGGGTAAAACGTCCAAAATTACTTGGATAGTGGATCATCCCTCTGGGATCTTCTGGAAAGAGGACCTGGAACGCTTCTTATTCTTTCGATCAGACCGCTGCCAGTAAGAGGGAGGCCAGGGATCGGGAGCTGGAAGGGCCAGTCCAGGAGGGACACCTGAGGTAACTCGAACACACCAAGAAATGTGAGCAAGCCTCCAAGAGTGCGGAACTGAGCAGATTTACCATTCTGTGAAGCTTGAAGTTGAAACAGGAATCGCCATTGATAGTGAATATGCCTTTCCTGTAACATATGAGTGAGAGGGTGCAGAGCCCTGCGCATGGCCAGAGTCTGGCGGGAGAGTTCAGGGAGGAGCATCACTGGCACTTCGTTGAATAGAATGGCATCGTGCAAGCTGGCTGCACGCAGAATGGTGTCTTTGACCTTGAAGTAGTAAACCCTGCACAACATGTCACAGACAAAAGATGGATCAGGATTCCTGGGGCCCAGCGTGCGATGTACGCGATCCAACTCTATATAGGTGTCTTTAGGTTGCTGTAGTAGTTGATTGAAGATAGCGGTATCTGCCGCAGCTAAATCTTTAGATTCAGTGGATTCTGGGATGCCCCTAATCCGAATATTGTTACGCGGTTTCTGTTCTCAATGTCATCTTCTTGGTACATGAGCTGTTGTATAAGAACTAGGGGCGGACTGACCATTTGGAAACTCGGGCACTGCCCGAGGGCCCAGGGTCAGTAGGGGGCCCCATGAGATGCCCCTGGTACCTTTTTCATAGGTTATTTTGAGTTTGGGCAAGGACACAGGGGCCCCTTGATCCCCTATTGCCCGGGGGCCCCATGAGTTGTCAGTCCGCCTCTGCTATCCTGAAAGCGATTCTTCCGCGTTCAGGAGAGGGAGGTTTAACCTCACCTAAACATGGCAGCTCTTAAACTCTGCTAAAGGCCTATGTGTACATAGACACAGGTTTTTATGGAGTTGAGTTTAGGAGCTTTGGCAAAAAAATGCCACAAACTCCTAAACTCGAGTTTAGCAGCTGCTCGTGTACATGAAGCCTTATTGTGTTTTTAAAAAATGATTGAACATTAGAACCCTTTGCCAGTGAATAAAGCCAGAAACCTTAAGCTGGCCATACACCAGTAGATGTTCAAATGAATGTTCGTATAAACATTTGCCCAACAATTCTCCGTATATTCAATGACTTGACAATTGTCATTCAAAAGTACTTCAAAATTTATTTTGTTTTCAATTTTAAAACGCATGGACTTTACCGAATGAAAACCACACTCATTGTTAGAAATTCGTTTTGTTTGAGAAAAATGCTCCATCCTGCTCCTTCGAATTTTCTGGTCAGTGGAGTTGAAAACAAAAGTCGATTTGACCCCACTAACCATTATAAAATCAAACAAAATTTTTCGAACAACATTCTACTAGTGTATGGCTAGCTTAAAAGAACTTTTTTTTTCTTTTAGAACACTCTGAATAATGTGGGCCAACGTGGTGGTTTAAACATTTCCTTTAACTGATCATTAGGTGGTACTATTAAGAATTACTTACATACTCGTAGCCAGTCCCAGCGCTTTTCCCACCTATCCAGCATTTCAGCTCTTCTTTCTGCTAGTTGTTCAAGTTTTTCTTTTATCTGAAAAAAGAAAAAGAATGCAATGCTATAAATGCTTCATACACCAAAAACACAAAAACATTCATATAGTCACACATTCGCAATCTTAAAATGTAAAAACCTTATAAGATGCACTGCCTGTGCACCCTTGGCCCGAAGTGTATATGTAGCATTGTGTTGTGCATTACAACTACTGTAGCAGATCCTGGGTGGTTGGTATGGAGTGAAGGACATTGCCACAACCTAAAGTTGCAGGTTATGTTTTCATCAGCATGGCTGCAATCAGACAATTGCAGATGCGTAAGCAATCCAATGTGCACCACCTGAAAATATCCTTTTATTGTCCTGCTCTACCAGGCCCAGACCCCAGACTATTGCCCAGACCCATTTGGACTTTCCACAATTGAAGGGTCAGTGATAAAGATAATCACAATAGTGATATTTGTATTGCCAAGAGGGAGGCATAAAACAACATACATTTTCCTTTCACCTTCCCTTGCCTTAAATGCATCTGGTTTAGACACATTGGGGTTGATTTAATAAAGGCAAGTATTGTTCACTTTGCAGGGGAAATTGCACTTTGGAAATTGAACTTCCTCAGAGTGAAGCTTTGCTGACTTGCGTCATCCAATCATGTGCAAGCTAAAATGCTTTTTTTATTGTTTTTATTTATTTGCTTATGATTGTGTGTTCTTTGCAAAGTGAATTTTCACCGCAAAGCTAAGTGATAATTCACTTTCCAAAGTGAACATGCCATACTCCTTTAGTATCTCAACCTCATTTAATCTGATTGATGGGAAAACTCAAACTGTTAGCCATGACCTGGCATGCTCAAGTCATACCTCTGTTGCACATATGTTCATGGGGTGACTGTGTAATAGCCAATAAATGATTTCACTAGTTCAAGGATTCATGTCAACAATCAGGGGATCATTGGCTGTGTGGGAATTGAATACAGTGAGGTTATTAGTGCTCAGAGCACATATTTAAAAAACACTACATGCCCAGATGCTAACATTTCATTTTTGCATGTATAAAAGGGAACAAGACTTTAACTACATACACCACCTTTTCCATACATATTGGGGTAAGGGAAAATGAGGTCCCACTATCCCAATGATGGTTTAGAGACAGGCAGACCTCACAGTGCCTATTATCAGATGTTACACCCGCCAGATTAGCAAGGTAGGATTTTTGTTAGAGAGAGGCTGAGTAGAAGCCTGGGGATGAGTCAGCCTGGGAGTGAGGTAGTGAGGTCACCTCAGGACAGGTAGGGAGCTATAACAGGTCAGGGCTTCTGGAGCCCTCTCACCTCACCAGAAACTAGAGAACTTTCTGAAAGAGGGGAGGAGGCCCAGCTCTGCATGTTTGAGGGACCTTGGCCAATCCCCTGGCAGAAGTCTGGGCATGGTGAGCATGGCATTCTTTGGTTGGAGTATGGAGCCTGGGAGGAGGCCCCAGGGAAGATATCCCAGCTACAGGCAGGATGCTGGAAAGCAGGATCTCCACTGCCTCAATGTTTCCAGGGGAGAACAGCCTGTGCAGCAGGAAAGTAGCCAGCCCCGTGTAAGGCTTGAAAGCAGCCACCAACCCACTAACTAAGCTAACAGGAGAGGACAGTGTGAGTATTCCTACACCCCCTAGACCAGATAAAGGGAGAGGGCAGTCAGGTGTAATAACCAACTAGTTCTCATCTGGGACTGCTCACTTGGCAGCTATTGGGCTCCTTTGCTCAGTGATACCCTCAGGCAGCTGAGTGAACAGGAGGAATCATCCAGGGTCTAAGGAGATACACCAGGAGGTAGTTTTCTCAAAGAAGAGACTGTTGATACCTGCATTCTTGTACATAGTTGCTAAAGAGTTTGTCTTCACGTTCTGCTGTTCCTCGGGTATCCCATATACCCCTAGACCCCATTGTTAACCCCTTAATAATAATCACAAAGCCAAGCTCAAGGACTGTTCTTTGACTCCAGTGTGCAAAGTGTGGGAATTGTGTGTTGCCTGGCCGTGCATAGCTTAGGGGTACCTAATTCAAATTCAGCGACTCCTAAGGGGTACATGTTATAGATTGTACACTCTTCTTTATATTTACTAAAAGTACAATGTAAAGCTCTACCTAAATAATCTATTCAATTTGTGTCAAATGAACTACAAAGTTATTATTAGATGTACAGCAGATGGTGGTTACTTACACCCAGCATGTGGTTACCTATACCCATATGTCTAAGCTTGGCACTGACTCTAGTATTTTGTTGTACCATGGCAAAAAATAAGTCTGCATACATTTCAAGAACAAAATCAGAGACTGACCTGACAATAACCTGTACTTACCTCTTCTGAATCTGGGTGATTCCGAGCTAGTAATATTTCTCCAAGGCCAACACAGCTGGAATAACTTGTGTTCCTGGCCTCTATTTCAGCTCTCAGATCCTGGTGATATTTTATCAGTAATTCCACAGATGACACATCTCTGTAAAAATGAGGTATAATCAACATAACATCAATGGGGCATAAAAAATGGATTCCTGAAAATTTGTTGTCTCTGTGACATTAGGGAGTATATACAAAAGAGTCAGTATAAACCAGTCCTAGTAGAATAAGGAAATTTATATGTAGTGCCCAACTGTTCCAAAGGGTTATATATAACAATTCTTAACTGTGTTTAGCAACATTAAGGGAAAAAGTGGAAGACCCATATTTTCCAGTCTGGAAACACAGTAATTATGCGTATTATTATTATTATTTAAATACCATTAGTGACATGGCATTCAGGCCCAACCACCCCCAAAAAGTACCAAATCATTATACAAATTTAACACTGGATCCTCAGTTCCCTTGCAGATATTCTTGTTTAGTTTATAACAGCAAGAGCAAAATGCAAGTTTAAGTTACCCATAATAATTGACCAGAATTCATTTTTCAGAAGTGGAGTATGATAAACTGATATCTGATAGGGGTTGTATAGCTTAATACACTCAAACCTATCTTAAAGGAAATGGACCTAAGCACATCCAGTCAACACTTACTGTATGTTTCAATCTAAATTCCACTCTTGATAGTCATTACCAACATACTCAAATACCCACCACCTTCACACACACACACACACACACACACACACACACTACATTACCCATCCCTCCATGCCAAGGCCTAATCAACCCACTTCAGGTATTATTCGAATAAATGCAGACCTATAATGATATCACAGATACACAGGCACTTCATAGCATAATACGGCATGTACGTTGTGTTCAAAATAATAGCAGTGTGTTAAAAAAAGTGAATAAAGCTCAAAATCCTTTTATTTCCATACACACAAATGCATTGGGAACACTACACATTCTATTCCAAATCAAAACATGAAGAAAAATATATCAATATATCAATATATATATAGGAACAACACAAATATATATATTTGTGTTGTTCCTCTAAACAAAATTGAAGAAAAATGAATATTAGACTGTTCAAAAAAATAGCAGTGTTTGTATTCTTCTTTACAAACTCAAACATTCACTATATAAACTGTTTGAAGATTTTGCTTTCCTTTGAATCACTTAATTAATACTTAGTTGTATAAGCACTGTTTCTGAGAACTGCTGTACATCTGTGTTGCATGGAGTCAACCAACTTCTGGCACCTGTGAACAGGTATTCCAGCCCAGGATGATTGGACTGCATTCCACAGTTCTTCTCTATTTCTTGGTTTTGCCTCAGAAACTGCATTTTTGATGTCACCCCACAAGTTTTCTATTGGATTAAGATCCAGGGATTGGGCTGGCCACTCCATAACGTCAATCTTGTTGGTCTGGAACCAAGATATTGCACGTTTACTGGTGTGTTTGGGGTCGTTGTCTTGTTGGAACAACCATTTCAAGGGCATTTCCTCTTCAGCATAAGGCAGCATGACCTCTTCAAGTATTCTGATGTATTCAAACTGACCCATGATCCCTGGTATGCGATAAATAGGCCCAACACCGTAGTATGAGAAACATCCCCATATCAGGATGCTTGCGCAACCATGCTTCACTGTCTTCACAGTGTACTGTGGCTTGAATTCAGTGTTTGGGGGTCGTCTAACAAACTGTCTCTGGCCACTAGACCCAAAAAGAACAATCTTACTTTCATCAGTCCACAAAATGTTGCGCCATTTCTCTTTAGGCCAGTCAATGTGCTCTTTGGCAAATTGTAACCTCTACGTCTTTTTTTCAACAGTGGGACTTTGCGGGGACTTCTTGCAGATAGCTTGGCTTCACATAGGCGTCTTCTAATTGTAACAGTACTCACAGGCAATTTTAGACCTTCTTTGATCTTCCTGGAGCTGATTGTTTGCTGAATCCTTGCCATTTTGGCTATTCTTCTATCCATTCGAATGGTAGTTTTTTGCTTTCCTTCACGCCTTTCAGGTTTTGGTTGCCATTTTAAAGCATTTGCGATCATTTTAGCTGAGTAGCCTATCATTTTCTGCACTTCTTTATATGTTTTCCCCTCTCCAATCAACTTTTTAATCAAGGTACGCTGTTCTTCTGAACAATGTCTGGAACAACCCATTTTCTTCAGAATTTCAGAGAGAAATGCACTGTAACCAGCATGTACAACATTTGCTGCCTTCTTTCCTTAAATAAGGGCAATAATTGCCACCTGTTTTTCAAAGAATGAATGACCTCACTAATAGAACTCCACACTGCTATTATTTTGAACATGCCCCTTTCAATTAGTGATTCAATTACACAGAATCAGCAGCATGCATGTCCTGACTGTTGGGTCTGTTGGATTTCTATTACTCTACTACACCTGCTAGTAAATTATTTGCCATGTAGAAATATAATTTCTACCAAAAACAGTGATTGATCAGGTTTGTGATTTCTGACTGCTATTATTTTGAACACAACTGTATGAATCATCATACCTCACACACAAGACCTAGATGACCCTGCCAGCCCCCATATCTGCTCCTGTTTCATTATCTGACAGTCTTAATTGTTCTATTTGGTTTTCTGCACTTTGAATAAAAATACAATCCTATTCATTGTCAGTGTTAAATGTGCCAAATTGTTCAGTAAATTGAGAAAATAATAACTAGAACATAAGCAAAGATCATTGAAAAGATTTTTACTCAAGCCTTGTTTTTCCCTAATCTGCAATGCTTTACCATTAGAAATCTAAGGGCTTGTTCAGACTTGCCACCCCTTTGCAAGGTGTTCATGGTAGATTGCTTTTGAGAGGGTGAATGGTATGCAGTAGGGAGGCAGTATGTTGCCTCCTCACCTCCTGTGTGAAACCTGAAAAGCCTGTACCGCTGCTCTGCAACCACATGCATCTGGTTGCAGGGTGGTTGTGGCATGGCCCCATTCACTTGAATGGGTCAACAATATATGGTTTCAAACATGCTTGGGAAAAAATATAAATCTATACTCAGACAAGCGTTAACAAAAACAAAAAACAAAAACAAGACAAAAAAAACTAACACATGTATAAATTTTAAAAAATGGGCAGACTCGGTGGACCACTTGATCTTTTTTTGCCGTCACTTTTCTATGTTTCTAAGTTTGGTACAGCCCATCAAACTCGACAAGGGGAATAATTTTTTTTGTTGTCACTGCATTGGTACCACCCTGTCTAGCCTAAGCTGGGCAGTAAAACCAAGGCTGAACCACCAATTTTTACCACCTTCCCCTGAAGGCACATGCAGGGGCGGAATGACAACTCATGGGGCCCCTGGGCAATAGGGCATCATGGGGCCCCTGTGTCCTTGCCCACACTCAAAGCACACCCATAAAGCCTATAAAAAAGGTGCCAGGTGCCCCCTACTGACCCCGGGCCCTCGGGCAGTGCCGAGTGCTCGAATGGTCAGTCCGCCCCTGGGCACGTGAGAACAAAGCTTAAGGGCTATCTTGAACTTGCGATTGATCACCGATACAAACCACTAATGCTAGCAATGGCAACAATTTGAAACTAATGATTTAATTGTAGGAAGTGAATTTTGCATGTTGCAGTTTAAACTAGTGCTACATCAAAAGGCTGGCGTGCTGTGGTACAAACTGCACTCCTGCAATGATTTGAAGCTAAGCTCTAGAGGTGAATGTAGTGCAATTGTTGCTGGTGATGAAACTCAGCAGCTGAGGGACTGAGCTACAAATCACTATAAAATTAGCAAGCTAACAGTTTGAAATAACTATTTCCCTAGTAAAAAATCAGTTAAAAAAATACTATTGCAAATATATTGCCAGTGTGACATGGCCCTAAGAGAAGGCAGGAAGAAAGACAGATGTCCATGGAGTTTCCACTAATGGGTCATTGACAAATATTGAAGCATGCTTGTAAAAACTTAACTATCCAATGCATTTAATTATTAAACCAAAGTATAAAATATCTTAATATACTGAATTACCAGATGTTGAGTACATTATGTGCATGCAGTATGGACTTCCTAACTTGAAGTTCTCATATGAACAGTTACCTTGGCTTTTCCTGGGTTTCAATTTGCCGAATAATGTTTTCCATCCAGAGCAACAAATCACGAACCATGCTAAAGAAGCGGAACTTCTCGGCTGCGCTAACCAACTCTGTTCGCCTACCATCACTGGCATCCAGCAGAGATTTCCAGGCTTCTGTCACCTCCTTCTCCTTCTTCTGTATATCTGTAGCCTGATCTCCTGCATAGGCAGAGTACAGACGTGCTGCAGTCTCCTGGAATGCCTGAACCTGCAATGATTTAAGGCTTCCATCCATCAGTTTTTGTTAGATTGCATACGACAACTACGTTATCAACCTCTATGGCTTAGAATTCACCTGTCATTTTGCAGCAAACAATATGCTGGTTGTGTTTATTTGTACTGATGTACTTGAAACTGATACTTCAGATTTGTTAGATGCTGGAGTTATACAATAATGTGAATGTATTACTGGAATATTTGAACTTTGGTTCCTGGATCTGCACATCCACGATGGCCCTTATGTGGGTACCAAAGTCACCAAGCTGAATTATTTATTTATTATATATCACTGACAATACAAAAGGACATGCTAAAACACACTGTTATGGACTAAACCTCTAATTTGTTGACATAAACTCAACAGACTTCAGATAACATACTGTATAATTGATGCGTAGATGCAGTATGTACATACCTGTGACCCAATAAAATGGAAATCCCTCTCAAAGGCTGTATGTACTCTGTGCAGAGACTGTGCTGTATGTACATCACCACCCAACTCCTCTGGTAGCTCTTTGTGCTTTTCCTCGATCAGGCTCAGGATCTCTGTGCCATCATAGAAGAACTTGTGGAGATCATAAGAGGCTGACAACAGCTGTACACGAGTGTCAATCAGCTCCAGCAGGTCTGCCCAGCTTTCATTCAGGTTGTCCTTCCATTCTGCAATGGCCGCAGCCTCAGAATGGCCAGCGTCAATCAGTTCTTCAATCAGGATATTCACATTGTCAATCCGCTCTTGTCCAGTTATTCCTGTCTCTTTGGCAAAATCACGAAATTTATCTCGGAGCTCCTGTGAAATTTAATTTATTTACATTTAAAAGAAATCAAGACAAAATTACTTTATACTATACATAGATAAACTAATATTTATAGGCATGCCCTGCTGACTTCCATAAGAATGATGCAGCATTCTCTGAGAATGGAGATGGTCTTGAGGTGTGGTACAGTGAAGGAAACCCGGAATAGCAAGATGTAAATCAAACTAAGGTCCTGGTAGCTTTTGGTTGTCGCCAAGTGCACAAGGTCAGTAGTGTGAAGCTGAAAGTCCACACCCCCCTGGGCATACAAGTCTCATATACATAAAACAGGCACAACTATCCTTCACAGATCTTCATATATTCTCACCAGAACATTCCCAATAAGAATGAGTTGTATATCATATGATCTTCTCTATCTTTTCTTCTTGGTCAAGAAGAAAAGATAGAGAAGATCATATGATACACAATGCATTCTTATAGGGATGATTCTGGTGAGAATATATGATGATCTGTGAAGGATAGTTGTGCACTGTTTTGTGTATATAAGGTCCTGGTAGGCCATACCTATCAGCTCTGGTAACCAGCCCTCTGAAGCAGGTAAATGGGGACTTATTTTAGCTGCAGAAGGTGAAGTAGGTGGGCTAGGGAAATGTTTTTGAAACCACCATTAATCTTTTGGGTGGGACACCCTTCTTAATTTTGAACACTCAATCTCTATCAAGTATAAAAAAAGATTTTATATATGTTCTTACCGTCACATGGTCTAAATCTTGTCCCATTTCTTGGGATGAGGCTTTGATGTCTCTCTCTGCGATCCATTGTTCCAAGTCCTCCACTTCACGCCTCAGTTGAAACATATGATAGGTATTGTCCAAATTCCGCCTTCGTTCATCTGCCATGTCTCTCAGGGCTGTATACTGCTTCTCTAGATTGTCCTGGTGTCGGATTATCTGTTCACTGCAAACACAAGACAATGTAAGTACCATCTTTGGTGCCTGATAATGGCCATACAAAAGGAGATTTTGCTGTGGTGTACAAATATCAGGATTCTGGCTCATTTGAGTTCTGTGTTTTTGGCTAAATTAGTAGGGATCCTGTCACATGTCTCTCCTAGAGTGGTGTGCTATCTCATCAGAAGAAAATGTTTTGCTTTAAAGATAAAATTTACTTATATTTTCCATTCCCTGGTTCCTCCTTCCCTCTTCCTCAACATGCTAACAATATTTTTTTAAATAAACCTTTCCACTTTTTATTCTATTTTAGACCCAGTGATGTCATCTGTGCTTTTCTATGGAATGCAGGCAGATCATGGCTGGTTGGCGGGGCTGGAACAGCGCTGTAATTATCACAGCACCCTGCTCTTGTATTACACTCAAGAGCCCTGATGCAAACAATGGACTGGTATTTGGAAGGAGTTATGAAAATTTCAAAATGCCTTGATGAGTGGCTGTCAGTCTAGAGGAGTAGAGCATTCCTAGTCAGGCTGCTTTTGCATACAGACTGCACTAGGTAATGTGATAATTGTGCACACCGATATGGTCAATGACAACCATAATTTGGATCATACTCTGCAAATGTCATTCTCACTCCAAATCAGTCCCCCTCCCTTTTTTTTGAATGGCATGTGGTGTGTGTGTATGCTGGGGTCACAAGGACATCGGGCACAGCTGGATATGCTTCATGGTTGTAAACCCAATTAGCTGGTTCCATGATGTCTGACAGTCCCGTGTGCCTTGGCCAGGTCGTAAAGCTATAAACCAGTCAGTCACTGGACATGAAAGCATTCCAGAGGTGGCAGTAAAACATACATCCCACTTGAAACAACTTTTTCATACAATTTCATAAATCCAGGCAGAAACAAGGTACAATAAAACAAAGCATATATTCAGAGAGGTCAGTTTAATACGAGTCACCTGATACCTTACACCCCTAGATAACATCTACCGGAGAGCAGAAAGCGATATCTCTTTAACCGTCACAGCCGGATATGTCATATTTAATGTCTGGACGTTCAGAATATGGTTCTGCATATTAACCTGCCAGTGGCTAGGCTGCTGCATGCACTTATGGAAGGTTATTGACCATGGTTTAAACATGCGAGGGATTTGGTCATAGCCAGGGTCCCCGCCTAAACACCGCTCCCCAAATGAGGCGATTGGTTCTCTGCTTTAAGGAGGCACCCTGCTGGGTTCCTAGAAAACAGGCTGTCATGCTTAGAGAGAGAGATGAAGAGATTCTTCCTTTTAACCTCCCTAGCGGTCTCATTATGTCCATATTTCTGTGCTGAAAGCGGTACATTTTTTTGCATGAAAATATGTTTTTTTTTTATTGTAGGCCTGTAATTTTTAGGAATAACTCACTGAAATCTGTCCGAACAAGAGTCTAGTAAACATCCTGGGTATGATAAAATTTGAAACACAAAATCATAAATCATAAATTATAATTTAATAAATAATCATAAAAATAATAATATAATAATAAATTTAATTCAATAATATAATCAAACCAAAAACACTGAAATTTGAAATATAGCACCAAGTTCGCACATCACTGAGCAAAGTCGCAAAATCGTTTTCAGTGTCTGATGACGAATTTCCCCACAAATCATTATCACTCAATTCTGCAAGTGGTTCTGATTTACTATTGCTGTTCTCTAGCTGGTCTAAAACCGCTTTTGACCAAAAGGGACGCTTTTTGGACGCCATGGACTTTTCTAACTTTTCAGGCAGAAAGAACAGTCAAAATGCAGGCAGGGCACAGGACAAAGCAGTAGGTACAAAATGTATGTGAAATGGTTTGATACAGTAATGTTTTACTATGTCAAATTCATTTCTAAGAAAATTACAGTTTAAAAAAAATTTTTACATCTGCAGCTGTTCCGGCCCCCGTATGTTCCGACGCTCGCAGGGACCGGAACACGGAAGCCGGATGCCAGCATCGGCCGGAGGAGATGGCCGGGGACGCTGCAGGGGACGTATCGTGGGAGCGAAGGACAAGGTAAGTGCTGCAGGGAATCCCTCAGCAACACCGCATGGTAAGCCCGAGTGTAGCTCGGGGTTACCGCTTTTGGTACTGAAACTTTACTCTGAGCTACACTCGGGAATACTGCCAGGGAGGTTAACATCAGGAACCAACTTTGGGAGAAAAGGTAACCTTTTGTTCAGTACACTTGAACTCTGCTTAAACCAGAACTTCTGCAAGTATTCTACCTTCTTAAACTTCTTTCTTTTATATCTCTCTGTTATGTTATTGCTCTCTCTATTCATATATATATATATATTGGTTACATCTTTAATGTAAAATATTTTTCTTGCACCATTTTGACCTTTTTAGTAATAAATCCTATTTTCTGAAAAGTGTTGAATTGTTTCTAAAGCTCTTTAATGCAAACTAAGAATCCGTCTCTGAAGAGTGCTACTGTGTGTTTTAAAACCTCTGGATACATCTGTCTGCGGTGACAGTGTGTATACAGACACTTATTCAAACATCATAGTGTTACTGCTAAGATTTGTGAGTTTCCTCCTTCTCAGTAAAAAGGTGGTGGTAGCAGTGTGAAGGGTTAATTGCGTAATTAAACTGACCCAGTAACAATCGCTCTCAGGCTGTTGGCACCTAGATTGGGGGTCCAGTGAGCTGGAAAATCTTTGTGCAGGGTGCAGCTGAGAGTGGCATTGTTACGCAAGTTTTAGATTGGCTAGTCTTTGGTCACAAGTTGGTGAGAAGGACTGGGGTCTGATGCCGCACCCGTCACAGGTAATGCCTAAATGTGATGGTGATCCTCCATGACTGGGTCTACTTGATGCTGGACATCCTACAGCCCATCTTTATCGGACGTGCAGCAAATATTAATACACATGTTGAGTGGTTTACAATATGCAGTGAAATCAGAAAAGGTCATTTCAGTACAGTAGAGGAGCCTATACAAATATACAAAACTTCAGGTTCAGGGTTTATCTTTAAAACTTGCAGGCATACTTGTCTATCGTGGATGCATTTGGGGACTAAAAATTGAATTCTTCCATTTAAAGTCATGTTGTCCTGTATACATGCAATTATGTGGAATATATGGTTGTTATCAGCATTTATCGGTCATCATAATCACCCCAGAGATGCTTACATTATGCTTCTTCTATACACTGGTACTGCCAAGAGTCTGCTATAGGTTTTTAAGCAATACAATAGCCATGAGAGTGTCAATATGCACAGTAAAATCATCAAATATTTCAGTAGTACAGAAGTCATGGTCTAGTGGCCTGTTACCATCTGTATTCAAATCTAATTGTCCATTCTATATGCTCTTGACTAAAGAGCTATTAGTGTTAATGATAGTAAGTAGAGGTTCCTATTATCTATCTGTTCATACCCATCAGGATGATCCAAGGCCAGCAGTTTCTGAGATTGCTCTGCCAAATCCTTGATATTTTTTCCATACTGTTCAATGCCTTGTTGTAAAATTAGGTGCTTCTTCAACATTAACACCACACTTTCTTCATCCTCCTCATCCTGAAAATAAATATCAATTCAATTATGAGCTCACTCACTTCCTGGGCAAGAGTCAGAATCTTACGAAATCTCAGGATTGGATTAAGTGTGCCCTTGGTTCAAATAATGCTAGCGAATTTTTCACAGTATCTTCTGTGTCATTCCTCGCAATGAGTTCCTGGGAACACTGAGTATCACAAATCTCCCAAGAAGCCTCAGCACAGTGCAGAAGCATCTTCTCACAAGGTCTGGCCAGCAGCATTGTGACATCACCATCACCCAGGCATCATGGGTAAAAACTGGCTCCAATGTAAGTAGACTTTTTAACTTTTTTTTCCCCACAGGTGTGTTTTTTTGTATTGCTGTCATGTAACTATTTACAGTGGAGGAAGAAGAACTGATATAATCATGGACCATGTCTTTTAGTGCAAAGTCCTTTTTAAGGATTTACTGTATATCTACCTCCTCTTTTCACTTTACTTACATTGTCTGAGTTTGACATTTTGGGGGAGATTTACTGGTGCACTCAGAATCTGGTGTAGCTGTGCATGGTAGCCAATCAGCATCTAGCTTCAGGTTGGTTATTTAAGCTTTGACAATAAAACCTGGAAGCTGGCTGGTTACTATGCAGAGCTGCACTAGATTTTGCACTCTCCAGTTTTAGTAAATAACCCCCTCTAAATCACAATTTTTGCAGGAATCTGAATATGAAGCTTTTAATTAATACTGTTGTGCAACAAGGTCAGTTAGCTGAGAGAGCAGCAACTGTCAAACTTCAGGTTACCTGTCAGGCCCTTACTCAGGCTGCAAAATCAAACTCAGATAAGGGGGTATACACAACATCCTTTTAGGGAAGCTTGTACAACTATGTTCACAGCTTCCCGTCCGCCCTATAGCAGATATACTGCTGCAGGGCAGCATGATTGCGCAAAATCACGACCAGAAAATGTTGGAGAGCCAATTTTTGATATCAGAGGTGTAAAACTCAATTTCATCACTGGCCGCATTAGCATTATGGTTGCCCTCAAAGGACCGACTGTATCTGTATAACTAGATGTCTATAGTATGCCACTCTCCCTGACATTAGATATTAAGAGCCCCCCACCCTCCCTTACATCACAGTGATCTTCCCTTACCTAGTGCTTCTGCCAGGAAGAAGCTGGGGGCGGAGGTGAGAATAAGAAAGTGCAGGGTCTGGAGGAGTACCAGAGGAGGGCTGGAGTCTGCTGAGACCAGAGGAGGTAAGACAAGGGGATGCTGCGGCTGCACAGAGAGGATCTGATAGAGGACGTCTATCCTGCTCTCTGCTGCCAACTGCTGAGACAAGGTGGGGGTGGAAATGACAGGGGTGCTGCAGCTGAAGTAGAGGTTCAAGGTCCAAATGAAAAAGCCTGGTGGGCCAGATTCAGCCCGCGGGCCTTGTGTTTGACACGTGTTCTATATTGTCTTCAATTCGTAAAATTTTTCTGTACGATCTTACATATTTGGCTATTTAGGGGGCACCTTTGAGACAGTGGATGTATTCTTGAAGACTTTTGGCCCACTTTAACTATCTCAAATAACGAATGATGACTTTACATTTAATACCTCTATTTCATATGAAATATGATATGAATGAAAGCATACCTTTGATTTTTCATCCCCAATCATGTAAAGCTGTTGTTCATCAATCCAAGCCTCTGCTTCTTTGGCATCCACATAATACTGTTCAGCCTCATTTGATTGGTTAAGGGATTTCTCCCTATTCACTGTCGCGGTCTGCAAGTAATTCCATTGATCTTGTAGCGATTCACGCAGCTTTTTGATTGGCTGAGGGTTGATTTCTGGGTCACCTTCCATAGTCTCTGCCCTATTGATAACATAATCTACTCTTGGTTTATGACCTGCAATTTCTTTCTGCAAAGTCTGAAGCAGAAACATTTTATCAGTAATGTATATGGAATGATAAGATAATTCACATAAAATGCCTAAACACATTTTCAATTTCAATTAAATGATGTATCCTTTTTATAGCTTTTGATGTATGAGTACCTCCTGGTGTGGGACATCTAATTTCAACTATCCTTTGGCATCAGTTTATTTCACTGCCTCTGCCTTTGGCATGAGTATATTTCATTGCCACAGCCTTTGGCATGGGTATATTTTATTGACACCCTGTAACTGTGTTATTTTTCCAAACAATCCATAGTATTTCTAATTAGCCAAAAAAATTCAAGATTAATTTGCCTAGTGGATTGTTTCATATCATACTATGCTTTATTATCAGTTTGGCTGGGTCCAGTTGTTGAACCGTTGTGTTGTCATTACTTTTATATACACACATGACAAGCAACAAAGTGTGTCTATTCATGCTCATGACAAGTTGTAAGAGGAAAAAAGCCCTAGTATTTATGGTCAGTTGGAGGAAAAATGTCTCAACTTTGGTGGTCAGTGGGAGCAAAAAATACCTCAGCATTGGTAGTCTATATGAGAAAAAATTGTTCCAGTGTTGGTGGTCAAGAAATAATGTTGCACTGGTAGTAAAAATATATCAGCTTTAATGGTCAGTGGTAGGATAAAATGTCTCAGTGTAAATGCTCAGTTGGAGGATAAAATGTCCCATTTTCAGTGGTCAGGAAAAGGGAAAAGTAAACATGGTAACTAAGAGAAAGAATGCCCCAGCATTGGTGGTTAGTGGAGCACACAATGCCCCATCTTGGTGTCAGGGGTGAAAGATTGCCAAAACGTCAGTGGACAGTGATGGGAAAAGTAATTCCCCATCATTGGTAGTAGGAGTAAAATATGCCTTTCTGTCACTGGACAGTGAGAGGAAGAATGGCACATTGTTGATGTTAATGGGAGGAAGAATGCCCCATCATTTGTGTAAATGAAAGGATGAGCATTCTACCATTGGTGTCATTGGTTACTTACCTGAGATGATGTTCTGCACTCCTTGTCATTGCCTTTAAGTGTCCCAGATGACATCAGTGCTGGAACTATTTAGGCACTATGAGGAAGGCAATAACTCTGCCTGGGATGGCATACATTCAACCTTTGCCAGAAGCTGGAGAAAACTGTTTTTCACCCAGCAAATATATCACATACATTGCATGTGAAAAGGGTTCCCTCTCTGTAATAGTATGATGTACTATTGATATTCTGTGCTCTGACATGTAAGTAGCTTAAAATGCATCTAAAACAAAACTTTAATCTATTGCAAGCTTACCAGTCCTTAGATGAGGAAACTGCATTAGTTGTTTTCACATTTATTACTTTAGTCTCACCTGGTAATTTAGTAAATAACACACCTCCAGTTTCCTACTTCTCCACTATGTCTATGAAGGGAGCCGTGGTTGCTACTCAGGCTGCACTTTAAACATGTCTGACTTTCTTCAGCTTCATTACAGAGGGGGATGGGTAGAATAGTAGTTTATAGCAGGTAGAGTAGATTGTAGTTTACCTCACAGGAAGGGAAAAGGGCATTGCATTTGATTTATGATCAGAAGGTATTTTCTGTACTTGCTAAAAGCTTAAAAGAGAAGTATTGGGTTTAAAAAAAAAATTATACTCATCTCATCTTTTCCTCAGCGCATTTAAGAGAACTGAGTGATCAAAGACTGCTGATCACTCAGTTCTCAGTCTACATTGAGCAGAGAGCTGGTGACTGCCAGTCACCGACTCTCTGCTCTGTCCCCCCACCCAGCTCTCACTGGAGCACTGGGCTGGGAAGGGAACAGGAGCAGTTGGCTCAGGCTCTCAGTGGCATGCTGAGCCAGATGCCCATCAGACTTCTGAGCAATAGAGATCTTTCTAGAGCCTGAAACAGCTCTGTGATGTTAGCTGACAGTTAGCTTTTGCCCGCTGATGGATAAAAATGTGTCACAGGAGTTCAGAAAGAATAACTGTGAGCCATAGGAGAAACAGGGCCAAAAGGACTTTGACCATATTTCTCCTTTAAATAAAGAAAGCTTAATGCAACTATCATATCTACGGATTGGTAAACTGCAGTACATTAAACTTTTGTTCTTGGATTTAGTTATCCTATAAAATATACATATTTTATTGAAGAGAAACAGGATGCCTCTGGTTAGTGGCATCAAATGTACCGTAAATATACATAATAAATGAAGAGCATGGAGGAAAAGTAGAGGTAGATGCTCTGGTTTGGGAAACCTCTGAAATAAAGACCATTGGTCATTGGAGCAGTGAGAGAGGAACAATATGGGTTAACATGCAGGTATGCTGGTATGCCCTAAGTAAACCTATATACTGTTGTAGCTCTATTTACCTATATTTTGGAAAAAATAGTGGAAAATGAATACATTGCTAGAATGATCTATAGTAACAATATCTCATATTCTTAACTAGCCCCCCATGGATGCATTTTTATCCTAACTGTGAAATTGGTTTTGACATTATAAATCATTCAAGCACAGCATGATCAGTAACTGTTATCCAAGAGGCCAGGAATATTGTGGACATACTTGATTCTTCTTCAAAAGCATTTGCACCATCTGAAGATTGTTTCCGTAATCTTTGGATTCTGCAAGTGGCATTCTTTCCTGAATCCAGAGCTGTAGACAAAAAGAAACGATATGTTGTAATACTTGAGAAGTATCCAAATGTAACATTTTGACTTCTATAAAGCAATAGAGACAGTTGTCAAAGCCCAACTCAAGCCAAAAAAATGTATTTGGTTTTGGATAGAGAGGGTAAGAGTTATAGCTCCTGTCAGGATTTTATTGCCATCTGTGTCCCAGGCAAGATTTTTCTTCATTGCCTGTCAGGATAGAAAGTAATGGGAAATCTCGCTAACAGGACATAGACAAATAAAGAACACATATTTAGTAGTTGGGGAAAGATTAGAACAGTGTTTTTGTAGTATTAGTCACCAGGGAATAAACCCCCCAAGTGGCATCTCCTTAGGCCACTGACCTACCTTAAGCTTAAACTATAAAGATAAAAGTTTATGGACAACATTACACCAATATGAGTTTGTTGGATATCCTATTTGAAAAATGGGCATTAATATAGAGGCGGACCTCAATTTGTGGCACCCTTCTGAGAAGACTTTCCGCAAGATTTTGGACTGTATTTGGGGGAATCTGCACCCATTCAACCAAAAGAACATATGTGAGGTCAGGTGCTGATGCTGGAAAAGAATACCTGGCTCACAAATGGTGTTTCAATTAACCCCAAGGGTGTTCAGCAAGGGTTAGGTCAGGGCTCTGTGCAGGCCACTTGAATTCTTCCACACCAAACTCATAAAACTATGTCTTTATGTGTAAGGTAAAGTCTACATGCTTGGAAAAATCCGTATGTAAATGGATAGAAAACTGGCTAAAAAATCATATTAAAAGAGTAGTGGTTAATGATTCTGAATGGTCTAGGGTTGTCAGTGGTGTACCCCAATGTTCAGTATTGGGACCCTAACTTTTTAATATATTTATAAACGATATAGGGTCTGGGATTAAAAATCCCAATTCAGTCTTTGCAGATGACACCAAGCTGTGCAGTGGAATAACGTCCTTACAGGATGTCTTCAACTTACAAGCCAACCTTAATGCACTGTTTAATTGGGCAACTATGTGGCAAATGAGGTTTAATGTTGATAAATGTAAGGTTATGCACTTGGGGGCCAAGAATATGCATGCATCATACATACTAGGGGGGGTACAACTGGGGGAATCAATGGTGGAGAAGGATCTGGGAGTTCTGTTAGATCACAAGCTTAATAATGACATGCAATGCCAAGCTGCGGTTTCTAAAGCGAGCAAAATCCTCTCTTGTATTAAAAGAGGTATAGACTCCAGAGAGAGATATCATTTTACCCCACAAAAAGAACATTGGGGAACTGGAGAAAGTACAGAGAATGGCAACCAAACTGATAAGAGGCATGGAGGAGCTCAGCTATGAGGAAAGATTAGAGGAACTGCATTTATTCTCTCTTGAGAAGAGGAAATTAAGGGGGGATATGATCAACATGTATAAATACATCAGTGGTTCACGTAGTGAACTCAGTGTAGAGTTATTCACCCTGAGGTCATCACAGAAGGAGAAGGGGGCACCCTTTACATCTGGAGGAAAAGAAATGTAATCTCCAAACACAGAAAGGTTTCTTCACAGTGAGAGCTGTGAAAATGTGGACTAGACTCCCTCAAGAGTTGGTTCTGGCCAGCTCCGTGGATTGCTTTAAAAAAGGCCTGGATTCTTTCTTAGATACACAGAATATAACTGGATACTAACATTTATAGGTAAAGTTGATCCAGGGAATATCTGATTGCCTCTCGGGGGATCAGGAAGGATTTGTTTTTCCCTGCTGGAGCAAATTGGATCATGCTTTGCTGGGTTTTTTGCCTTCCTCTGGATCAACTGTGGGTATAGGATTATAACTTTTTTTTTTAATGGTTGAAGTGGACTTTTGTCTTTTTTCAGCCAGACTACCTATGTAACTATGTATGTTTATGGAGTTGGCTTTGTGCACAGTGGACAATCATGCTGGAATTGAAAAGGGCATTTTCCATACTGTTTCCACAGGGTCAGAGGAGCACAATTATCTAAAATGTCTTTGCTGTAGTACTAACATTATTTTTAAATGAAAATACCTGAACTCAGTAATTCTAAAGGGGTTTTCACATAGTTCTGATCATATAATGTAGGTGCAATGGTCAGGTGTCCACAAACTATACAGATATATGGTCTACTAACTAAAACAGGAGTGAATGCACTCCATGAATGCAGGCACTAGAATGTCTTATGCATCTGCCTACTACCACTGGTTGTATGGTGAATGTGTTGGAGAACCCCTCCAGCACTCTCCCCATAAAACAGCAACATGTGATGATGAGAGGAACAAATAATTTACTTCCTGTCTCCAATCCACGTAAGAGAAACAGAATGTTTTCTCTGAATGATGAGAGAGGGACCAGAGAAGAGATGAACACAACGTACAATTTCATCTGCCAAATCCCGGTGTAGCTGGTGTACTTGCTTCGAAGAGTGTAGCTTTCTTTTTCTTTCCTGCATTGGTTCTTGAAGCTGTAGGAAACGCATTTTGATATTTTGTTCCTTTTCATCAAGTTCTTTGTCTCCAGCAGTTGAAGGTACATCTGGTACAACCTCATCCATTTCTTTTGCTTTGTGATCTATTTGATCTTCTATTCTCTACAGATATAAATATAAAAAAATATTCCTAGTTTAGAATCATGTAAATGGTGCTCATGTCACAAATGGATACAAAAAAATGCATAATGCACTGGTTATTGCAATAGCTTTAAAAATGCCAGTTTTTGGAACACTTACGCTTCTACAGTTAGTAATTATTACATTTTATTCCTTTAAATTAAAAAATCTATCTGCCACTAATATGACAGTAGATTTAAATTATATCTAAAACCATAACTTTTGATTTCAGCTTTCGATAGATAAGTTTGAACTTCTGCCAGTTTTCTTGATGTCTTTGTCCCATTAGGGACATTTCCTTTCACTCCCTGTCTATGAGACACAAGAGAAAGTGAGAGGAAATCTCCAAACATTATGAGGAAATTCCCTCTTACACAGTCAACTGAATACATTGAAAAATGTCCCCTCATCTACTGTTCTAGTGAGAACTGGAAAAAGTTTGATTTTTCCTAAACCTTCCGTCCTGGTGATAATGGTCAATAGGACAAATAAAGAGCGTGAATAGTACAGGTACAGATAGTAACATAAACCTTGCAGGGGATTTAGCCCCTTCCACACTTTGAACCTGAAAAATAAAAAGATTTGGTTTAGAAAAAAACAAGATGGCAGCAACTCTTCCTTTCATTCCTCATGAAAATAGCATTAGAATACATTTTTGGTGTTGTATGTATGCCTGATATAGAATGTCAATTGTAAAACATTCCTGATCAATGCCAGGGTGGCTCTATAATAGCTTTTACTGTACAAACACAGCTATTCCCCTACCTTGTGTTCACTGAGAAGGATGTTGACACTGGTCAGGTCTTTTCCATAGTCATCAGATTCTACTTGCTGCTCCATGTCTTTAATCCACTTAGCAATATCTGCGAACCTTTGCTCATACAGCTCAGAGCGATGGGCATCAAATAGAGTCTGTTCTTTCTGTAGGGTAGTTGTCTCCAGCTCATCCCATTGCTCATGTAACCCATGGAGTTTTTCAGAGACTGTTGGGGCAAACTGTGGTTTCTCCTGTGCCAACGTGTTTCCTTTCTGAATTAAAGAGCAAAGAAAGTGACAGCTGTTTGATAGGAAAATAATTCTAAATGTTTATTACTCATAGGCCCTATATGAGAAAGTAGTATGGCTATTGATGATACCTTTCACAGCAAGAGGGTCTTGTAATAAATGCAATGGTTTTGGATATTGTACTAAATATATAAATCTGTATATCAAATTCTAGAGGAAACTAGAGGAATTATTACTTTGTCTTCTATAGTTGGCCGCACACTGATCAGAATTCCCTACTGCACTAGCCAGTTGAGTCTGCTCAACAGAGGTTGTTTGCCTAATCAATGTTGGTTGAATAGGCATGTTGGAAAATATTGAAGTTTCAGTTAGAAACACCTGGCTTTAACGCATGCTGTTTGCTGTGCTGGTTCCTCAGCTAAGACATAGGGGTTGATTTACTAAAAGCAAATAGACTGTGCACTCTGCAAGAGCAGTTGCTCCAGAGCTTAGTAAATGAGCAGAAGCTCTGATAACGTCTTTCATCCAATCACATGCAAGCAGAAATACTGTTTATTTTATTTTACCTGCATGTGATTGGGTATTCCTTGCAAAGTGAAGCTGGTCCTCATTTACTAAGAGCTGGAGCAACTGCACTGGCAGAGTACAACTGCACTTTGCAAAGTTCAACATTTATTTGCCTTTAGTAGATCAACCCCCTAGTGTTCTAGGTATCCTTTGCCATGTATGACATGTTAATTTGTAAAAAAAAGGATATTGCATACTTACAGTAATAAAGGATATGAAATGACAGTTTAAAACATATAAACTTATAAACTATAAAAATAATATAAAACTGACAAAAAGGCTACTGCATGTTGCAAGAAATACAAGTCCAATGAGGTGCGCTGGCAGCCCATTTAAAGGAGAAGTTTGGGGCATATGAAAAAAAACAAACATCCATGCTGCATCTTTCCCAATTTGGCCCTAAGTCCAAGAACTGAGTGATCATATGATTGCTAATTGCTCAGTTTTCTGCTCAAAGAGCTCCTTCAGCGCTCACTGGAGGGCCGGGCTGGAGAGAGGATTTACGCAGCTGGCTGTCAGCCAGGGGGCTGGATGGATCCTGACAATATTGTTGGGATCCGTCCAGAGCCTAGAGCAGCTCTGCCACATCAGTTGACAGAAGGCAATAGCTTACTATAAGCTGACTTTGGGTCACAGGAGAGTAAAACTAAAGCACTCCTGTGACCCACAAGAGAAGTATGACCAAAAAAAAGCTTTGGCTATACTTCTCTTGTAAATGAATATGCTTTAATAACACAACATTATGAAATAACATGCACTAACACATGTTAGGAATACACAACTGTGAGGGGGGCCTAAAACCATAACAATTTCCCCTTGAGGAGTAGAAAGATAACCCAGGATTTACCTTGTCAATGTTCTCCAATCTGTCTTTGTTGGACTCTATTTCAGCTTCAAAAGCTTGGTGTTTCAGCCACTTACTGTGCAAATTACGAGCTGCTTCATAGGATGTATCTTGAGCAGTTAACATTTTTTCATTGATCCAGATTGTTAACTGTAAAAACAACAGATAACATCAGTAACAACCGATAGCTGAAATTCTGCAGACACAAATATTCAGTATCAACTTTGGGTTTCTGTACAGTTGTCTTCTACCTAGATGATATTTAGGATCAACAGTCAAAGTGAAAAAAGCCTGAAAAAATATACTAATATGCTACAATATGACACATTTTTGTTGTTAGATTTAGATACACTTCAATGTTTATTAATAGATAACTGATAACTGAGTACAGCTCACTAACAAACAAGAAAACAAAAACACCATGGAAACTGCTGTCTACATAAATGTTTTGCATGTATGTTAAGAGATTTATTTGTCTAGAGTCTGTAGTTGAGTGGACAGATTCAGATACACTGACAGCATGGACATTGGAACTGATGAAGGCTTGGGGTCTAGGCAACTCTTTAGTTCCCATACAAACATTGCCTTTTGTTGGAATACAGTGTACATGTACTGTATTTTGCAACAACTACTTTAGTGTTCAGAAGAGATACAGTATATGCTTCAACTAGTAGATGGCAGTATTTATAAGTTTGTAGCTGCTATGATTAAACTCTGTGTCTTTTCTCTATAATACAATTCCTGTTTCCTGTTTGCAGAGAAGCAGCAGATAAACACATATGGACTATGCACTGTCTGTTCTGTAGAGCTATATACAGAATCTCTAACAGGTTATGGGCCCAGACACCCAATCATAGCCTGCTAAAGCAAAACAAGTGCATGATATAGCAACAGAAAGGAGACTGCAATACAATAAAATGGCCAGTAACACAGCTGCATCAAAGCTTTCATTTGCAAATGTATACATGAAGTCAGGCCTAGAACACCCTTTAGATGAGTGGAAAGAGAAAGATCAGAAACCTCAGAGCACAATCTCTCTTAGCATAGAAGATGATCAAATCACAGATATAAGTGTGACACTGCTAAAGAAATGTAGGAAGGGTTACAAAAGGTGCAAACGTTATATTTGATTAGAAAGCTATATCAAACCAAGCTGTTGGAAGGCTAGGACATGCAGAATTACATAAGACACACCTTGGAAATGGTTGAACGCTTGAGAGGTATAGCAGCAGAAATAAAAGACTTTCATGTTGCAGCACTTAGTGGTTTACCAGTAAGTTATGAAATGCTTGTCACAGCACCTGATGCAAGTCCAGATGATGTATTGGAATATGTTAAGGGCAAGCTTATAGATGAATATAAGTGTAAAACAGAAAGCATTACTAGTGATGATGCTTCTGTTGCATAGTCTGCTTTAAAGGCGAAAAATAGAAATAAAAACAGTAACATGCAACAAGAAACACAAGAATGCTTTGTGTGCAAGAAACAAGGTGATTTAAAAGCAGAATCTGGAAAGCTACAATGCTAACAAAAATCAGTTGCTAAAGGCCAAAAGTGTGGAGGAAAAAAATTATTTTTCTTCAGATAATGAATATGGTTTTCAATCCAAAACTGATCATACTCAAAACGACTTGAGGTTGTAATTGGTGCTAAAAGGTGCTTCAACAAAGTATTTAACAATGGCTGTGAATATTTATATACATGTGGTTTTATTCATTTTTTATTTTTAATAAATTGCAAAGATTTCAAAACAAACTTCTTTCACGTTGTCATTATGGGGTATTGTTTGTAGAATGTTGAGTAAAAAATTAATTTAATCCATTTTGGAATAAGGCTGTAATATAATGAAATGTGGCAAAAGTTAAGCGCTGTGAATACTTTCTGGATACACTGTGTGTGAGAGTGGAAGAACCATGCTGTTTGATGCAGATATGCCAACCACATACTGGGGGGAGTCAATTATGACCGCATGCTATCTCTACCAGGAAAATTAACTGAGAAATTCCATATGAACTGTGGAATAGAAAAGCACTGAATGTGAAACATCTAAAAATGATTGGAAGCAATGCCTTTGCGCACATCTCAAAATAAAAACGTACATGGGATGCTCACGCAAAGGCAGGTGTACTTGTGGGGTGCAGTGAATCTCAAAATGGATACAGAATTCTACAACAAGACACAATAAGGTAACCATCAGTAGAAGTGTAATTATCTATGAAACTTCAGTGTGTTCATAATTTTATGAACTAGCACAAATGCTTCAAGCTGAGGGAAATTCCACATCAGTGTCACATGAACATAAGTAACAAAGTGACACAGAAATATAAATAACACAGACAATCCAATTATTATAAAAGAAGAAACCAGGCCACAAGAGGCTTCAATCAGGAAACCCACCAGAAGCAATAAAGGCATCCCGACCAAATGTCTGTCCAATGTTGCTTGCGTAGCATTAAAACCAGAGTCAGATTCATGGGATGAGATGCAAAGACACCCAACCCACGAGAAACAAAAATGGATCAGATGCTTTGCTCAGTTCTATAAACAGATTTATAGAACTGAGATTGGAAATAGGACTAATATAAGGAATATTTGTTGAGCTGAGTGTTGGAATACACTGTACATGTATTTTGCAACAACTACTTCAGTGTTGAGTAGCGATACGGTATATTTTTCAACTAGGAGATGGCAGTGTTTATATGCTTGTAGCTGTATCTATGAAAGAACTCTATGTCTTTTCTCTATAATAAAGTTCCTGTTTCCTGTTGGCAGAGAAGCAGCAGATAAACACATGTGGACTGTGCACCATCCTTTCTGTAGGGCTATATATAGAATCTCTAACACCTTTCATTAACTCCAAAGACATGCTGGTAGGTTAATTGGATCCTGTCTAAATTGCCCTAGTATGTGTATGTATGAATGTGAGTTAGGGACCTTAGATTGTACACCCCTTGAGGGTTAGGGACTGATGTGAATGTACAATATATATGTAAAGCGCTGCGTAAATTGACGGCGCTATATAAGTACCTGAAATAAATAATAATAAATAAATAACAAATAGCTTTACGCCAGTAAATGAAAAATAGCTATCCATGTCCAATATGATGACTTACCCACCCATATGTAGAAACCTACCCACAAACAAATTAGGCTAGGGGATACAGAAAAATTAAAAATGATGTTGACGAGAAGAAAGCAAAGTTATAAAAAAAAAGGATTACTCCTAAAATATTTAACATATAACATATAGAAAAAAAAGTCCAGTACACTGTGTAATTTTCCCCCAAGTTCACTATTTGGGTAACGGTAACCTAGACCGCAGTTTTGCAAGGCTTTTTTTAGAGGATCAGCAGTTTTCCATGGTCATAACAGAGAGAGTTAAAGTGTGTATATACAGTATATATATATATGTGTGTGTGTTCCCTCCTGGTCTAGTAAATACACAATTGATCCTGCCAAAAATCAGTGAGCTTGTACGTTTCTGCGCAATCTGCAGAGTTATCTTCAGCAGTGTTAGCAGTCCTGTACAGTTGTCTGTGAGCTACAGAACACTACCCACTAAGTTATGAAGATGAAGAGAGATAGGGAGGGTTTGTGCAGTCCTGCCACACTTCTTTCCTAAAAACACATGTAAACAAACCAGAACGCATGCAAATGTACCAGAATACATTGTGCTGAATTAAAATAAAGATTTGTCAAGTGTCACAAAAAAAAAAAAAGAATCGCATTGAAAAGGCATCTAAAACACATGTGGAATGCTGAAATTGTGGTGTGAACCAGCCCTAAGAACGGTCAAAAACTGGATTGTGTGTCAATGTCCTGCTACCTTCTTAACTTTGAAGCAGGACTTTGTGTTTCATCAGATGATATAGTAAAAACTAATTTATTGATTCTACCTCATCACAGTTTTCCAGGAAATCCTGAAGATCGACATGGTCCTTTAGTAGAGCAGACACCTCTTTAGCTTTATTCACATTCTCTGCATATCTGAAAGCAATATTGAATCAATCAACAGAATCCAATCTACAAGAAATCAATGTGCTTTATGTATAAAATCCATCTCAAAGCAGATCTGTCGGCCACAGATTCCCTTCTTATTGTTTCAAGTCAGCTTAAGGCTCCATGCACACTGGGCATAACTGGCATTGTAACGTTAGCTTTGTAAAGTCACGTTAAAAACTTGCGTTTTTTAGCATTTTTATAGCATTTTTGCATTAGCATTTAGCGGCGTTTTACCAAACAATTGTTTTTATGCTCATAAATGCCCAAAAATGCTGGTTTGCTGTGTTTTGCTGCGTTTTTCAGCATTAGAGCGTTTTTACAGCTAAAAAACTCCTCTAGAAACCCACTAGTTCTGGCGTTTTTTCCAACCAAAAAACACCCCTGCCACAAAATGCTGATTACAGTCTATGTGTGCATGGACACATAGGATAACATGCTGGGGAGTTTACTGGCTGTGGAAAAAAATGCCAAAAGCCAAAAACAGCAGCTGTAAAAACGTCCAGTGTGCATGAGGACCATGCACACGGGATGTTTTGATAACGCTGGTAGCGTTAGCTGTGTAAAGTGTAGAGTTTTTCAGCTTTTTTTACCTTGTTGCAGCATTTTCCCACATTTTTTAGCGGTTTTTTACCCCAAAATTTTTTTTATTAGTAAAAAAAATCCCAAAATGCCATTTTGCTGCATTTTGCTGCGTTTTACTGCGTTTTTTTCAGCGTTAGAGGTTTTTACAGCTAAAAAACTTCTCTAGAAACCCACTAGTCCAGTTTTTTTTTTCCAGCCAAAAAATGTTGATTACAGTCTATGTGTGCATGGACACATAGGATAACATGCTGGGGGGCTTACTAGCTGTAGAAAAAAATGTCAAAACCCAAAAACAGCAGCTGTAAAAACATCCAGTGTGCATGAGGACTAAAACATGAACGTTACATTAGAAACTTGCCAATACATTTGTTAGTACTACCTTCACTGAAATAATACGATTGTTAATGACTGTCTAGTAATATAAAAATATATCAGTAGTCCCTATTTTCAAGTTACAGGAAAAAAGGAATACATTTTCTAACATACATAAAGTGCCGGCACTTGAACATTTTTTATCTTTAACTTAAGTCAGAGTCAGGGGCGGACTGACCATTTGGAAACTTGGGCACTGCCCGAGGGCCCGGGGTCAGTAAGGGGCCCCATGAGATGCACCTGGGACCTTTTTCATAGGCTTTTTTTGAGTTTGGGCAAGGACACGGGCCCCATGATCCCCTATTCCTGGGGGCCCCATGAGTTGTCAGTCCGCCCCTGGTCAGAGTAGGATAGCCATGACGCAGCCACAGATGTGGGACATTAACCTCTAATTGGCATTTTAACCCGTGTGTGTCACCTTGTGTGTCTGTACCAAGGACAAACATTCCAGGGTATGTAAATTTTTGATCATGGCCATTTGGGTGATTTCTGTTTTCATTATGATTTTAAAAGGAGCCAAACAACTATTTGATAATAATTGGCTTCATATGATCATCATTCTTCAATAAAAGAGCATTTTTTGGCATAATCAGTCATATTTTCAATATCAATGCCAAAATTTCACAATTTCTGCCAGGGTATGCAAACTTTTGAGCACAACTGTATATTTGAAATGCTACAATTTTGGCCATATTCAATATATTTCAAAATATATTTCAATAAATATATATATGGTGTAAAGGAAGCCTTAAGCTGGTTCCTAGAGAACTTAGTAGACAAATACACTTTTTGTATGATTGCTAATGAGGCCTCCAACTGCAATACATTTTAAACAGACATTCTCATTTTAGGTGGAGTAAGCTGGAAACCAACAATAAAAAATTAATTCTTCAATCACGTCAAGTCTAGCAACAGAAGGAGCCTGTGATATACTGAAGAATGGAGACACACAGGGTCAGAAGAAGTGCAGCCCTACTTGGGTTTTGAGGATGTAAAAAAGAGATGCAAATTATCTCTATATGCTCCAATATATTAATTTATCATTGTTGGCATGGTTGGTGTTGGTGGTTTCCATATTTATTAGCCTTTCCCCATGCAAAATTTTTCCTTCAATTTATCTTTGTTATCAGCCCTGAATTCTAGGACTGGCCATACACATGTAGCCAAGTGGTACCTAGTACACCCACATGACTGAGGCACATTGTTGAGAAGGACTGTCTTGGGATTGTTTCCCTCTAGTCTCCAGCTTAGTAGCTGTAACCGTGTGCTCTGGAAGCAGTGAGAGAAGAACTGCTACTGAAAGCAGGGGGTTGTGGAACATGTAGTCTGGGGAGTTGGATCTCTACATGTAACCACTGTTGTAAAAAACGACAAGGTCCAGCCAACTGGAAAGAAGTGTGGTATGCTGGGAGAGGATGTTTAGGGCCGGAACGGGGAAGCTTGCACTCTTCGGACCGCTGCTGATGGCTGAAAGCAGAAAGCCCAGCCACTCTGGAAAGGCATGTGGCTTTCACAACACAGGGAACCACCAGCAGGTGAACAACCTACCTGCAGGCAGATCGCCTGTTTCCAGTCCTTTGTTAATAGAGTGATTGTCCATGGTCACTCGCATCATCACCGTAATAGGCAGAGTTGAAGTCCAGCATCGCCAGGTGCAAAGAATCAGGCACTTCTCACTGGGCCTGGATCCTTCAAGAGTCTGTCTCGGGATGTTTCCATCCCTTGAGCCTCGATATCCTCAGGATTGGTGAGCGCACGGAAGCCCACACTGAGTACACTCCTTCAAGGACACTGCATGCAGACACCTTTAAGTTCATCTCTTTGATCACAAAGTCTCTTATAGGAAACACTAGCATATGCTACTCATTTTTGCTGGTCGCCATTGCACAGCAATCTCTTTGGGCCCTGATTGAGCAAGCTGAAGATTTGGGACGCTGTCAGGGACCATCGCGACGCATGGGTCTGCACATGCGTAGGTGTCTGTCAAGACATGCAGGCATCAGGGCACTAGGACCCAGGCGCACCCGTCGCCTATGGCGGTGCTGGGCAGGCACTAGGACCTAGGCTGCACATGTCAGGTGCAGGGCGGGCTACTTAAATCAGCCCTGCACAGACACAAGTTGCCGTATGGTCTGATCTGGTTCCTGTGTTCCTGTGTTCCCGTTGTTTGAGATTCGTTGTTGACCTGCCTAGACCTGACCTCTGCTGACTTCTCCTGCTTTGACCCCTGGCTAAGTTTGACCTCTCTTTTGGATATCCCTACCTGATCTGAACTACTGGTACCGACCCCGGCGAGTGACCTGACTATTCTTCTGCCTGCTGCCTTGTACCACGCTGACCCCTCTGTTACCGACCTGGCCCGTTTGACCACGCTATTGCTCAGCCATCCATCCGACCAGCACGGATTAGCTGCTACTCTCCAGACCTTTCTGCCTCTTCACATCAGGCTCTCTACCTGTCATTACCCCTGGTGATTCCTCTACCTCAGGTGGGTATACTCAGGGACCGCGACCTGGTCACTGTCCGCTCCAAGCCCATCCCCACCATCAGGGGCTTTGGTGAACAAGCGGACTGGGGCTTAGACTCCGCGCCCTGGGGAATCCTGTCCTGGGGACTGCTAGAGTACACAAGGTGGTCCATAACAGACACTCTATTGCCAAGACTTTCTTTTTTTTTTTTTGTCACTTAAAGGACTTCACGTTTGCGTATGTTAGGGGGAATTTACACTCAGAAATAGTTCACTGCAATACTCTTACATTGAGTCATTATAACCTGTGTTGATATTTGTCGGGCCTGTGGCATCAGGGTTTTAAGGAGAAGGATTGACACAGGAAAAATCTTCCTTTCTCCTTTCATGCCTGGAATCAAAGGTTTTAAGACCTAATTGTAGTTGCTGTTGATTCACCTCTATTGTACATCTGTGATCTGAGTCCTTAGGGACCAAAGGGCTCATATTTAAAGTTATCTGCACCAACAATCTTTTTCCTTTGTTGACTTGAAAACTCCTGGTAAATATTTAATTTCCTTACTACAACTTGGTGTCATTGCAAGTGTGATCCTGTATGAACCATGTTTGAACCCAGGGTGTCATAGGTGCAAGGTCAGGGAAACCTTTAGCGACCATCATGTTCCAGTGGCCCCTACGGGGGTAGCACTACACATGGATATTTTTTTTTTTTTTTTTCAGGCTAGTGGCTGAACGAAAACAAAATCTAACAGGTTTCTTCTTCATCCACACTATACAGCATTAATGGATAAGTCCTCCTGCTGAGTTGTTATATTCTGACAGCCACCATCATGAACCAGATAAAATGTGCACAGTGTATGGAAGGCTGTTGGGACAGACTTTAGCCTGTCAACTTGTGAGTAGGATGTAGTGAGCAGTGGATAAGGTAGCGAGACCAGTGTATTACAGAAAATTGCAACAAAGTACAACCAGGCCCGGTGGGTAGGGACAGCCATCCAGAGCCACTTTTGGAACTGTGGCAGAGGTCTGTCATCCTTTGACAAAGCCGTAATAACGAAATGCGTCAGAATTGTCGCACATGAATTGGACATTTAGTATATTACCGGTGAGAACCTTGGGAGAATGGGAGAACTTATAGTATGAATTTCTACGTATTGTGGTAAAGGACTTTTTGATTTAATACGAATTTGGATGCTGGTTTCTTGTTCTTTGTTATAAACTGACAACTTCTGCAATGAGGAGCTGGAATGCAGCCTGGCCAGTACACACCCAAATGGGAGGCTACTTAAAGCAGAGGATAGGTGTAGTCCCTACTCCTCTGGAAACCTCTCCCTAACTCTTAACACTCTCCCTGACAGGCGGGGAACCTGTCCCTACACTAACCACTCTCAAGAATTCGTGTCAACCCTGGGAGTCTGTGCCTTAAATAGGCCCTGCCCTCACTACAGACGGATATGGAATTCAGCCAGGGCAGCTCCATACAATCAGACAGCTGTCTCCAATGACACTTCCCCAATGATGGCAGGAAGCTGCAGAGGAACTAAGTTCCCCTCACCTTTCTTCCCCTTCTGTATTGCCACTGTGATCCAGCACCATCTACAGATTTCCATCTGAAGGTGGCGCTAGATCACAGTGGCAATACAGAAGGGGGAGGAAGGTGAGGGGAACTTAGCTCCTCTGCAGCTTCCTGCCATCATTGGGAGATGCTGCACCTGCCTACAAACTGATGCAAAAAGCAGTAAAGGTCCCCTGTGAATAGCAATATTCAGGAGGCAGAAAACCCTCCATGTTCCCACAAATCAAGCTAGGTCCAGATCATACATTTAGCTGAAATCCCCCTTTAAAACATTTCACTTACCTTTTATGAACTGAGGCTGCTTTGTCCAAAGCCTTATCCGAAAAAAGGTTTTTGTCACCGTCTAATCTTTTTGCATTTTCAATAGTTCCAGTAATCTTCTCTTCATTGTTTTCCATGGTAGCTAAGAAATCGTCATGTTTCTTCAGTCTATTTTGTGAAGCTTGTAATGTATTGGGTAATTCGGTGTAAGCAAGAGTGTATTCCTATGGAATGAAAACAATTGAAGTCATTAACTTAACATTAACTTAACATTAACTTAACATTCTGAAGTGTAGATTACATAGTTAAAGCTGAACTCCAGGAAACATAAATACAAAGTGGAAATAGTTTTTTTTTAAACTTTCGCCTGGTGTTCCAGTCAGTAAGTCTATTACTTTTCAATTTCCTTTAACAGACCAAGCTGTCCAGCAAAAGTGGCAGTTGAAGGGTTGAGACAAACAATTTAACACTGACAGGAGTGCTTATAATAGTCAGAATTTTTCATTTATGTAAAATGGTTATCTCATTATTCCAAAAGAAAAAAAAACTGTTGCTCTACATGCCAGAACCGTTTTTGCATTTTTTTGCACACATTTAAAAAATCCTTTTAGGCCCGAAGATTACAGAAAACCCCCAAACATTTTATATGTTATGAAATCATACACCCTAGAGAATAAAATAGTGGTAGTTCCAAATTTTTATGCCATAAGATATTACCGCAAAGGTCTAGGAAATGCAAAATTTCAGTAAAAAAAACACACTAAAGTGAATTTTAAGGCAAACAAACATAATAAATGACCCAAATTTGGTAAAATTTAAAAGAAAAGGTTGTGCTGAGTGAATAGATACCAAACGTGTCAAACCTTAAATTTGTGTGCGCCTGTGAAATGGTGACAAACTTCAGTACTCTATATTTTCTATAGACTACGATTCAAAAGATGATACAGGTCATCAGTTTAGTGTTACGGAGGAGGTTTTGAGCTAGAATTATTGCTCTCACTCTGGCGTGCGTAACGATATGTTACATGCTTAATTCAATTGATGTTTTCACGCATAGACAACCCTGATGCGTGTATTTTCGTTCGTTCATACAATCGTTTTTCTGGGTCACAGTAAGAAGGGGAGGAGAGTGGATGTGTGTCCATGCTCCTCTCTTTCCTCCACTCGCTGGCACTCGCCATGTCAGCCCTGGGGCCAGAAATAGAAAAGCAGAACCTGGAGTACATGGTGGGAGCATGCGCATGAGAGGGGGGCACCGTTACTGGGGGCTGTGGAAGCAATCAGGTGCCAGGGCAATCACCCGACTGCTTCCACTTGAAATGCAGGATTCAGTCTGTCAGGTTTAGACACAATCCTGGTGGCTGCAGCCACTGGATTCTATGTAAAACTCCTAGCTGTCAGGTCCGTATGATGTAGCGAAAGGGTTAAAGGAGCTTTACCTAAAATTTTCTGCTAATCCACCTTTCCCCCTTCCTTTAACCTTGTGTTACATAAATACTGTACATATGGTTACATATATAGAGTATATGGCAGCACAATGTTAAAGCCCACCAGTGAGCTGCCACATATACCATACAGCAGGGGTGTCAAACTGGTTGCCATCCAGCTGTTGCGAAACTGCAAGTCCCACCATGCCTCTCCCTTTGGGAGTCATGCTAGTAACTGTCAGCCTTGCAATGCATCATTTGACTTGTAGTTTGGCAATAGCTGGAGGGCCGCTAGTTTAACACCCATGCCCATTCTATGCATGAAAGTAAAAAAAAAAAACCTTCAGTGTGCAGCTCGCCCCTCAGGTCCCCTAATACTTACCTGAGCCTGATCCTAATCCAGCACTGTGCACAAGAGCAGGGGCTCTCCTGGGTCTCTCTCTCCTCATTGGCTAAGACATAGCAGTGGGAGCCATTGGCCAGTGAGGAGGGAAAAGGGGGTGGGGCCAACCAGGCTCTGTATTTCTTATGAACATACTGTACAGGCCTGGCTCGGGAGTGAGCACGCAGCTTGCTCTGGGGGCACTCAGCAGGGGGGGGGGGGGGGACCCAAGAAGAGAAGGATGGGGGCTTCTGTGTGCAAGTATTACATGTTTGTTATTTTAACAAAAAAAAAAAAGCTTTATAACTACTTTGACAGTATTGTAATCATATAAAATATTGTGTCAGTTATTATTGCTACCAAAGCAGCAACAGTTAGGCGTGTGCCTTTTGTTTCGCAAAAAGTCAATATTTGTCCGAAAATTAGATTTTTGGAGATTCAGATATATATAAATCTCCGAATGGACATAGTAACAAATGTAAACCAATCCAAAATAGTTATAATGAAATGCATTTGTTTCCTTAGTTTCATTCGAATGACGTCACGTGATTCAATAGTAGTTCGGGCCCACGGGGAAATTAATTCAATTTTCTAATTGGTTCAAAAATTCGGATTTGAGTAAATTTGTGATTCAAATTAAAATTGTAATTGTCAGTCAGTTCAGTTCCACAGTCTAATGCAATTCTTAGGTTTGCCAAAATTTTGGCAGCATTTTTTGCATTATTTGTTTTGTTGTGTCTGAAAATATTGAATCGTTCCAAATAGTTTTGATATATAAATATCGAATCCACCCGAAATATATAGCAATCTTCCGGGGAAAAAAATGCAAAGTCCACCCGGACCAACAAATATACAAAACGAATGCCAAATATAACTAAACGAATCCAGAAATTAATTGTTTTCATCATAACGAATATGACAAAACGAAACATAAGAAGAAATATATACACATTACTTTATATTAAGATCAATGACTGTATTGTCACAGCCGACCTTGACGGATAGATACCACATAAAGCATGTTCTAGGTGGACCCATCAAGTTTTGCTATATGACTTAAGGATCTGAGGTTACGCCACCGACCTTCCCTACTATATCTAAAATAAATCAGAGTTCACCTTTAACCCTTTCTTACACAATTAGCTTAATCATTTTTTTTTTAAATGTACCTGATTGCTCAAAATGGCTTCAGACTGTTTGGAATCTTTCAAGAACCACTGAAATGCTAGACACTGTGAGAGAAAGTGTTCTCTGCTGCTCCACATCTTATGGAGGGCATCCCATCCCACTTCTATATCTTTAACCCGCTCTGCAAGTTGCTGATATTGAGGGTCAGATTGTCCACTGGTTACATTTTTTCCTGTGTCTACAACTTCACGGAAATCAGACTCGTGGCGTTCTATATCGTCTTTAAGAGCAAGGTGATTATTGTACAGTGCTTCTGCTTCTGTTAAGGAGCTTGGTGTGTCTTCTGAAGCTGTGGCCTGCTGGGCTCTGTACAGCCATGTCTCAAAGTCAAATAAATCAACCAAAAACTTTTGAAGCTTACTGCTCTCCCCCAGGGAGTCCTCTTGATTCTGCAGTGCCTTGTGCAGCTCTTGCCAGACATTGTTGATCTCAATTAATCCATCAAAAACATCCTGGGACCGATCTGGATTTTCATCTGCCAGCTTTTTTGCCTCTTCTTGTAGATTTATAAGTTTGGTCTCAATTGCGCCGAGATCTCTCTCAATACCATAAAGCTTCCTCTGAATAGACATGACTGAGGCCAGATCATCTCCAAGGTTCTGTATGGAATCCACCACTCTGATCTTATCCAGTATCCAGTTCTTGGTTTCTTCACATTCCACAAAATAATTGTGAATACCAAGGGCAGAATCAACTGCTTTCCTTTTATTAGCAACCATTTTCTTGAAATCAGCCCATCTGCATAATAAAAGACAAATAATGTTTTAATTGGTAACATATCATAATGGAAATGAGTTTATCGACTTGAGGCTTGTGTCAAAACCCAAATCCAGCCTCCTGTCAGTTGCATTCAGTTGACATTTGAAATGCGTCTAAGATCACTGACAGTTCATTGACAGGTGCATTGGACCTGCAGTTGACGCACAATTGACCTCCATCTAAGTTGTATCAAACTCCTTCAATCTGCTTTTAGATTCCTATTGATTTGTATGCAGAAAGAAGGAGAACTGACACTAACAATAGCCTGTCAACCCAAAGTCAGCTGGTTTCATGATGATATTTCAATAATGTTACAAAGGACAGGAAACAATGTGCATAATACCTGGCATTCATGTGATCTTGTCCTTGTTTCACTTGCATTCTATTGGGATGTCCACTTTCAAAGAGAGAATCAGAAGCACTATTGACATTCTCAATTTGCGATCCCAAAACATTCATTTCTTGACCCAGAGTATTAAACCTAGAAAAGATAGATTAGATGTTACAAGCATTTCAAAATTACATTCACTACTTGCATTACATTCACTGAATATTATTTGCAACTCTTTGGTGATGTCCGGGGCTCTACTTGAGGCCCTCTATATCAAGAAAGTTGGAAATCACAGTTCTAGATGTATTCTTATTAAAGAAAACTGAGTTGACAAACTGTCAACTATTTTAAACTGTTCATTTTTTTAACAAGAGCCAAGATAAAAATTCTTAGTAATCAAATTACTAACATCATATGATGTGACTTATTTGGAAAAAAAAAAGTCATACTAAAATTTGGTCATCATGTCCTCATGCATCACTTTCAGGACCGTGTGCACCAGCTGTTTTCTGGCATAGATATCAGATAGATATAACAACTAATGTGTACTGAAAAGGTAAACATAGTAGTTGAAGTAGAAATAGATTTTTGCATAAAAAGACATACATGCCTGGGTAGCAAGTAAATGAATAATCCCCCAGTAATGTTATTACTAGGCTACAGCTAGAGGGAGCTCCAATTGATTTGTAGTTTAACTTCAGAAGACTATGCTAACTAGCTCACGTTAAACGCAAAATGCAAGTGAGCAACATGTCTTTTCTGTCTGCTCTTTTGTTTATGCTATCTTTGTTCAGTTTTGTGTTTGTTCTGACATTCACTTTCTCTGTGAAGTATCTTATATTAGTAATGCTAATTCTCTAATACAAAGTGATGTGCTTTTCCGTGTGGCCTGGGCTGCCACTATAAAGAAAGTAACTATTGTATAATGTGATCCATTTTGGTTTAACACATTAACCACTTCTGCTCCAGAAGATTTACCCTCCTTCCTGATCAAGCCATTTTTTGCAATACGGAACTGTGTTACTTTAACTGACAATTGCGCAGTCATGCAACACTGCACTCAAATTAAATGTTTTTCCTTTTTTCCCACAAATAGAGCTTTCTTTTGGTGGTATTTGATCACCTCTGCGGTTTTTACTTTTTGCATTATAAACAAAAGAAGACCAATTTTGGAAAAAAAACAATATTTTGTATTTTCTACAACAAAACATATCCAATAAAAAAAAATATAAAAAAAAAATCAAATTTCATAAATTTAGGCCAACCTGTATTCTGCTGCATATTTTTGGTAAAAAAAATTCCAATAAGTGTATACTGATTAGTTTGTGCAAAAGTTATAGGGTTTACAAACTATGGGACATATACTGGAATTTTATTATTTTTGTATACTAGTAATGGTGGCGATCAGCGACTTATAGAGGGGCTGCAATACTGCAGCAGACATTTTACACTAACTGGTGCTTTATGGGAACCAGTGACACTAATACAGTGATCAGTGCTAAAAATATACACTGATCACTATACTAATGACATGGTGGGAAGGGGTTAACATCAAGGGTGATCAAAGGGTTACGTGTGTGCCTAGCTATGTGCTTGCTACACCCTCAGTGGCGCTGGTACAAAGGGAAGTGATGGATCATGTTCCCAGCTCTGTAGGGACACACAATCGTTCACTTCCCTCTAGAGTTGTTCTAGAGTTAAAACACTTACCAGTGTTTATTTTTTATCTTATTCTTCACTTTAGTTTCCAAGCTGATTATGTGTTTCAGCCTTTACAAGATTCAATCTCCCTGCTAAATTTTTATCTGATATTATATTTTGGGAAATAGAGAAAGAGTAGGAACACCCAAAAGTGGGTACAGAGAGCCAAAACAAGTGGGTGGGAACAGAATAAAAATATTGCAGGAAATTCTTGCTGATGGACTCTGGTGGCAAAATTCTTACCTGCTGTGACCTGCCATCACCTTTAGAAGGGGCCTCCCTCTGCTTGATATTTTTTTTTTTTGCTTTACATTATGGTACATCTAAAGAGTAGGTACTTCAACATTTAATTTAATAGATTACCAGTAAATTCAATAGATTGAATTTAATAGATTTAATTAAATTTAATAATACTAATATTAATGGTGTATAATACTGTGCAGGTAAACAATATCATGAATCATATGGAACATTAAAAGTAGCCTAGGTGTTCATAATTTTGGAGTTTTTAATTTTTGTGTAGAGAGTTACCTGTGCTGAACTACACCCATGTCTTCAAGGGATTCTGGAATCTCCATTGCTTGAAGCCACTTTTCTTTCTCGTTCATCCACATTTCACAGGCATCTATTTCCCCAAGAATTGTATAATATGCCAGAGTATCTTGAAGTTTTTGGGATCGTAAATCTGCTAGAGATGCCAGGTCAGAGTAAAGTGCTTTCAATTTTTGAAGTCGGCTGTCTATCTCAGGGGATGATTTGTATTCTTCTGGAAAGCTTTGAGCAAGTTGACTAAGATTTTCTAAGACTTCTCTGTTCAACATGATGTCATCTAGAAGGTCTTTGTGTTTTTTCACCAGCACATTGGTGGAATATTCATCATTACCAATGTCTTCTGTTTGCATGATACGGTATGTGTCCTGCAATCTGGCAACTAGATCATCAGCATCAACCTGAAACTGGAAAAAGTTTTCAATATCACGTAAAACTTTCCAGCGGAATGCCGCCAGCTCTTTCAGCTGTGCCCATTCATCTTGGATATTCTCAATTCTTTCTTGAATCTTTGGTGCCTCGTAATGTTTGCTGGCAATCAAAGTTTCTCCTTCTTTAATGACTTCTTGTAGGTTAAACTCCAGACCTTTGAGTTCACTTTCAAAAGCTTTATGCTTTCTTTGAAGGATAGAAATGGTGGTAAGGTCTTTCCCAAAGTCCATAGAAGTATAAATTTGTTCTTTCTCCTTTATCCATCTTTCAATCTCATCCATGTCTCCAAAGAACTTCCACATACATCTACATTGTAGTAGGCGAGCCTTCCGTTGAGCTGCCAATGCAACAAGATCTTGATAACAAAGTTCAAGGTGTTGAACTCGATCTTTAATCAACTGTGGATCACAAGGCTTGTATCCTACAAGGCAAGGATTCAAAAATAAAATATTTTTTAAAGAGTTTTAACACACTGATGTAACGCAATAAAAATTCAGCAGTCTATGAATAAAGAAAAAATTTTTGCTCATAAATTTTAATAGAGAATTGAAGCCATATTGTCACAAACAAAGTTTGCCCACAAAATCTACACCAGTTAAGAAGCAAGTGAATACTTCGCTCTCCTACTGTACACGACTCCAAACGCAGCTCCAATCCAGAGAAATAACCAACAGAAAGCCAATACTTCTGAGTGTTAATGTCCTGGTCCCCATAGAGCTCAGTGGTTCCTCTTTCCATTGATCTCAATGTCACTACATGAATCTGTGTAAAATCTTCCTTCTAGACTCGTGCATGCACTTTTGGAAGTCCATAGGAATAAATCAGATTGCAGAACACATGCATAAGTCCATCTGGAAAAGTTTTGACTAGAGGGTGTGCATCTCACTGGATTGGGGACAGGTAAGTATAAAGCTTGGAGGGGAACTGGGTCAGGGGGTATAAATAAGAGGAGGGGATATGGGAGTCCAAACCACCCCTCCCCCCTTCAAGAGCACCCACCCACGGAGAAGCCTGGCAGCCATTTTAAGTGGTAGAGCTGCACGGCCCATGCATCTTTACAGCAATGTACTCTTTTCCCCCAAGCAATGAATGGACGGACTTTTAGTATCGCCCACTAAACACACAGAATGGGCTGGATGATGCCTGGGAGCCTGAGGAAGAAGATAAACTACAGAGGAATGCAGGGCAGTGTGCTGTACAGCAAAAGAAGCAGATAGAGCCAAGAGGTGAGCTTTGCTGTGTGGGGAGAGGAGAATCCCAGAAGGCCTGAAAGGGGGTAGGCACTAGGGGTGATAGCAGGGTGAGCAGTATATGAAATGCTCCCGACCACTACACTCTGTATAAGACAGTATATGAGAATGACCACTACATTCTGTACACTGGGCTGTGGATGACATACTTGTGACCATTAAACTTCATACGCTGGGCTGTATATGACATGTCCCTGACCACTGCACTCTGTACTCTGGACTGTATATGACATACTCATGACCACTAAACTCTGTACACTGGGCTCTTTATGAAAAGCTACTATGTATGCTGAGATATATATGATATGCCTCTGACCACTGCACTCTCTATCCTGGGCTTTATATAACACAACCCTAACTACTGCACTCCACACAGTGGGCTATATATAACATTCCTGACCACTAAAAACTGTACACCAGACTGTACGTAACATATTCCTGACCACTGCACTTTGCATGCTGGGCTGTATATGACTTACTCCTGACCACTACACTCTAAGTGTATTATATACTCCTGACTACTGCATTCTTTATAATATACAATATTTGCTGGTTGTTCAGTAGTGACAATAATAATGAAGTAGGCTGTGAGCAGAAATAAAGCATATGTATTGAAAATATTTATTTTTACAAATGATTGTGCTGAGGTTTGTACATGTCTGTTAAACTCTCACTTGGCACAGTAACTAAAGCATATTTTGCAGGAAAAAGGAATGTGCTATACATATATATATGTACACAGTGAGTGTGGCTGAAGTTTTAAGAACCCCCTACTGCAATTTTGCCACTCCCATAATTCACTGCAGTGCTCTGTGCAGCTCTCCTACCTATACTTTGTCCAAGGCTGAAATCCCTTCCCCAGGAAAAAAAAAGTGAGTCAAGCTCACGCTCCTTCTCTGTTACCCGCTGCCTAGCAGTTGGAAAGATGCCCCTATTTTCCTATTGCCCTGAAGTGGCTGCTGTGTTCTTTTCAGCCAGCATCTGTTACCAGAGGATGGGCTGGCCTGTCCTGTGGATGCATTCTCCTTCTTCTTTCATTGGCAGTCTCTTACCTCCTCTACAGTGCCCCTGTTGCTATGCAGCACTGCTGCGTTGCCTTGACCGCACTACCCTGGTTGACTGTGGTGCTCTATTTGAGCATTACAAGCTGTGTGCTTGTGATAGCTTTTTGCTTCCTGGCTCCCTACCAGTTATACCTCTTGTGTTCCTGCCCATCAACCTGCCTTAGATTCCCATGTTGCCAACCTATGCCTTGAACTTGGATTATTGTTTCAGATTGCCACCAGCCCTGATCTTGGATTATTTACTGGATTATGCTTGCCCACTACCTATCTTGACTTTGGACTGTTTACTGGATCATGCTTAGCTGCTACCTGCTGTGGCCTGGGAACTGTTTCCAAGATTAGGATTGCCTAATGCCTGCCCTGACCTCAAAACATTTCTCTGGATTACGCAACAAGCTTCAACCTTTCCAGACCACCACCAGCCTATGGACTTTGGCAGGGATACTCCTCTGCAGTGACCATGACCTTTGCCTGACCAGCCTATATTACAGGTATTCTTTCCTGTTCTCTTCACTCAGTCCTGGAAATAGGCATGATTGTTTTCAGTTACAACATAGACATATTTGTATTAACAGTATCCCCAGCAATGTGGCATCTCCCCCCCCCCCCAAAAGAAGGAAAAAGACTATGAAAATGTATTTCAGTTTTGGAAAAATATTAAAATTAACATAAGACTTGAGAGCAGATTATGTGTACTATCTGTCTGTATGATATACATTGTAGTTTACACATTTTTTTAATTAAACTTTTCCCTGTGCATGGGTTTCTCTATTAGCAGAAACCAAACTGGCTGTTCCTAAAAGATCACAGACCAATAGACCAATATGTGGCCCAACAAATTACATACCCTTTCTCAGCCAGAAACAAAATAAAAATGGAAATCTGGTTGGTTTTTAAGAATCTGTTCTTCATTTAGCAGTTTGATGAATGAGGCACAGATTTTTTTCAATGACATACCCATGTCTTGACCTTGAATTAGTTGCACATGGGATGTCTTAATGGATCGGTGAAGTGTCTAATTTTGATGATTGCATGAATTGTGCTACCAGAACTACACTGTATGTATTTCAGTAATAAATTAAAAGAAGAGTATTATTAACTTACCTTCTTCAGTGATGAATTTCTGCATAGTTGTTTGATAAGAATTCACTTTGTCATTTTGTGTGGCGATGTCAGCTTCAGTTAAGGCGTGTTTTTGGAGCAAATATTCAACTTCATTGAGGTGCTTCCCAAAGTCTGATGATAAAAGGCCATTCTGTTAGCAGAAAAGGGATGAAGCAAACAGTTAGGGTTTAAGTTTTGCCAACAAGCCTCAACGAAACAGTTTTTTGAAAAGCAAAGTTTCCTGGATTTGGCCTAACTCTACTGGGATATGAGCCAAAGATTTGATTTAACAGCAGCGGCTCAATAAACTAAGTAGTATATTTATCCATGTTTTTACAAAAGATTCAAACAACCTTACCCAAAATGTACATGATTTTTCTAATTGTATTTAATTAGAAAAATGTGTGAATCCTGATAGTTGGGTTGATCATGTGTGAAAACATTTATTTTAATTCACCATGAGAAGTTGCAATGTATTTTCTGACATGTGACCAGGGCTTTTTTCAGCAGGAAAGTGCTGGAATGCAGTTCCGGCACCTCCAGCACTGAATGTATGTAATGGTAAGGAGTAATGGGGTGTTCTGGAGGGTCTATGGTTGCTGACTGCTGGGGGATATATTGTTGCTTGTTGTTGCTGGGAGAGATCTACTGTTGAGGGAGGGGTTTGTTTTTACTGGCTGCTGTGGATATATTGTTGTTGGGGGGATCTGTTGTCGCTTGGGGGTCTACTGTTGCTGGCTGCAAGGGATCTATTTTATTGTTATTAATAACAAGTTCCATACAAATTACTTAGCATCACAAAATTATACTTGGCTCTGTATTCTCTAAAAGGGGCAGTACTGGGAGGTGGGTAGGTGGCGGAACCAAGGGACAGTGCTCTGAGGTGGGTATGGGGTGGAGACAAGGAGTGACTAAGAAAGGGGGAGTATCTGCACCTATTCTCTGATAAAAAAAAAAGCCCTGCATGTGACACTGCTAAGGCCCTCTAGTTTATATAGCTTTTTAGATTCACATCTGCATATAAGAGGTCATCTAAGACCATCTTTATTGACAGATGGTTATGTCACTATTGTGCTGCTAATTATTCCTCTGGGGAGGAAGCTTTATCAGAAGACTTGAAGTGCAAGTAACATATTACTCCTGCACTATTCTCCTCATCAGGGCTGGTCACACATGAGGAATCAAAGTTCTAAGTCTCCACCAAGATGGCTGCTCCACACAAAGACACAATGTGGAATAAAGTCTGGAATTCCAGCTCCCCATCACCTTGTTTCTCTAATGCTTTGAAAAGAGGCATGGTATGCTGGTCCTGGACAAAGAACAAGTGCAGAGAGCCAACAAGCGTTACTGGTCACTAGTCCTTTCCCTCTACTTTACTTTTTTGGTCACGGTTTCTAGAGTCTAGATCTACTTTAACAATTCTTTAGAATTATATGGATTATGTACACTCACTGGCCATTTTATTAGGTACATCTGTTCAATTGCTTGGTAACACAAATTGCTAATCAGCCAATCACATGGCAGCAACTCAATGCATTTAGCCATCTGGACATGGTGAAGACGACTTGCTGAAGTTCAAACTGAGCATCAAAATAGGGAAGAAAGTGAACTTAAGTGACTTTGAACCTGGCATGGTTGTTGGTGCCAGATGGGCTGGTCTAAGTATTTAAAGAACTACTGATCTACTGGGATTTTCAAGGAAAAACAATCTCTAGGGTTTACAGAGAATAGTCCGAAAAAGAGAAAAATACCCAGTGAGTGGCAGTTGTGTGGACTAAAATGCCTTGTTGATGTCAGAGTAGAATGGTCAGACTGGTTTGAGATGATAGGAAGGCAACAGTAACTCAAATAGCGACTTGTTACAACCAAGGTAGGCAAAATACTATCTCTTAACGCACAACACGTCGAACCTTGAAGCAGATGGGCTACAGCAACAGAAGACCACACTGGGTGCCAGTGTATCCATCTTCTGATGGCTACTTTCAGCGGGATAATGCACCATGTTTGAAAGCTCAAACCATCTCAAACTGGTTCTTGAACATGACAATGAGTTCACTGTACCAATGGCCTTCACAATCATCATATCTCAATCCAATAGAGAACCTTTGGGGTGTGGTGGAACGGGAGATTTGCATCATTGATGTACAGCCAATAAATCTGCAGCAATTGCTTGATGCTATCATGTCAATATGGACCAAAATCTCTGAGAAATGTTTCCAACACCTTGTTGAATCTATGCCACAAAGTTCTGAAGGCAAAAGGGGGTCCATATTGGTACTAGCAAGGTGTACCTAATAAAGTGGCCGGTGAGTGTAAAGTGATTTGACAACAATGAAATCAAGAACTTAGAGAGGATGCAGTACTGTAGGAATTATGAATTAATGTGTGAAGAACTGAAATATAATAGTTAGATTAAAAAAAACTCTTTTGAACATGATCAGATGAACATACATGCTAATTGGCACTTCCTCAGATGGTTTCAAGATGGCTAATGTGAATATTTTATGCTTAAATCATCCAGCAGCAGTCTTTGTCTAATTAACTGTCAGAGGCTGCTGTGGGTCAGTTGTTTCATTAGCAAGATCCAAACTAGCTAGGTCACTGTTGAGGAAATAAATGTTTGGGGGCACTGTATTTTACCTTCATTTCATCCATCCATGTAACAGTGTGTAGCATGTCCTGGAACAAGAGTTGAAGTTCTAAGTTCATGTTAAGCCGCTGGCGTCGACTGTGTAAATTTTCCAGAAAGAAACTGCCACATTCGTACGATGTTGTCCTTTCTAGCATTGATTCTCTTGATGTCATGATAATTCTCATTTTCCAATTCTTTAGCTAGATTGACTAATGACTGAATGCGGCCTTCATAGGCCAGGATATCTGTTTCGATGGCTTCATGTTTCTTTTTGGCCGCCTCCACTGATGGCAAATCACAGCCAAAATTATCCTGTTAAAAACAACATCTATGTGAAACCACATCCCCCACAATATACAAGATCCATTATAGTTAAAAATCGTGCACTTTCTCTGAGAATTCAGGTGAAAGCATACCTGTATGAATGCACCTAATATTGTGCGCATCTTAAAAGGTAAAGAATAGAGTTAGTCTAGCCTTCCACCAAATAATTTTTTTATAAACTTTGTTTAGTTTCAAAAACTAAACATTTCCGTTATGTTTTTTAAAAGTTACAAATACTTAGGAAGATTGAAGAGGTGCCATTGTGCTTACGCTGCACATTGAAGAATAAACCATTCATTGTAGGGAGACCACTGACATGTCATTGCTGTTGCAGTGCAGACGTTCCAGAGGGTTCACTAATTTCAAGCCTAAATTAGCAAGCTCCAACATTGAGTGCACACCATACCTCTTCGAGTATACCGGTCTTAATAGGAACTCAAAGTATTTCAGCCACACACCGTTAAGTCCACGCTCAAGACAGAGTATTGTGACTGATCTAGTGCACAACTGGCTCCTCATTCTGATGTTTTCATAGACTCAGAGCAAAACACTTCAGTGGAAGAAGCCAGTTTTGGGCTGGATCATCTGTTGTAATAATCTGTCATGAGCAACAATATTTTGGTGTGCAATTTAAATTCTTTGTTTCCCAATGTTTTTGTGCTTGAACGTGTACTTGAATGGAGCATATATTGGTAAGGCCTGTACTCATATACACTTTCAGCAACGTCTAGTTGCAAACTCAAAATATAGAATGGAATTCTTTGTAGAAAGTGTGTCTCACTGTACATGTTTCGTTCAGAGAGACCTCTTTGTCTGGAAGACACATCCCAACCAGACTAGGAAACTGTATGAATTTCAACATTTTATGGCAAGAATACAAAATTAGACTGGGTTTTCCTGATATTATAGTAAGTGTAATCCATCATTTCTATTTATCATGCTCTTCTTAAAATTTCTTTACTGCAACAGTAATGACATTGTATGGCTGTTTTAATTTAATAACTATATAATATCAACACTGTTAACTATTACACATTTTAACAGATATTTTCCTAATGTGATTACCTGTGAGATAAGATGTTGGTTTTCACCTATCCACGCCTCTCTCATTGCAGCCTTGCGGTCAAAGCGTTTTGCCAATTGTTCAAGCTTCTCCTGTCGAATCAGTTCATTCCTCAAAGCTGTCTCGCGGTCATGTTCAGCCTTTTCAAGGCGGCCCCATGCCTGAATTTCAAAAGCAAATGAATTACTAGTTCAGGAGATGTCAGGTTTTCTGTGAGCTTCATAAACATTCTTAGGGAGTTGTGGCCACCCAACATTTTTTTGTGCATTGTTAGGCACTGTGCTAGTCCAGTTCAGAGATAAGGGGAGGCTCCTTCTCTACCCCATTCTGATTACACAACTGAGAGAAGGACTTCCTCTCTCTCTGAACTGCCACTGCATTTGAGGTCTGTGAATTACTCCTGTGTTATGTGTGTTATGTACTCCTGGCTCCTGTATTCTGTGCCTTATACATTCCCGAGCAGTGCCCTCTGCGCCTAGTGCAATCCTGGCCCTTGCATTCTGTACATTGAGCACTCCTGGCCCCTACGCTATCTGTATTTTGAGGGTAAAAGGACTATGGCATATGCATGCTGTATACATAGTAAGTAGGCAGAGGTTTTTTTTTTTTTTAACAATGCCACTTTAAGCCCTATCCCCCAGTGTTAGCACAGCTTGGCCACACCCACAATTTGACACAATCGCTTTTTTTTTTTTAAGGGGAGTGTTAAAAAAATTGATCGTCCTGGAGTGCCAAACATTCAATAAATCAATTGACATTTAAAACTGTAAACATATATTGATTTCATATGTGAGTTTAGTGTTTTCCTGAATGTTCATTTTAATTTTTAAACATTTTTGTTACCTACCCTGTTGATGTCAGACACCAGCTGACCATCTCGCGGTACATATACCCTTTGTTTATTCTCCCTCATTCTGGACTGTATAGTGAACAGCTGGACTTCTAAGTCACCCTTTTCTTTAAATCTGTGGATTGGATAATATTTTTAACACCAATAACATTTGCCTTTATTGTATATAAATAATGGCAGTTGTACATATCCAAATACATTTTAAGAAAATCCAATGTTCGTCACAAACAATTTCTAACATAATATGTGATTTAGAATACTAATAACAACATGTTGGAACATAAAATCTGTGGCAAGTGTCAGTTTAATAATAAATAATCTCCTGCTGTCAGCAAATCAGTGGCCACTCTGATAGCTTCCAGAGCAGATTTGAAGATTGCTCTGTGCTATCCCCTTATGTCTAGTTACTTCTGTATTTTGCTTACTTTTTAGGCTTCTCTGTAGTCCTGTATGTACTGAATGACTGTAGTTGCTGTTGAACTCCGAGTAAAGAATTAGCAAACTTCCAGTTGGTAAGGGCAATAATTGTTTGCTCAATCCATGTCAGCAAATCTGAAGTCAGTCTTCCATAATCATATATCATCTTTTCTGTGTCAATAGCATTATCCAGAACCTTGAAGAGAAACATATACAATGTAATGCAATCTTAATGAATTATAGGCCTTCCAATATGAAATGGACAAATAGGTAATTTATTAGGAGCTAGCCAGTCTTTTGCTCCTTGGTGGTGGCATCAAGGAGGTCTTTCGGACTCACACAGTGGCTCTGCCCAATTCATGGGCTACTATTGCAATGGGAATGCAACAGTGAGCATTCAGTTATTCGAAAAAAATTACTAGACCTTAAATTTGTTGATACATAGGATAACATTATGACAGATTTCTCATTCAAATTCTGTGTAATGAGAGAGACCTTGCCTCACCTTTCCAATTCTTTTTCCTTCCACAGCCAAAACCTTCATCTTGGAAAAATAGTGATAAAATGCTACGACGTATGTGATAATGGATTTCTCATCTGGATTTTCAGTGAACACATCTGCAAAAAATGAATACAAGCACTGGCTTATTACCAGTGGCAGACAAGTGATACATGGACATGTAAAAGCATCAACATTTCCCATGGTTTCCCTTCCAAAAGTAGACAACCTCATGTCAGAGTATGTTACCATTTTCACCAGATAAATGGAAGTCTTTATTGAAGTGATAGTTCTCTAGGTAAAGTTGGCACCCTTGCCACTGTTCCCTTATGCATTTCTTCACTGAGTGCCCCATGTGTGCCAGCCTTATTCTCTATATATCATGGTGTTTGCTGCTACTACAGAACAGTGCCGCCTGAAGTACTCCTTTTAAGGTTCAGTCAAAAAGTTGCAATTGACATATTGGGGTTTATTTACTAAAGCTGGAGAGTTCAAAATCAGACTCCCTTCTGCATAGAAACCAATCAGCTTCTAACCTCAGCTTGTTCAATGAAGCTTTGGCAATGAAACCTGGAAGCTGATTGGTTTCTATGCAGAAGGGAGTCTGATTTTGGACTCTCTAGCTTTAGTAAATAAACCCCATTGTCTCCTTGTTATTTAATAGCTTGACTCTCAGTGGTGCTCCCAATACAGCCATTTATAATCTCTGATGTTGATGTCTGAGACCCCTGTGCCGCTTAAAGGCCAATTCCATTTAAAATGTTCTTCTTTATTATAAAACGAGAAAGGGTTACAACTTTTGCTAGTGTTTAAATGTTGTTCCCCAATTCAGTCATATGAAAAGACCGTACTCTGGCAGAATACAGTCACTCCATATGAATGAAAGTGCAAATACCCTTTAAAAGTCTGCATAGGACTAAATGGAGAGGTTCTAATCCACTGGTGCCCATCCTAAGGCCTTTTGGTACTTGCAGTGCAGCTCTTTGCCGACCTCAATAGTAAGGAACATTTATTTGCAAAGGGGCTGCAAAGGAAAAAAGGTTTATTTTTTTTTACTTTTAAAAAACAATCTTGTTATACCTACCTGCTCTGTGTAAGGGTTTTGCACAGAGCAGCCCTTATCCTTTTCTTCTGGGGTTCCCCACTGGTGCTCCTGGCTCATCAGCCTTACGTGTATCTTGCTATGGGGGTGCTGGTTCATGCTTGATCCCGAACCAGGTGCTGTGTGTCCACTGACACATAGAGCGCAGCTCAACCCCACCCCCACTCCCTCCTCACAGGCTGTGATTGATGGCAACAGAAGCCAATGGCTCCTGCCTCCATGTCCAGTGAGGAGGGAAAGAATGGAGTAAAACATGACATGCTGATAAAGGGTTGCCTTGCACTACTATTGTATACATATAGATCAGGGGTCTCCAAACAATGGCCCATATACCCATAGACGTGAACATGTCCCATAGGAAACCATGTTAAATGGACTGTGGTACGTTTCTGCAAAAAGCACTAAAAAACACATTGGTGTGAACCAGACCTGAATAGAACTCACATATAAGCAGGAATTCTGGGTTCAAGTTTTTTTTTATCTCTTTGTTTTGCTGAAGATTACTGTTGTTCTAAATCATATCATGCTGATTACTCAAAAAGCTAAAGGTTAAACTTTTTCATTCATTTAAATCTGATTCTTTCATTTATAAAAACATATTTTTTTTTTGTCCTGCAAACATTTGTAAATTATATGAAGTGTATTTTATTATATATGTATTATCTTAATTAATTAATATATATATATATAGTTCTTGTATATTTAGCACCAAATTTATTTCCTGTCATTATTGCTGCCAATAGTGATACAAATTAACAAGGCAATGAGTGTATGAAAGTCATCTGTGACTATAAACAAGCAAACCAATTCACTGATCGGCAACATCTTTTTTAGCAAATCACAAATGTCTAGTTCTCTGAATATGTGTATGGATATTTGCCAGATCTCTGCAGAATCAGAAAATTTCTGAATGCCAGTGACATGTTCCTGTATACCAAGCTATTTGGAAAAGAGTGACCGATGCTTGTAAAATTATAACATGAAGGCAATAAAAACTAAACAGTTCAATGAAACTTACCCTCCGGATCAAGCAGCTGCGTTATACCAAGCTGTCTGTCAGCTACAGTAAAGGCATTTTCTAGATTATATTTAGCATTTGATTTCTTCAGCTTTTCAAAATTGATGAGATCTGGCCTGAGAAGAAAACACCAGCATGGTCAATGTACGGCATACTGTCCCTGGCAGCTGGATTTTTGGTGCCCATTGTATCTTATATACACAGAGGTTATTTGTAGTGTTTGATAACCTTGGGAACTAACATAACACAGAATACGTTGACGTATATGATGCATAACTCTCTTTATTGGTCTCTGGCACTGTGCTCATATATGTCTAGGAAAGATACCGACTCTGCTTCAGGCCATTCTTATAAATAATCAATAACTAAAGAAAGAAACATGGATTTAGAACATATGTTTGTCAGTTTGAATCCCAACCATGACACTACCTGCATAGAGTTTGAATGTTCTCCCTGTACCTGCATGGGTTTCCTCCAGGTACTCCAGTTTCCTCCCACACTCCATAGACGTGCTGGTAGGTTATTTGGCTGCTGTCTAAACTGGCCCTAGTGTATGAATGTGAGTTAGGGACCTTAGATTGTAAGCTCCTTGAGGGCACTGACTAATGTAAATGTACCATATATGTGTAAAGTTCTGCGTAAATTGACAGCACTATATAAGTACCTGTAATAATAATATGTATTTCTTAAACTGTATGTCCAGCTACAATGATTCTTCAGACAGAGTGGGACAATATTAAAATTCCTCATGGAACAATTACCTTGGAATGAGCGGCTCTTGATTTCCACTGTCTTCGTCCAGGGTTGATCACGTGAGCAGTCACAGAGCACATCGGCCTCCTATTGTTTTGCTGGGTCTCCCGCATGCAATTGCTAACAGCCCCATTCGCAAGCATGATTGGGGCCTTATGGAGTTGCTTTACCAAAGGCAAATAGGCTATTCACTTTGCAAGGAAATTTTCCCCAGAACTTAGTGAATGAGGTGAAGAGCTGTAGACTTCCATCATCCAATCATGCACAAGCAAATATGCTGTTTTTTTTTCTCTTTTATGTGATTGGGAATTCTTTGCAAAGTAAAACCTTACTGCATTCACTAAGCTCCTGGAATAATTATATTTGTCTGTGGAGGTCTGCAATAAAGACATCCTATTGGAGTGCCCAGCTTAACCCCTTGGTGCTGAGCGTACACAAATTAGCGGCCCCACTGGACTGGGCTTTTTTTCTGTGGGGCCGTTATTTGTGTACCTGTCTTTGTACTGGCGTGCTCCCAGCACAAAGACCAGGGTGTCAGTGAGAGCCCCAGGTCCCGTTCTAACGATCAGGACCCGGAGCAAAATGTACGCTATAGTTTCTGGGCCATACTACGGGTACAAACAACACCTAACATACACATATGTGGTATCACTGCAATTGTCAGGAGCAGGAGAAATTATTTGGGTGGTTTTCTGGTGGTTGGTTATGGTAGTAGCAAGAAATATACAACTAAAAATGGTTTTTGTTACTATTTTGGGTCAGTTTTCCTTTGACAATAAAAAAATCAGGATATATCCATTACCATTTACCATCAAATGAAAGCCCAATTTGTCCTGAAAAAAACAAAGTATAATGCACCTGGATGCACAAAGTAGATGTGACGATATGTACAGTTTTGCTAACACATGTCAAAGTTGCAAAATTGTGTTTATGCTTTAAGATTTGTGTTACCCTTAGGCATGAAGGGGTTAAGCAAAGCACAGATTAATTTTAAAGTTATAAACATTAGGACAGCACAAGGTACATTTCTTTCACAACAGCAGTTGTAGGTTTTATAGTTTTATGATAGGTTTTTTTTTTGTTTACAAACGGTTTTATTATATGAAAGTAGACTGTATAACAACAGTTCATTTACAAATGATACACACAGTAGAAACAAAGCACTTCTGAAAAGTACAATACAGAAAAATATATTAACGTAAGGAAGAGAAGAGATAGAAAGAGTAGGTTGCAAGTACATGAAATACATTAATGATAAGGTAGATTGAATGATATATCTGTCAACAGTATGTGCCAGTCAATTTTCAGTGGGGATGTTGTTAATTATGCAATAAATGTCTATAATCCCTCCATGACTCCCACTTTTTATCAAACAAGTGCATCTTATCCAGTAGGGTATAATGAATATGTTCCATGAGCATTACAGCATCTATTCTGTGTAAAACAGAGGCCAAGGGTACAGAATTGGACCTCCAATGTAAGGCAATAGACCATAAAGTGGCAGTACATATAGTATGTATTAATCTCATAGTGGCATCAGAGACCCCCGGGACACGCACTCCCAATAGACAGGTCTGTAAAGACAATCGTACCGGGGTACCCACCAGTGAGGTAGCCACCTTAGATATCTTGCACCAAATCATAGATATAGTCGGGCAATTCCAAAATATATGGACCAGAGTGCCTGTGAGGCCACAGCCCCGGAAGCATAAAGGGGACGTTTGTGGGAACAATATATGTAGTCTTGATGGGGTATAGTACCATCTGGTTAAAACCTTGAGAGCCGTCTCACGAACAGAAAGAGATCGGGAACACCTACATATGTTATCCACCATGGAATCCCAATCCTCATCTGAAAAAGTGATACTGCAATCCTTCTCCCATTTTCGTCTATATAGGGGGGGTGTATGAAAAAGGCAGAGCAAAGATTTGTGGTAAAAATCAGATATGAGACCCCTACCCCTAGGAGAGTCTCGGCTGATATGATAGGTTTTTTTTTTGGTCAGTTTAGATGTAAGGATTACTCAAAGTACTCTACTTCCTCTTTTATTAACAAGCCATACTTGACTTTTGGACATGGCAGTATCTTACCTGTGTTTGTGAATGAGAGCATTGAAAGCTAAGCCATCTTTCCAGCTGGATGTAAAGTTGGTGACATTCACATTTGGATATCTAAAAGTATAGATTTACATTGAAATTAGTTAGAAGGAAACATAGATATGGATTGAAAACATTTAATTGCCACTATTTACTGTTTCTCCCCAATCCAGTACTTCCAAATGGATACCACAACTCAAACTACACCATCCTGTGGGCTGTACAGTTGATTCCCTAATGGAAAGCATTTATAACTTATTCTTGACTCTCTTCCAAATTACCAAACTAAGTGGGAACATGGCTAACTCATAGGCATCTCTTTTAGGGTAGCTGGTCAAATCACTGCCCTTATTTGACATTCAAGACTTATATTTAGATTTAGTTTATCTAGCACTGGTTCGTTATCACTTGCTGATTTAACACATTATGCTAAGTTCATCCATTATTGTCCTACTGGAGGACACACACAGCCTGGAATTCTTGCCTTTGAATCACAGAAAAACAACAACAAAATTTCTAACAGATGAGCATTGAAAAGGCACTGACATGAATTAAATGGTTTCTAAAATTATTTTTTTATGTTTTTAGTTTTGAACAGTGTAAGAGAAGGTATAACCAGCTTTTTGGTGCTGGAGGGATTTACTGTTTCATTGGTGACTACTGATACCTGAACTAATACTAAAAAGAAATTCAAAATTTGAGTTGTCAGCAGAACAAAAATAGAGGGAAATAGCTATTGTCAAAGGCTTCTATTGGACTTCGGGCATTCAGGAGGTGCCTGTGTTGGCTAATCTACACGCATGACCGAGGGACATTCATACCAAAGACTGCCTTGAGCTTGTTTCCCTCTAGTGTTCAGCCTAGTGACTGTAACATTGTGTCCTGGAAGCACTGCAAGAAGGACCACGACTGAGAGCAGGGGATTGTGGGACATATAGCCTGGGGAACCGGGTCTTTACGTGGAGCCAGTGCTGCCTTAAAATATAAGGTCCAACCAACCAGAGAGAAGGGGGAATGCTGGGAGAGGACATATATAGCCCGGCCAGGGAAAGGTTCGTTCTCTTGGGACCACTGCCTGAGGTTCAGAGGAGGGGCCCAGCCACTCTGTAGAGTTAGAGCAGGCCTTGCGGCCCAGACAGCCTGGGGAATCTTCAGCAGGTGAGCCATATACTTGCAGACAGACCATCCATTTCAGGGTCACTCGCATCCAGGGGCGGACTGACAACTCATGGGGCTCCCGGGCAATAGGGGATTATGGGGCCCCTGTGTCCTTGCCCAAACTCAAAAAAGCCTATGAAAAAAGGTACCAGGGGCATCTTATGGGGCCCCCTACTGACCCCGGGCATTGCCCGAGTTTCCAAATGGTCAGTCTGCCCCTGCTCGCATCATAACCATGACAGACCCAGCTGAAACCCAGCATTGTTAGGTGCACAGTTCAGGCACCTCTCACTGGACATGGATTCTCAGGAGCCTGTTCTGTGACATCTTCTTCTCCTGTGACTCAGTATCTTCTGGACTGGTGAGCGGGCAGAAGCCCACACTGGGTACACTCTTCCAAAAGACACTGCATACAGACACAATTACTTCATCTTTTTAGACCACAAGACTTCTAACAGGAAACACTTGCACATGCTATTTATTATTGCTGGTCGCCATTGCACCGCAATCCTTTCAGGCCCTAATTGAGCTGGCTGAAGCTTTTGGACGCATCCATTGTCAAGAATTTTCCCTCTTGTCTTCCCCCTTCCCACCTTCACTTAAAGGACTTTAGATCTGTGTATATTAGGGGGAATTTTCACTCAGAAATAGTTTGCTGCAATATTCACATATTTATTTATTATAAATTGTGTTGATATTCTTGGACCTGTGGCATCAGGACTTTAAGGGAGAGGACTGACACAGGAAAGTCTTCCTTCTTCCTTTTATACCCTGGGTCATAGGTTCTTCAAGGGCCTACTTGTAGTTGCTGTTTGATTCACTTCCATTGCATATCTGTGCTCTAAACCCTCAAAGACTAAACGGATTATACTAAAGATATCTGCATTGACAATCCTTTTTCTTTGTCTGTTGACTGGAGAACTTCTAGTACATATTAAATTGCTTTATTATATTTTGGTGTCATTGTAAGTGTGATCTTTTGTGAACCATGTCTGAACCCAGGGTGGCAGAGGTGTTGGAAGGCTTGCAAGATCAGGGCAACCTTTAGGGACCATCATCCTCCAGCAGCCCCTGCGGGGGGTGGCGCTACATTTACATTGCCTGTAGTGCGGTTCTTGGAGCAGCCTGCAATTTCTGGAAAGGTGCAGTGATCTCCCTGCGTTTTACGAGGCATGGCAGCTCATTCAACTGGATGGGCTGCCATGCTGCGGCCCACAAAATGGCCCTCGTGTGAACCTAGGGTAAGTGAGTATTTTCATGTCTTTGTAGAGATTAACAGTCCTTTCCTGTTGGGTCTACAGAACTAGAAGTTAATGACAATCCTCTGAATGGGATGCCAATGGCAAAAAACAGGGCTTTATTCCTTCCCTACTCTTCAAAGCTGAAAAATATTGTCTTTAGATATACTTAAGGCTTAAGCCTAAATATAATTTTTATCACATAGTTACGTTGCTCCAGCTTATGTCATTGTAAGTATGCATATTTCATACCTGAGTAATCGCTGTGGAAGCTGACAATCAAGGTTTATTGGAATGATAGCACATTGCTCAATCCCACCAAAAGCCATGCCCTCAACATGTTTCACCCACAGCAAGCCTTAATCATATATAGTGAACAGTGGGCTGTCATTGCAATAAGGACTCTTTCCCATGAGCGTTCCATATGTCCCTTTTTCACCTGTCCGTTTACAGATGAAAAATGGACAGCCATGTATTTCTATGGACTAGCGGATGTAAACAGGTGATCATCTGTTTACATGCGTTAATGTCCGCATCTGTTGACATCCGTTTTTTTTTACCAGAATAAAATCCTATATTTCTTTTGTAATAAAAAAAAAAACGGAACAGACGTTAAATGAATGTAAATGGACAAAAAAAAGATGTTACTAGATGCAAACGAACGGAAAACGCATGTAAATGGACATACAGTCCATTTTTGTGTTGGTAAAGGGTGTAAACTCATGAAAAACAAATAACAAAAAGGATGCAAACTGATGAAAAATGGATGTAAACTGGTGTAAACTGATGAAAAACTGATGTAAACTGATGAAAAATGTATGTAAACTGGTGTAAACTGATGAAAAATGTATGTGAACTGATTACAAACTGATGTGAACTGATTTGTTTTTTCTTGGAAAAAATGTGACTGAACTGATGGAAAAAAACGGAACGCCCATTTGAAGGGACCCTTGACCTTGGATGGAGTTGAACATCTTCAGTGTGCGGTTTCTTACTTGGATGGTGGACTACAGTGAAGCAAGAGTAGACTCCACACTGGACAATCGGCTGATTGCAGGAAACTGAGGAGGATAAGGGCTGGCCTGTGAGCAGTTAAAGGTGTTGGGTTTGCCATACAATCTCTGTACAATCAATTTTAGATTGATCAAAATTATGTAATACAAGGACCTGGCTAATCTAGCCAATCAATTTGTATCCAATCAGGCAGGTCTTTGTACTACCAATAGTTGTTGGAAGATCTAAAGGAGATTGTACAATCAGATTGTATAGTGTATGACCTTTAGACACTTTGATGCTTGTGATGCCTAATAACATTAAACAGACAGTTTTCTGATACTCACCCAGCTGTCTTCATTTGACACCAGAGCAGCAAAGCATCTTTAGCAGAGCGAGTTTCACTACCTTTTGCCTCTACAATAATGTCTTGCATCTGCAAACATGAACCAAGTAATGAGTCAGCTAAAAGGCTTGAAAAATACCTATAAATGCTATTTTTGGAATAATATTTGTAACTGCCTTTGATAACTCTCTTTTTTCTGCCAAGCTCAGGAGAACTTTATTTTTGTAAAATTGCAAGTTGAAACAGTTTCTATTTGTTCACTTATTCTCTCAATTCTGTAACTCTATAATTTGGTAAAACAGGACATACCTGGAAACGTAATATGATGGTCCAGATGAGCCCCAGTATTAACCTGTGGTTACCATTAACAATGTCATGGGGACCGATGTTTTCAAGATGAACTCTCTGCTCCTTGAGGAAATGGAGGGCTTTGTCTACGTTTTCCAGACAGTGAATTCTCATTCTTCCTTTCGTCCTTCTCGGCTAAAATATAACACAGGGATCAAACATTGCATGTGTGTATTAACAAAAGTCACACCATACTTGTGTCATAAAAATTGCAATGGAAAACAGGCAAATGTTTGTGTTTTTAAAGCAGAACTCCAGGAAAACAGCTACATACACCATTTAAATAAATATATATTGAAATATATATTGAAAGATTAGAGGAACTGAATTTATTCTCTCTTGAGGAGATTAAGGGTGGATATGATTGTAGCAATCGTGCCCACAGTGATCCATTTTGCTCCAACCATCCATCTTGTAGATTTTTCTCCCCCCTCTTTTCTCATCCCCCTCCCTCACTGTGGGGTGACATGTGGCCTGAGTGATGAGAGAGGTCATAGGCAGCCAAAGCACAGCAGCAAGCTCCGAGCTATAAAAACCCCAAGGGAGCTGAGGCCTAGCTGTCTGCTAGATGTGCAATCTGGCATATCGTAAAAGTGTAAACCAAGTCCCTCACTGAACTTCAAAAGACCTTCCAAGGGGTCGTAAAAACAGACTTACTTTTAAAAACTGACTTTTCATATAAGTTGATATCTTCACATAGGACATAATTACCTAAACATGGAGCCTATATTCGGAAGACTCAATCTGAGACCATTCTCCTGGTTTGTTACACCCCTTAGTTGGCATACATAGAAAAGCAGAAAAGTATATCTCCTGAACCATTCCTGAACCAAGTGTATATGACATGTGTCATCTCTAACCATTCCGCAGATGCGGTTGAGTATTAATATACTAGTGACCAGGCCGGCAAATGCCCTAGACCAAGTTATGAATCTTAATAGCAGCTATGAGAGTTTCTGGTTATAACTTAAGTCTCCATCTACACTCCCCTCCCCAAAAGGAAATGATTGGTTTACTCCCCAAAAGGAGACACCCTGTTGAGATCCTAGAAAAGGGCTGTTATGCTTAGTGTGTGGTGTGTGAGAGAAAGAAGAGTCTCCCGTTTAACATCGAAACTGAGTGAAAGACATGAAATCCTTTTTGAGCTCATAAGAGTTGAAACTGCTTAAACCAAGGCTGATTGGCAAGCACTTTAACCCTTTAAACTCCTTTCTGTTTTCTCTTTGCTGTGCTATTGTTCTCTGTATATTTTATATATATATTGGTTACATCTTTTTCTGTAAATATTTTTATCGCACCCTTTTGACCTTTTAGTAATAAATCTTACTTTCTGAAAGTGTTGAACTGTTTCTAAAGCTCTTTAATGCAAAGTACGAATTCCTGCCGCTGAAGAGCGCTACTATGTGTGTTTAACCCTCTGTATAAACTGCCTGCGGTGACAGTGGTATACAGATGATTATTTCAACCATCCTAGTGTTATTGCTGATATTGCTGAGTTTCCTCTTTCTCTGTACAAAAAGGAGGTGGTGGCAGTGTGAAGGGTTAATTGCGTAATTAACCTGACCCAGTAACCATCGCGCTCAGGCTGCAAGTACACAGGTTGTGGTCCATTAGCTAGAAAATCGGTGTGCAGGGTGCAGCTGGGCGTGGCATTGTTACGCACGTGACATCGCGGTTTTAGATTGGCTAGTCCTTCAGTCACGAGTTTGGTGAGAAGGGCTGGGGGTCTGACGCCGCGATTGTCACAATGATCAACATGTATAAATACATCAGTGGTTTATATAGTGAACTCGGTGTAGAGCTAGTCACCCTGAAGTCATCACAGAGGACAAGGGGGCACTCTTTACGTCTGTAGGAAAAGAGATTTAATCTCCAATCATGGAAAGGTTTCTTCACAGTGAGAGCTGAGAAATGTGGAATAGACTCCCTCAAGAGTTGGTTCTGGCCAGCTCAATGGATTGCTTTAAAAAAGGCCTGTATTGTTTCTTTGATACACAGAATATAACTGGATACTAACATTTATAGGTAAAGTTGATCCAGGGAATATCCGATTGCCTCTCGGGGGATCAGGAAGGAATTTTTTCCCCTGCAGGAGCAATTTGGATTATGCTTTGCTGTGTTTTTTGCCTTCCTCTGGATCAACTGTGGGTATAGGATTATAACTTTTTTTGTCTTTGATGGTTGAACTGGATGGATTTTTGTCTTTTTTCAGCCAGACTAACTATGTAACTCTGAAAGTGGTTTACCCGCTAAAAGATTTGCATTTTTTTCTATACTGTCCTGAGATTGAAATAACCTTGCTAGGCAGCACAGTGTTTCACTTGACCCTCCCCTTTTAGTTTGTAAGCTCTAATGAACAGGGCCCTCTGATTCCTCCTGTAGTCGATTGTATTGTTACTGTACTGTTTGCCCTCACATTGTAAAGTGTGTTGCTCAAACTGTTGGTGCTATATACATCCTGTATAATAATAACAACCAGCCTTGTGACCGTATTTTTTTTTTGTTGCAGTAATATACAACACGGCTAGATCACACATCCGCCCCCCCAGCCTGTGATTGGACAGAGAAGGAGCAGCAACTGACTGTTCCCTGCCAGCATATAAGAATGCAGGATACCTGATTGGCCCAATTGATTGGTTCTAAAGGCACTCTATGCATGAAGGTAAAAAAACTTTCAGTGTGCAACTCCCCCCCAGCCCCTACCTAACACTTTCCTGAGCCCGGTCCCTATCCAGCGATGTGCACAAGAGCAGAAGCTCTTCCGGGTCTCTGCCTCCACATTGGCTGAGACACAGCAGTGGGAGCCAGTGAGGAGGGAGCAAGGGCGGGGCCGAGCCATGCACTGTGTGGCTCATAGACACACAGAGGTGGCTTTGGAGTGAGCATGCACGTGTGCCCCCAGAGCAAGCAGATTGTGTGGAGGAGCTCAGCGGAGGGCAGGAGCACCGGTGAGGGATCCAAAAAAAAGAGGATTGGGGCTGCTCTGTGCAAAAGCATTATACAGATCAGGTAAGTATGTTTTTTTTTTTCTTTTTTTTTAAGTTTGCCTTTACAAACACTTTTTAGCTGAGTCCTGCTGTAGAGTGGATTGCATATTCAGGGTATAACATGAAACACAGTTCAAGCCTTCAACCTCTCACCCTCAAACTGCTCCCAACCCTCCCAACTCTTATAGAATGGTGGCTGTTGTCGAGTTTGAATTTGTCAGGGCTCCGCCCACACAGCCAGATCATTCATTCACAAAGACCTGTGAATGAAAATCTACAAGTCCCATTTTCCACTGTGGCAGAGGGAGTTGTAGTTCTCAGTGGAGTGCAGTGACATCATTGCATTTGTAATGCATTAATACTTATTCCAATGCCGTAGCTGAAGGTCTGTACCTCAAATCGGAGGAAGAAACTGTAGGAACCAGATCACTGCACCCACCATCCAGTGATCACAGTTACAATGCTTTGCAGGTTCTAATGCAAAAAAATAATAAATGTACATTTTACATTTTACGAAAGGCTGATCTCCACTTTAACCCTTTGACCAGGGCATTTTTTTTTTTTTGCATTCAGCACTGTGCTTCTTTAACTGTCAATTGATCAGTCATGCAACACCGTACCCAAATGAAATGTATATAATTTCTTTCATGCAAAAAGAGCTTTCTTTTGGTGGTGTTTGATCACCATTGTTTTTTTTTTATTTTTTATTATATAAATGAAAAAAATACTGAAAATGTTGAAAAACAAAAAAATATATTTTTCACTTTCTGTTATAAAACATATCCAATAAAAAAATAAATAAATAAAAGTCTTCCAAATAAGTATATATTAATTGGTTTGTTTGAATAGCGTCTACAAACGATGGTATATATACTGGAATTGACGCTGGTAATGTTGGTGATCAGATACTTATAGTGGGACTGTGATAGTGTGCTGGGCAACCTGGTGCTAACAGACCCCCGCTGGGAGATAAACTAACTGACACTGACATCAATAGTGCCATAATACAGTGTTTAGATATAATACTGTACACTGTTGCTATATTAGTGACACTGGCTAGGAAAGGTTAATATATAGGCAATCAAGGGGTTAACTACTTGCCTAACAGGTGTAACATGTATAATATGTGCTGCTTTAAATTACAGATCTGGCTGTTTTTTTTCTCCTCGCTTTGCAGGGAGAAGAAACAGCGAGATCGCTGATCTGTGTTGCGATTGGCTACAGCTGATTAGTGGGTCCATGGCCAAAATCATTGGCCAGGACCTGCTGACAAAACCATGCTGTAGCCAATGACAGTGTGGGTCAGCAGGGGTTGACCATGCACATGTCCAAAACTCGGAAGAAGCTGGATCACACACATGTACGTGATCCAGCCTGGCTGTGTATGTACTGTGGTGGGCGGGCGTCAAACAGTTATTATTACTATACAGGATTTATATAGCGCAGTTTGCTCAGCACTTTACAATATAACAGGAGACAATACAACAACAATACAGTTCAATACAAGAGGGTTAGGAGGGCCCTGCTCCTTGGAGCTGACAATCTAGGAGGGAGGGGCTAGTGGTACAAAAGGTAGTAACTGTTAGGGATGGACTGGTAGGAAGAGTAGAAGATTCCATTATTAGTTTAGGGTGGATAGGCTTCCCTGAAGAGATAGGTTTTCAGAGATCGCCTAAAAGTGAGCAGAGTAGGTGATAGTCTGATAAATTGGGATAGAGAGTTCCAGAGGATGGGGGAAGCTCTGGAGAAGTCCTGGAGATGAGCATGGGAGAAGGAGACAAGGGAGCTAGAGAGCAGGAGGTCGTGCGAGGAGCGGAGAGTGCGGTTTGGGTGATGTTTGGAGACAAAATCGGTGATGTAATTTGGGGCAGAGTTATAAATGGCTTTATATGTTATTGTTAAAGTTTGGAATTGTATCCGTTGGGCAATGGGAAGCCAGTGGAGGGATTGGCAGAGAGGGGTGGCTGATACAGAACGTTAAAGTGTAACTTATAGCAGAGTGGTCTGTTTTTAAAGCCAGGGCAATTTCCAATAAGAAACAAATATGAACAAATCTACAACATCCTACAGCTGTCTCTGAAAATCAAGAACATTTGGCATATATGCTGACAGTGTGAAAATGTAAATGTATCAAACGTCACAGTGATCCCAGATTCATAGCCTGTCTCATGGGCTCCTGATCATAAACAGTGACCAGGAGCTGATGGTATCAGTGCAGGCCCTGGATTTGAGGCATGATAGGAATGTGCTTCAGGGACAGAATAGTTACACCGATGTTAAAGAACCCACCATGCAGCCATATATATGTTGACAGCCAGCATTAAGGGGGTGAAACAAGACGATTGATATTGCTACTGTGTATATTTAGCATGGATGACATTGAAATGCAATGTTATGACTTTAAAGTAAACAACGTGATGATAACTATGTGCTCACTAAAAATACACTATATGTTCCCTTTAAAGACAATTTGAACACTTAGTTTAACCACTTGCCCTCCAGAGGGTTTACCCCCCCTTCCTGACCAGGCCATTTTTTGCAATACGTCGCTGCATTATTTTAACTGACAATTGAGCGGTCATGCAACACTGCACCCAAATTAAATTTATGTCCTTATTTTTCCACAAATGGAGCTTTCTTTTGGTGGTATTTGATCACCTCTGCGGTTTTTATTTTTTGAGCTATAAACAAAAAAAAAATGACAATTTTTAAAGAAAAAACTATATTTTTGACTTTTTGTTATAAAACATATCCAGTAAAAAATTTTTAAAAAATTAAATGTCGTCATAAATTTAGGCCAAAATGTATTCTGCTACATGTCTTTGCTAAAACAAAATCCCAATACTTGTAAATTAATTGGTTTATGTGAAAGTTATAGCGTTTACAAATGGCGGTATATACACTGGAATTTTTTTTTTTAAATACTAGTAATGGAAGTGATCAGCGACTTATATTGGGACTGCGGCAGGCATTCTGACACTGGGGGGAACTGATTAACTGCCACTGACATCCCCAGTGACACTAATACAGTGATCAGTGATAATAAAAAGCACTGACACTGTACTAATGACACTGGGCAGGAAGGGGTAACATCTGGGGTGATCAAAGGGTTAACTGTGTGCTGTTTTACTATGATGTGTGTGTGTGCTTTACTGTGTACGCACGCTGCTTTGTATTGCTCTGCTATGCATGCTGGTGCTGACAGGGGAGAGATCTGTATTGTTTACATACAGACCTCTCCCAGTGGTGTATTTAGGTTTTGTGCTGCCCTAGGCAACACAAAAATCATTTGCCTCCTCAGACACCAACCAACACAACCCACCCTTCCCACTCCTGCAAAGAAAGCCTGACATTGACCAACAACACCCCTTCATCCCACCCGGGAGCCTTCCTCTACCCCCCCCTTCCCCGGCAATAGAGAGACACTCATCTTCACAGCTCTGGATATCCCTGGGAATGAGAGTCAGGCTCTACATACACCATCAAACAGCCTGCAGCCACTCTCAGATCCCACCTGGTTCCCATGGTGTGTGTGTCCCTTATTTCATTTCTTCTTCTGGGGGGAGGTGCTGCCTCCCTGAAAAATGCCGCCCTAGGCAAGTGCCTTGTTTGCCTTGTGGTAACTACGCCCCTGATCTCTCCCGTCAATGTTGCCGGGTTCAGCTGTAGCTGGAAATACAAAATCATATATAAATTTTGCGCAGCCCTGCCACCCTGTAGCAGTACCCCTGCTATATGGCGGTCGGGAAGAGGTTAAATTTGTTAAGTGCATTCCAGAAACAAAACAAAAAGGTGTTTTAAAATCTTACAGTGTTTTTTCTTCAGAAATCAGCCCCAACCTGAGTGAAAAGCCTGTCACCTACCAGCATGCTGTAGAGAAGAACCCCTTACTCTCTGTGTGGAAGCAGTGATCCCTTTGCAGAGGTTTGCACTGCTTTGATGTGATGTGATCTCTCTTCAAAAAAAAAACAAACAAACATTTGGACTCTGCGTGAAGATCCATAGTGTGCTGGCAAATATTTGCATTGCTTCACAGAGGTATGACCCCCCCCCCCCACTGAGGCAGAGTCAAAGCTGTCCAATCACCAGGGAGCATGAGCTCTGTATAGGTCTGACTCATTTGAGGCATGCCTGACCTCTGCAGAGAGATCACTGCTTCCTCATAGATGGCAAGGATCCAGGGGTGGACTGACCATTTGGAAACTCGGGCACTGCCTGAGGGTCGGGGGTCAGTAGGGGGCCCCATGAGATGCCCCTGGTACCTTTTTCATAGGCTTTTTTGAGTTTGGGCAAGGACACAGGGGCCCCATGATCCCCTATTGCCCAGGGGCCCCATGAGTTATCAGTCCGCCCCTGCAAGAATCCCAATCTTCAAAGGCTGGCAGGTGAAAGGCTTTTCTACAGCTTTAGAAGGAAAACAAACATGAAAACTTTGCTCACTGTTTGTTTTGATGCAACTGGAATGTATTTAGCTGAGTCACAGTAAAGGTTCTATTGGGCTTTATTGCATGAAAAATGATCTGCAAACGTACCAACTGTTCCCCCGAGAGTACTTCAAGTAATTTTATCAGCATCCTTCCATCTCTTAGGTCCAAGTAGAGATCTGAAATCCGACAGCTCACAAAAGCAAGATGTGAGTTCACCCATTTTGTAAACGTCTTTTTTTGTACAGCTTCACGTTCATCTGAAATACAAAACGCATATGAAACTTATTTTTTCTGTAAGCAGTTATTATTCTTGTTCTTAAACAATATGTGAACCCAACATTTCCTAGTCCTGATATGTGCCAGCTGTACCATGTACTTGTATGAAAAAGTATCCTGTTCTCTTTGTATTGCTTCCTTTGTGTGAAATCCCTGGTGTTCCTGCCAGTCCCCCTGACCTCCTATTAAAAACAGACCACACTAGGCATGAGAGCACAGTACGGTCAGTTTTCTAGCTGTGCTTGGAGCTGATCCAATGATCAGGCTTTTGCTGACATGCCTCCACTGCACAGCTATTCACTGGGAAGATCAGTGTGCTGCAGTTTCTCCTCCCTGAGCTCTTTGTGCAGCTGAGAATAGAGGGTATACACAAATGTTTTGTCTTTCATTTCTATTTTAAACTGAATGGGTTTTTTTTACAAGGTGAGGCTGTACATACACTTTAAAGCAAAGCTCCACCCAAAAGGGGAAGTTCCGCTTTAAGCCTTTGTCCCCCCTCCCCATTAAAGATTGGCACCTTTGTGGAGCAGGTACCCGAATTTGACAGGTACCCGCTTCCACTTCCGCTGGGATCGCCTGGGCAATCAGAAGCGGAAGTTGTCCACCCCTCCCCCTCCCTCCCATGTGTGAAAGGTCCCAAAAGAATACGAGCCATTCACAAAGCGCAGCACTTCTCACGCATGCGCAGTGGGCAACCGGCTGTGAAGCTGCAAGCTGTCACAGCCAGATACCCACACTGAAGATGCCGGCACCAGGGAGAGAAGACAGCAGTGATGAGGACACAGCTGGACTGAGGGAGAGGTAAGTATCTGAATTTTAAAAGTCAGCAGCTACAGTTTTTTTGTAGCTGCTGACTTTCATTTATTTTTTTTCAGCTTTAAAGTGGATTCCATCCAAAACCTTTTTTTACAATAGGATCCCTATCAGTTTTCTTTGCTGTCTGTGTCCCCTGTGGAGAGATTTGCCCTAACTGTCTGCTTTCAAAGACAGCTGGCAATGACACAGATTTCCATACTCTTCCTTACCCCAATAAAAAAAAGTATTTATTTCTGTGTTGCCCTGCTGTTCCTATCATAGTAATACAACAGAAAGTGAGGTGAAATCTGATTTAGGATTAGTGTGCATTTGTGATTGGGGGGTGGTAAAAACATGTGACTGAGTCATGTTATTACCACCCCAGCTGTTTTCCTAGGCTTCAAAAGCAGCCTTATGGGGGTACACATATACTGAGATGCTGTAAATTGCAGTATGGCAAACATTATCCCCACTATTGCGACTGGTGGGCAGTACTGTCTGCCAAACATGACCCATTCAAGTAAATGGGGCTGTACTGCAAACCACCCCACTCTTCACTGCAGATCATACTTCAGCAGGCCATCACAAGTGAATAAATGGCCAAAGGAGGCATATATATGGAAGAAAAACAAATGAGCAGGATGTAGAGGGTGGTAATTTTGTATGTTATAACAATGGATTGCCCTGTGTTATGTGGAACATAGCTGTAAACTGTCAGATCTTGCCATAGGAAGTATCCGTCACGTAGACCGAATTAGAAAAGGGCATACAAATATACAAATACACAGGTGCGTCTCTTCAGCCTCTTGTTTCATTCCTTTATCTAGGGCTGGATCTACACTTCTACAAGGTAAATCATGACTTCTTAAAGCGGAGTTCCACCCAAAAGGAGAAGTTCCGCTTTAATGTTTTGTCCCCCGCTCCCCATTAAGGATTGGCACCTTTGGGGGGGGGGGGAAGCTGGTACCAGAATTTGACAGGTACCCAGTCCCACTTCCACCGCGTGTGACAGGTCCCAGAAGACTACAGGGCCTTTCACAAACTGCAGTGCTTCTTGCGCATTTGCAGTGGGCACCTAGCTGTGAAGCCGCAGGCTGTCACAGACGAGTGCCCACGCTAAAGATGCCTGTGCTGGAGAGAGGAGACGGACGGTGAAACCAGCAATGGTGAGGACACCGCTGGACCCAGGGACAGGTAAGTGACTGTATTTTAAAAGTCAGCAGCTACAGTTTTTGTAGCTGCTGACTTTTTTTTTTTTTTTCATCTGGAACTCTGCTTTAATATGAGACCATACTATTCTTTTTAAAGTTTATCCTAACAAAATAAACTCCTCCCATTTCACTCGCTCCCTTTTCATCTGTTAGAGATGCAATTGAAAGTGTTTTGTTATATCTTTTTGATAAGTGCTCATTGATCCTGCCAGAAATCCAATGATCTGATGGCTTCCTGTGCTCTCTGCCTGTGTTGTATTCGTATCAACTACATTGTTACATTGATCTCTGTAGACTACATATTTCCATGTTATGGAGATGAGGATAGGGGGAGGTGTTCTGAAGCTCTAACACACTTTCTGTTATAGGATGACAACTCTGCTCCATACATACAGTATGGTTAAAGAGTGTTGTCACCTTAGGAGAGGGAGTGTTTTACTAGCAGGCTCACCAAGTGAACATAAATCCTGAGAAAAAAAAGCAAATGCAGCCAGCACATCTCAGGACTGGTAAACTGCAACATATTACATTTATGTTGGGTTTAAATACACTTTAATACAGTCTGAAACATTTGGGGTAGAAGCACTGTTTTATCAGTTAGCCTGTTGTACCTGCAAGGGCTTTAATCCTTGATCGCTCAAACATACGAGCAGAGCTGTTGTCATTGTCCAGGTCATCTTCAGTGGCTTCCCAGCGAGAGTTCACACAGGTATACTGCTGTTCAATTTCCAGATTATCAAAGTCTGTGGTCTGCATTTTCTTATTTTATTGTCCAGTTATTTCCCAGCATTAAATGATCATTCCTAAAGAACAGAAACATAGCAATCATCTTTCAGGAATCGACCATGTGGAAATGATCTAAGCAACATTTTGCATGTTTTCAATACTTTCTATAGTTTGTAAGATGTACATGGGACAACCATTTTTACTCATCAGGTACGAAGCCTCTGCTTCCCCCTGCACTGCTGCACAGTGGTTGTGCTTTACTGCTTCTTATCACAATGCAAGTCTATTGGTTAGATTTAGTAAAGGAAAATATGCTGTTCACTTTGCAAGAGAATTTACCCCAGAACTTAGTGAATGAAGTGAAGATCTGCTGACTTCCATTATCCAATCATGCTGTTTTTTTGCTCTTGCATGTCCCTGGATAATCTTTGCAAAGTGAAACTTCCCTATATTTAATAAGCTCTGTGGAAAATTCATTTGCATAATGTAAATTCCCTTGCAAAGTGAACCATCTGTTCCAGTGGTCTCCAAACTGTGACTCTGGGGACATATGCAGCCCTTTGTTTGCCTTTATCCGGCCCTTGAGGCAATATTCCTCCCACTGACACCTACAGTGGGGCATCATTTTTGCCACTAACACCAACAATTGGGCATTATTCCTCCACTGGCACCAAGGATGCAGCACTATTCCCCTTACTAACACCAAATACTCCTCCACCTGATACTAAAGATGGTTCATTGTTTACTCTCACTGATGCCAGGATATTTTCTACTCCAAGTGATCATGATCTGGCCCCCCAAAAGCCTTATGGACAGTAAAATGGCCCTTTGTTTAAAAAGTTTGGAGAAACCGGATCTATTCTTTAGACTTAGTAAATCAACCCCTCTGTATTAGCTGATGAACTGAAAACAATGCTCAATCTAAATGGTTGAAGTTTTATCCCAGAGGCATAATGATATTACTAAGCCACTGAGGCCCCCCTCTTTTGGCTATTCTACAAAACTCTGCATTTAATACAATAACCAAAATATGAAAGCGCAAGCATGAAAAAAGTGAAAGCCATGCAAAAAAAATTTCCTCTAATCGTATATTTTTTTTAAAATAAGGATTTATTCTTTATTTTGGAGGTGGGGGCTCCTGGAAAAGTAGATCCTGCATTTCATGCAAGGTCCACATTAAAGTGTTCCAAATATCACCCTATGGGCATTTGCCGCTGGCAGGAACCGGCCCTTTAAGTGAGCCATGATGTCGGAGGCTGGTAGGAGGGGCTACTATTCATTTATTTACTGTGATGGGCTGTACATTGATGACATAATGGTGAATAATTGTAAGTCCATCCTCTTGGCTCCGGATCATTAGTAGTTGACCGTGAGTTGTCGTGACAGTTCAGTCACAGTTCTTGGGATGCCGATGAAGCGTGCCCCAGAAAAACACAGCAACATATATATATATATATATATATATATATAAAATAGCAGCTGGGTTTTAAGGCTGCTGCATATATGCATTCCATTGTGGTAAAGGGGGGTTAAAGAAGTGCCATATCCTTAAAAAGCAGTGAAAGAGCTCTAAAACAGGCCTTCGCTAACCTCTCTAGCTGCTTTTTAGTGTGAAGTTATTCATTCTCGAAGATCACAACGAAGACTTTAAAGTTGGGCCCCTGCAGGATAATGTCATAATGTGCTAATATGCATTGCATACTAGCACATTATAACAGAAGAAACCAAGATTCCAGATCTGGTCCAGCTCCCATCATTGAAACTACACCTCCCATCACCACACATAAGCACAGTGACAGTGCGCATGCACAATGCTGACCTGTCAATCACAGCAGATGGGCGGATCTCAATTCCTATTTAGCTCTGGCACAGGGGTGTCAAACTCAATGTAATTGCAGGCCACATCAGCATTATAGTTGACTTTAAAGGGCCGGCTGTATCTGTAAGTCTAGATGTCCAGAGCACCCCTACCCCCTTACATTAGATGTCAAAAGCCTCCCACCATCAAAAGTCAAGAGTACCCCACCTTCCCTTACATCACAGTGCACCCCCTTATCTTGTGCTACTGTTGGGAAGAAGCTGGGGGTGGTGCTGAGAAGCATACAGTGCAGGATCTGGAGGAGGACCAGAGGAGGGCTGGAGTCAGCTGACAGGCTCTGAATGCTGAGATCAGGGGAGGCGGAAACGAGATGGTGCTGTAGCTGAACAGAGAGGTACAGGATCTGTGAGAGGAGTTCTGTCTTCCTCTCTGCTGCCAACTGCTGAGATGGGAGGGCAGAGACAAGCCTCTCTGTGGCTACACTGAGAAGTACAGGATCTAGCAAAGGAGTTTTGTCCTCCTCTCTGCTGCTGACTGCAGAGACAGGGTGGGGGCGGAGATCAAGGGGTGCCGCAGCTGCAGGAGAGGTGCAAGGGCCACATGAAATGGGCTGGCAGGCCTGATTTGGCCCACAGGCCTTGTGTTTGACACATGTGCTCTAGCCTCTCTGTGCTGACTGTGCTTGTCAGCACACAAAGCAGCTGGACATAATAGGTTAGTCCTTGGGGGAAGCGTGCATGAAGCAGTGGCTCCACCGAGACAGCACTAGTAATAGGAGTCACAGAACATGACCTTGTGGTCATGTTTCCTGCTCTGTGCACACTATATATCCCATAGTCCATAGTTCATCTTGGGAGTGAGAAGGAGAGGGTGGCTACACTCCTACTTAGAGTGAGACCATGGACAACAAATGTAGCCACCCTCTAACAGGAAGCTGGATCACAGCAGAAAATAATGGAGGAGGTCAAGAGCAATAGAATGTACCATATTTTTCGCTCCATAAGATGCACTTTTTCCCCCCTAAAAAATGGGGGAAAATGTCTGTGTGTCTTATGGAGCAAATATGGAGCAGCTGGCCCAGTGTTACCCAGTCGCCGCAGCCATGTTAGAATACCAGGCCGCTCGGCTCTTTTGTGCAGCAAAACCTGTTCCTCGGTCCAGTGGTGTCCTCACCGTCTTCTCTCCTTGGCGCCGGCATCTTTAGTGTGGGCACCTGGCTGTAAAAGCTTGCAGCTTCACAGCCAGGTGCCCACTGCGCATGTGCGAGAAGCGCTGCACTTTATGAATGGCCCCTTAGTCTTCTGGGACCTGTTACGAGTCCCAGAAGACTACGGGGACGGAGGGAGGACAACTACATGGATGTGGGAATGGGTACCTGTCAAATTCAGGTACCTGCTCCCCAAAGATCTGCAGTCTCTGGTCATCTCCTGTACTGTGTCCGCAGTCTCTGGACATCTCCTGCACTATGTCCACATTCTCTGGTCATCTCCTGTACTATGTCTGCAGTCTCTGGTCATCTTCTGTACTATGTCCGCAGTCTCTGGACATCTCCTGCACTAAGTCCGCATTCTCTGGTCATCTCCTGTACTATGTCCGCAGTCTTTGGTCATCTCCTGTACTATGTCCGCAGTCTCTGGTCATTTCCTGTACTATGTCCGCAGTCTCTGGTCATCTCCTGTACTGTGTCCGCAGTCTCTGGTCATCTCCTGTACTATGTCCGCAGTCTCTGGTCATCTCCTGTACTATGTCCGCAGTCTCTGGTCATCTCCTGTACTGTGTCCGCAGTCTCTGGTCATTTCCTGTACTATGTCCGCAGTCTCTGGTCATCTCCTGTAGTATGTCCGCAGTCTCTGGTCACCTCCTGTACTATGTCTGCAGTCCATTGGTTCAGAATATTTTTTTCTTGTTTTCCTCCTCTAAAACCTAGATGCGTCTTATGGTCAGGTGTATCTTATGCAGTGAAAAATACGGTACTTTTTTGAGTTAAGAACACATATCTTAATAACATTTATTTTTTTAGCCAGAGTTTAGTGTCACTTTAATAATCATTTATCATAATACAACATCGATTTTTACAGTAGGAATGAATACAAGTGTACTGTACCTATGGTAAGTGAATATACACAAAGGCAAGTAAACGCATGGATTAGACATATGAGGGGGGAAAACAGATAGCATGTTGCAGTACAATTTCAAAACCCTTCTTGTAAGGAATGCAGTCCGTCTACTTGGTATATTTACCTAGCGGTCAAATGCCAGACGTTGTTTACTAATCATAGTAAGAGATGAAATAAGAGCCGCCATATACATACATAGTGCATCTGATCTGGTCTATTTATTGGTTTCTAATTGACTTTCCATTCATTCATGGTGGGTGAGTATCAGACCACCAGTCAGAGACTTGGGAGGTGCAGTCATTACTAGACCAAGCAGTAGAATCTGGCTATTTAACTGTGTCCTTGAGATATGGAATTGGAACATTACTGTCATTGCTGTGAAAGTGCCCATGTTATTCACTGAAACCTCAGTCCCTTGGAAAGTTCTGAATGAGAAGGAGGGGCAAAAATTACAACTGCCAACTTTTTTTTTTCCTTCATGAGAAATGTGAGTCTGAAGGGCAAGTAGAAGGGGCTAACATTACCACAATATCAACACCTCAGAGCTTCGATGGGACGGCAGTACAAGGAGTATGTATTAACCTATAATGGCCAAACAGCAACAACTCCTCACTGGCCTTACTACAGTAAAAGAATAAAGTGGTTGTTCCACGGTACACGTAACATAGGACATCACACTGCCTCTCTACACCCTCAATACTCTATAAGAACACAAGAAAAAGAGATCCTAGTCACATGCACGTATGCCATTTGGCAGTAAACCTATGGCGCTTTAGTATCCATGTCAGCAGTACAAAGAAACAAAAGAGTGTGTCCTCACTGTCCTTGACCCTAAACTATCCCCAACTATAAAGTGCACCCTCACACTTTTCACTTTAGATTTGGATAGAGTAGGGAAGGGTTAAAACCCATGTCATTTTATTTTCTCACTGTCTGTGCCACATTGGGAGCCTGCCCTTCACTTCCTGTTCTGGAGACACCCCAAAAAGTGAGAAGAAATCTCTACAAACTTAGGGGACTTTCCTTCTAAGACATATGCCACCTAATAAATGTGCACAATGTAAATTTCTGCATTCATTCATTGAGGAATCTTATTTCTTAATTTTTGTTATGTTGAACCAATTCAGTTTCAGAATTAAGTTCAGAAACAATTGAGTACTGTCCGTGATACTTTTTTTATTTGCACTAACATACAATTTTGAAGAAGGGGACATACCCCGAAAGCTTGTCCTCAAAATTGTATGTTAGTGCAAATAAAAAAAGTACCACGGACAGTACTCAATTGTTTCTGTCGCAAATGCACTAATACGGCTACAATCACCTCAAGCAGAATTCAGTTTGTATCTTTGGCATTAAATTTTGTATATTCCTTGGTTCCTTTGGAATAGAAAAGCATTTTTTTTCTAAAGATTGCTATACATTATTTTTCGGTTTTGATATTTTGGGTTGATTCGTTATTCATGTATCTAAACTATTCGATATTTGCAAATGCAATGGAATTTATATAATGTGAAATTTGGCGGACCCAAAGTTTTCAAACCTAAGCATTGCATTAGACTGAGGAACTGAATTGACTGGCAGTGACAATTTCAAATTCAACTTAAATCACAAATTTACTGGAATTTGAATTATGAAGCGAATTTGAAAACTGAATTATGGGCCCGAACTACTATAGCATCATGTGGCGTCATCCAAATGACACAAATGCAATTAGTAATTTCACTGTAAGTTTGCTCGGATTCGTTAACATTTGTTACTATGTCTATTTGAAGATCCGTATACATCTGAATCTCTGAAAAACACATTTTTGTCTGAAAATCAATTCGTAAAAAAAACAAATCTGACCTAGAAACAGTGTCGGGTGCCAAAATCCATTGACTCGGACACTGGAGAAGCAACAGCAGCTGTATAATCTTCAGAGTACATGCGTATAAACAATGAAACAATTGTGTATCTACACTGCTCAAAAAAATTAAAAGAACACTTTGAAAACACATCAGATCACAATGGGGAAATATATGCTGGATATCTATACTGATATGGACTGGGTAATGTGTTAGGAATGTAAGCATGCCTCATAATTTGATGAAATGAAAATTATCAACCTACAGAGACTGAATTTAAAGACATCCCGAAAATCAAAGTAAAAAAATGATGCAGCAAGCTAGTCCATTTTGTTGAAATTTCATTGCAGCAACTCAAAATAGTACTCAGTAGCTAGTATGGCCCCCATGTGTTTGAAAGCATGCCTGAAAATGTTGAGTTATGCTCCTAATGAGACGACGGATGGTGTCGTGGGGTGTTTCCTCCCAGATCTGGACCAGGGCATTACTGAGCTCCTGGACAGTCTGAGGTACAACCTGGCGGATGGACCAAAACATGATATCCCAGAGGCGTTCTATTGGATTTAGGTTAAGTGAGTGTGGGGGCCATTCAGTGGTATCAATTCCTTCATCCTCCAGGAACTGCCTGCATACTCTTGCCACATGAGGCTGGGCATTGTCGTGCAGTAGGAGGAACCCAGGACCCACTGCACCAGCGTAGGGTCTGACAATGGGTCCAAGGATTACATTCTGATACCTAATGGCAGTCAGGGTTCCATTGTCTAGCCTGTGGAGGTCTGTGTGCCCCTCCGTGGATATCCCTTTCCAGACCATCATTGACCCACCACTAAACGATCATGCTGAACGATGTTACAGGCAGCATAACATTCTCCACAGATTTTCCAGGCCCTTTTCACGTCTGTCACATGTGCTCAGGGTGAACCTGCTCTCATCTGTGAAAAGCACAGGGCGCCAGTGGCGGACCTGCCAATTCTGGTGTGCAATGGCAAATGCCAATCGAGCTCTATGGTGCCAGGCAGTGAGCACAGGGCCCACTAGAGGATGTCAGCCCCTCAGGCCTACCTCATGAAGTCTGTTTCTGATTGTTTGGTCAGAGACATTCACACTAGTGGCCTGGTGGAGGTAATTTTGTAGGGCTCTGGCAGTGCTCATCCTGTTCCTCCTTGCACAAAGGGGCATCTACCAGTCCTGCTGATGGGTCAAAGACCTTCTACGACCCTGTCCAGCTCTCCTAGAGTAACTGCCTATCTCCTGGAATCTCCTCCATGCTCTTGAGACTGTATTGGGAGACACAGCAAACCTTTTGGCAATGGCATGTATTGATGTGCCACCCTGGAGGAGTTGCCTGTGCAACCTCTGTAGGATCCAGGTATTGCCTCATGCTACCAGTAGTGACACTGACCCTAGTCAAATGCAAAACTAGTGAAAAACAGTCAGAAAAGATGGGTAGGGAAAAAATGTCAGTGGCCTCCACCTGTAAACCATTCCTGTTTTGGGGGTCATCTCCTTGTTGCCCAACTAGTGCACCTGTTGTTAATTATATGAACACCAAAGCAGCTAAAACTGATTAACAACCCCCTCTGCTACTTAACTGACCAGATCAATATCCCTGGAGTTTAATTGACTTGATGCTAAACTCTGAATAAAAACTGTTCCTTTAATTGTTTCAGCAGTTTATATACGCAAATTCAGGTAAAAAACAGGATTGAGGAATTCCAATGCTGATATTATGCACTGCATATACAGCCTACACTTAAATATAATATACAATATGTACAACATTACAATAAATCTCAAGCACAACTCTAAGACAGTACAACAGTCCTCTCTGTAGCCAAAGCAGCATCACCCTTGACTGTATTCTCCTCTCCCACTACACTTATTTATACTATATACCTTAAAAAATATTTGACATTAATAGACAATAAATAGGAAAGTTTGGTTAGTGTCGGTTACCTCTTTAAATAGGTGAATTCTAAGAATGAGGTTCAGGCATGGTTCCTGATAACACTGCGCTGACTGTCTGCAGCACTCTGGCATCAATTGATAACACCTGACACAAGTAGGCGAGCGGGAGAACAGCTGAACAGACTCACATATGGTGACGTCAGTGCCAAATGGCTGACATACATATTGATTGACTCACAATTTCTGTAAGTCTGCAAACTTGATAGCTAGATATGTACTGATTAATGTATAATGCCTGTGGTACGTGATATGATTCAGTGGTACATCAAAAAATTTTTAGTCTTGTAATATTGTTCCGGTTACAGAAGGTAGAACTATGAAAAAAATTTGAGGAATGATCCAATGTTTGATCCTTCGCTAGGTCTTACTGGTATCTCTAAGGGCTTGCTTACACGTCCTCTGAAGAGAGATGCATGGTGGATCACTCTCTAGAGAGCATTTGATGGGTGATGAGGAGGTGTTATGTCGCTTCGTGTACAAAAAAATGGCAGCCACCTCAACCTATAATAGGCCTTTACAGCATGGTGCAAATGGAAAGGGCAATGCACATCGCAAAAAAAAAAAAAAAAGATATCCCAGTACACATACCAGCCAGCCTGCAAGACGACCGAATTGCTCTATCTAACAGTTTCTGTTAAAAATAGAGGGTTTTGTTTGCACAAATTTGTAAATACATGCGTAAGCCGCAGTGCCCATGACAAGGGACCTCTGTATATACTGAGGTCCTAACGCTACAATTTTTAGAGCCTCCATAGTAGGAGCACATATAACACTGGAGAGGTTGAAGGCCGGTGTGCCTAGACGGAGCCCACCCTTCCTTCATTTTTTTTGTACAGTTGGTTGAACTAGGTGCAGGGACACACTGGATGCCTTCGCTACCTTTGTGCTATTGCTCACATGTGTCCCTGTGCCTTTAACCACAAGCCTACAGAGCACATATACCCCCTTCCTGCCCACGCCAGTTTCCAGCTTTTAGCGCTGTTGCACTTTGAATGACAATTGCGCGGTCATGCAACACTGTACCCATATGAAATTTGTATCTTTTTTTGTGACAGATAGAGCTTTATTTTGGTGGTATTTAATCACCTCAGGGTTTTTTATTTTTTCTTAAACAAACCAAAAACAACTGAAAATTTTGAAAAAAAAAGTTTTCTTAGTTTTTGTTATAAAATTTTGTAAATAAGGGATTTTTCTCCTTCACTGATGTGCGCTAACGAGGCTGCACTGATGGGCACTGACGAGGAGGCACTGGTAGGTGGCACTGATGGGCATTGACAGGCACCACTGATGGGCACTGAAAGGCAGCACTCATATATGGCACTGATAGGTGGCATTGATAGGCGGCACTGACTGGCACTGATAGGCAGCACTGACTGGCACTGTTAGGTGGCACTGACTGGCACTGTTAGGCGGCACTGATAGGCAGCACTGACAGGCACTGATAAGCGGCACTGATGCACAATGATAGGTGGCACTGACTGGCAGCACTTATAGGTGGCACTGACTAGCATTGATAGGTGGCACTGACTGGCACTGATGGGTGAAACTGAAAGGCTGCTCAGATGGGCACTGATATGTGGCATTGATGTGCACTGGTAGGCACTGAAATGTGGCATTGATGTGGCACTGATGGGCACTGGCAGGTGGCATGGATGAGTGCTGACACATGGCACTGATGGACACTGACAGGTGGCGCTGCTGGGGCTACACAGATCATCAGGGCACACTGATCATCAGTGCTCTGATGATCTGTGTACATGTCCCCTCCGAGGAATGCCGATTACCCGGCTCTCCTCTCCTCACGAGCTCAGCGTGACAGCTCCTGGGGAGAGAAATGCAGATAACCGGCATTTCCCAGTTTACATGTGATCAGCTGTGATTAGACAGAGCTGACCACATGACCAAGCCGACATCTTCGCCTCTTTCTGTGGATCGGTAATCCTAGGGACACAGCGCACTGCCGATCGCCATGCTACGCGCTCCAGGAGCCGCGCATGCGTGGTTAGAATGGGAGGACGTCATATGACGTCCTTCCAGAACGAGAGAACCACCTTGCGTCTGTCATATATGGCGGGCGGGAGGCGGTTAAGGAGCCCTCTGCCTACAGTCCGCAGAATATTTGCCCAAAATTCTTGGGGATATTTAAGATTTTTTTTGGCAAATGTGAGATAAGAGAAGAGAACATGGCCTCCCCAGGCCTCTAAAGCCTCTAAAGCAAAGCTCTTTTTCATGTGTATAGCAGATATTTAGGAGACTACCAACATTTTTCCTAATAGAATCATCATGTTGTTGTCTGTTCTGTTGAATTATTTTTTTGGATCATCACTGTAATCATACCCGACATACGACCAGTATAATGTAAAAGTCACATATAGTATGGTATCATACTGTATGGTAGAGGCTGCAGATTTCTGCAGTTGTTATAGTGAAGACCAAACTGATAACAGGGAAATGCAGAATGTGTAGCTCTCTCATACTCATGATGCTGCTTTAAATAGCCTTGCTAATACGATCTCACAACAGCTGCCAAATTCCTTGACTACACATAGGTGACAGTGAAGGACAGATCATTCCAAGATGGCGGCTTGCTCATGACAGTAAGTGTTGCTGGAGTGGCATGACGACAGTAGAACTGATGTTTGCAGTAATAAATCATATGCTACTGTAATTTATATAATGTTGGGTTTTGTCCATTTTTTACTGTGAATTGCAGCAGTATCTGCATACTGAAGCTTCCGATTAGTAAATCGGCTCCCTAACTAAGGGCAAGTCTTTTAGGCCTCGTTCACAACATACGTGCAGAAAAACTGATGGAAACTAACGTGCAGACTTCCCTTGCAGAGACATCAGTTTATATCAGTTTTCATGCATGATAGAATGACTTTTATACACGTTGCAGATTCCTGCACAGAAAAAATCTGCATGTGATACCAGTGTTGTGGTGTGAACAGGGCACATAGAGAACAATTGATTTTGTTGTGGCCTTGCAGAATGCCTGCAGAAAAACTGATGTCTGTACCATGGTGTGAACGAGCCCTTATTGTACTCTGAAGTCAGGGAAGCCCCAGCTCATGAATGAAGCAAACAGCATTTCAGGATGAGGCAGTGGCCTGTTTATGGTCCTTTGTCAGGTCTGTCCTCCTATTGGAGAGTGTACTCCAGTAATATGCAGAGAACACACCACAAGACATCAGCGGATCCACACTTCATTCTGCATTTTATAAATAAATGTAATACCCTAGCACAGTGTGGAGTGTTTTGTAGAGATGGTGATGCAATGATAATGCTCTTCTTTATAAATCTGAGAAAATGTGTAGAAAAAATGTGATATAACAACACAGTACTTGAATGGTCTCTACAATGGCATAGATTTCTACTGGATGCTCCACTTTTCTCTCAAAGCACAAAAATATTCTCACAAGGTGTTACATTAGGGGCATCAGCCTCATTGAGTTTGACACTTTCTAAACCTGCCCTGCTTTGGCAGTCATCGGCCCTCTGTCAAGGTGTTCAGAGGAAATCTCTATTCTCCCCTATGGTATGCAGGTTGTCCTATACAGTACAGGTCTGTGATAGATACCCATAGGCTGGCATAAGTAACACATGTGGTGGCTATTTTGGGCCTATAATAATTTTAATATTATTATGTACTTCTGTTCGGGTCTCAATTTATGCAACATATTTACCATCTGTTGTATCACCTCAACACACCTCCATGTATGTTACTGTGACTGTGGGGGGGGGGGGAGATTACACAAAAGACTCAATGGAGGTGAGGGGGAAGGCAACTGGAATTTCCTGTTTTTCTTTGAATAAACTGGTGCCTTGCTCTGGAGCCCACCCATTGGAAGATAAAGGTGTGATTTACTTGGGTGGGTGGTTCTTGGGATGGTCTTTTGGGAAGTGCATAAAACAGCTTTTACAAAGGAAAAACCCTCTCTTTGTCGTGTGTGCCTCCAGGAGCCAGACCTCACAACATCAGGGTGTCTAACCAAGTAAATAAGTGTGGGAGAGAAAAACCGCCAAAAACACACACAACTGTGTTCCTATGTTAGTTAAAAACCCAACAGCAGCCAAGTATTTTTTTTTTCTTTAGAGAGAGAAGAAGGTTATTTAGAATTTTTATTGCTGTCTGTGACCCCCACTGGGGAAATTTCCTCCTAATTCTCATCTTTGTTACCACAGGACACAAAGTTAGGAGCATGGCTGTGACTGGGACAGTTGCTAAGTCAGTAAGCTGATTCATTTTGAATGGGCTGCTAACGCACCACAACAGACCTTTTAAAGGACCCTGCACCCTTTTTCCAGAGCACCACAATTTATGGATGGTCCACATCCATGTATTATGCTTCACTAAAATGCAAAATGCAAAACAATGAAAGGCACTGCACTACACTTCACACTTTGCAAGGGCTTGAGCTCTTGCAAGAATGGTATTGTTACCACCAGAGCCACACCAATATGGTGCCCTCTGTCAAAGCTAAAAAAAACAGAAATAGTGTTCTTAATCTACAGACCCCAATCACTGGCAAAGCTATCAATTACTGATAGCAGGATCTGAGGCCATGTGTATATTTCATATAAATCTCTCTGTCTCACTGCCAGTCAAGAGTGGATTGAAAAAAAATCCTCTGCAGAGCACGTTACTATGAGAGCTGGTGTCTGATTGATCTGCCCCTGTAGCCAATTATAAGCTGGCATTGGAAGACACATTCCCTGGAAAACAATCTTTGCATTAAAGCATATCTAACCCACCAACCCCCCCCCCCCCCTCCCAAAAAAAAGTAATATATTGCAGATTATCGATCATTAAATGTATTAGCTGCATTAGTTTTAATTTTTCAGGCTAAGAATGTTCTCAAGTACAGAAAGTATCTGTTGATCTTGTGGGAAATAGTGTCGGTGTCACTTTCTGTAAGCTGAAAGGAAAGCAGAAACATGCTTATCTTTTTGAGTTAACTACTACTTCCATCAGCCGATCATGTAATTGAGATGAACAAAGGTAGAAATGTTTGCCGTTCACCCTGTATGAAAACCATATCTGCCTGCATAGAAACAGTGACAAAAACACCTAATCTAAGCCCTGGTAAGCTGCAATATATTAAATTGTCGTTTGAAGGTTTAGACCAGCCTTTCTCAGCCAGGGTGCCCAGGCACCCTGGGGTGCATTGAGGTTTCTTCAGGGGTGCCTTGGCAAAATGTCTAACAATTGCCCTAAACTTGTATAAAAGCCAGTCGGTGCAACAATCCTGCCTTTTAGTTACACAAAGCCACATATTTTTGTTGTATACCATTACGACCTTCTAGACACCGGCATCCTGAAAACCAATGATATCATCAGTTGATAAGGAGGATGTCAGTTTCCTTCACAGAATCCTAGTTTGACCCTCCCCTGCCCCTCTCCATCAGTGCTGCGGTCACATTAGCTCAGCGATGGAGAAAAACTGAGGGAGAAGAGAAACAATGGAATAATACTCAGCACCAGTGTGCAAAAGTGTATTTGCTTTGGAAGAATAAATCACCTCTACCATTGGTGTCCTACATGTGTGGATGTTGCTGTGTTATATAAAACTATTAGAATAGTTTTTCACATTTTAGAATGGGGTGCCCTTTTAAAATTATGGACAGTCTTGAGGCACCCCGTTTTAGAATGGGGTGCCTCAAGACTGTCCATAATTTTAAAGAGTGCCTTGAGTGAAAAAAGGTTGAGAAATACTGGTTTAGACTATGTTTAGCTACTGTAGTAAAACAAAACCAGGGGATTGTAGACAGCAATGAATAGATAAATAAAACAAATACACCAACAGTGGAGCTTAACTGGCTGCGGCCTCTTTATTATTGGTATAATTTCAATTATAACACATGTAAGAGTAAATACCAATCAGTTTTTATTAACTAATTAATATCTACAATACCAATAGCAACCCAGACACTATGGAGGTGATTTACTAGAAATGGAAAGTGCAAAATCTCATGCAGTTGTGCACAGTAGCCAATCAGCTTCTAACTTCAGCTTGTTCAATTAAGCTTTATTTGCCTCAGTAGCAAATAAATACACAAACATATAGGGATCTATCCATCTATCATTGTTTTTATCCCCAAACATTTTGAATGAAAACTGTCTGAACCTTGAAAAATAGACCCCCTACATATTAAGATTTAGAACAAGCATAATATATCTGAATGTTAAGACAATGTCAATACAAAAACACTCAGGATTTAAATTCATAGCACTGTACTTATACATGCTTTCATCCAACATTTACACATTTTCATCCAACATTCAACTAGAAAGATAAATTAAGGTGGCTCTTGGCTGAAAACATTGACACATAAACCAGATTGTTATTGTTCATGTGTAGACATTCAAGCAGCCCAGAAATCACAGTTCACCCACTAATGACATGAGAAGCCTTTTCATCAGATATATTTAAAAGAACCAGGTCCTGCCAAGGAATCTATTTATTTTGACCACAATGCAAATACATTCCACTGTCTGTGAATACAGGGCACCATACAATTCAATGAAAAATTCTTAGGGCCCTTAGCACAACAGAGGTCACAACAAATGATGGTACATTTGGATATATGCAAACAGTTTAACACATTTGTCTAGTCTTATCTTTACTCTACTCAAACCCTTTGGGGGCTAGGCAATTTTCTGAAATGGAAAGCCGCGCTATATCGTACCCCA